CCATCACTCTCATCCCTGCCCCAACACCCTACTAGTAGTAGAGTATTCTAACAATCTCACCACAACAATTAACCATTAGTTTTTCTTTATCTTACGTATATACTACTCCTACAAAGCAATTAAATTAATAATTAAACGACGAAACGATCGAAGCTAGCTACCCCTCCGTCAAAAAAAAAAGTCTAATCCTAACAATGAATCTGGACACGCATCGTTGCTAGCTATGACTGGATTTTTTATCGGGAAGGAGTAGTATGCGTAGCTAGCTAAGTACTACTCCCTCCGTTTCTAATTGTTTGACACCGCTAACTTTTTAGCATATGTTTGACCATTCGTCTTATAAAAAAATTATGAAATATGTAAAAATATATGTATACATAAAAGTATATTTAACAATGAATCAAATAATAGGAAAAGAATTAATAATTATTTAATTTTTTAATAAGACGAATGATTAAACATATTTAAAAAAGTTAAAGGCATAAAATATTTAAAAACGGAGGGATTATATAGTTACGCGCGCGGCGGCAGCGACTGGCCGGCCGCCCGCCGGCGGCGAGAGGATTGTGTATGCAACAGGTCAGTTGTTGTAGCTAGTTGTGCTTATTTGAGGGCAAAAGCTAGTTATACTAGCTAGGTATGCAGCTGCGGTTATTGCAGCTCATCACCTGGATCGATCGCGGCCTCGCCGGCGACATCTCTACTCCCTCAAAAAAAAAAAAAACTAAGATGAAATACAATTCAAGACAATGAATTACCCTATCCCATCTTTATCTAGGAGTAGGTTAGATTTTTTTTAGACGAAAGAAATATGTTGTCACGATACGAGGTTACGATGGATAAACACTGTCAGAAGGAGTAATGAAAATGTAGATTTACACCGAAGAGAAAAAACATTTATGCATCTGATTCATTGCTTTGGTCTGACCCAATGCCTGCGACATTTATGCATGCATGTGTATATATGTACAGTTAATTAGTCAGTGCTAGCTAGCTAGACATATATGACCGAGTTTAGTTCCAAAATTTTTCTTCAAACTTTAAATTTTTTCATCACATCAAAACTTTCCTACACACGTAAACTTCCAACATTTCCATCACATCATTCTAATTTTAACCAAACTTTTAATTTTGACGTGAACTAAACACACCCTATATGTAGAAAAGCCGGAAAATGAAAGGAGAATAAAGAAGCATGGTCGTCTTAGGGGCCTAAGTCGGTTGTGTGACCGTCTAGGGCCCAAGTTGGTATGGGACCCATCACCAACCAAGGTGGTCACACCTTACGTTCAATTCCCACGTGGTCACACCTTATTTCATCGTGGCTAAGACTTGTGATGTTTTCGTCTTCTCATTGCATCTAATTAGTCTGAAAATTGGGCTAGTATTTTGTTTTGTTCCTGTTAATTAATTTACACAATATTTTTAGGTGTTTATAATATCTGTTAGCATCATTTTTGATTATATATGATTTATAACAGTATATATTACAAATTATTTAATCTTGAGGGTGTATGTTACTAGGTTTGCCTAAAACCCTCTAAAATATAGAGCTGGGGCTGTGAGGAAAGAAGCATGTAATGAGGTCCGTTTGTTTATACGTGTTGGATGATTTTGAATTTCTGATAATTATTAATTGATGTATACGAATGTATTAAATTTTGTAAGTTAAAATATTGTTTTAAAATGTTTTTTCTAAAAATATAATGATGAAAAAGGTTCCAAAGAAATCTTACTTCCTCCATTTCATAATATAAGACTTTCTAGCATTGCCTACATTCATTTAGATGTTAATGAATCTAGACATATGTATGTGTTTACATTCACTAGCATCTATATGTATGTGAGCAATGCTAGAAAGTCTTATATTGTGAAACGGATGGAGTGCTATTTAGCAGCTTAATGTATCACTGATCATCTCTACCACCAATTAGCCACGTGTCCACGCGGTAATAATAAGCAATTGAGTTAATTATTACCTCTAGCTATATATAGTCATCTTTTCGCTTATACTTATACTTATCAGCCAAAATTTAAATTTTTAACCTTAATTTTGGAACTAATTTTGAGGTTTTTTTCATCAAAGTTTATTTTTCAGCCTTTACTGTTAGATAGCTAAAAACACGTGTATAAAAGTTTTATTTACAAATTACTTTTCGCTTATTCCATAAGCGAAACGATAGCTAGTATCTGCATGCCTAGCTCGCTTGTCATGCATACTGGAAAGTGGATATACATGCCAAGGGATATATATATATACATATGCTACGTACGTAACGTACTTATGTACTGCGTACACGCGATGTACACTAGCAATGGCGCATGGAATTAACTAATTTTGTACGTGCAAGCTATAGCTAGCTAGCGCGTGTAATTGAAGCAAAGCTCAAATAGTCTATACGGCTGCTTGTACGCGTGCGAGGAATGACGTCCTGTACAGCATGAGAGTTTGAGCTTTTTTCGCTCACGCCTATATATATGTGTGTGAAGAAAAACCGATTCTAGAGAAATAAATTTGAACATATATAATGTTGCCCAAATTCATCCAGAACTTTTTTTTGACAGAAGTAGCTTGCCACGTCACGTCTTTTACTGAGTTCTTCTTATCAGTTTATAAGATAAGCTATTTTCTTGTTTATCTTGAACATGTTTCGATCCTAGCTAGACTGCTAACAATACATTTCGTGAAAGAAAAAGTTATATATAAAAGTTTCCTTAAAATCAAATAAATTTGTTTTTAAATTTATAATAGTTAATACTTAATTATTCGGCGCTAATAACCTCTAAACTAACTAGCTCAGCCGAACTAACTGCTATTTCAAACGCATCCTTAGCTAGATAAACCATAACTTTTTTATGTGGTTTGCTGTAGTTTCTTAGTTTTTTTCTACAGCTTACCATACATAATTTCTTAGGGCTTGTTTGGTTTGGAGTAAATTTTTACCCTACAGTAGTGTCAAAACATTGGTAAATTTTGGCACTATCAAATTGGGTAGTATTCAATTTAAACTATTGTGGATAAAATTTGGTAGCAAACCAAACATACACTTGCTACTATTGAAGTTACCAAAATTTTGGTACGGTAATAAATTGATATCAAAACAAACAAGCCCTTAGCACCTTACGTGTTCTATGTATGTGTCATAGACTCGGTGGCTGTTCAGATTGATGACATTTTCAACTATACCATTTTGGTAAAGTTACTAAAAAACTATTTATGTTTAGTTTGTTGGCAAATTTAATAAATACATAATAAATCCTACCAAAATTTTAGCAATATTACCCTCTTACCAATTGCCAAAATTTGGTAAGGTTTATTTTGGTTATAATTTGGACAGGCCCTCAATTCCTAGCCAACCTCTAACATATAGTATATCAACAGGGGCGGAGTTAGGATTATATCAAGATCACTAGAGTATGAATTTCTTGAACAAATTTTAATAGAAAAATTAGTAAATTCCTTGGTATTTTTTCTGCCTGATCGTAACAGTTATTTTCCACATTATGCAAGCTTGTGACGACACGAGCAGCGCATGCAATGCAACGCGGGGGCAGTGCGTCGCGGCGCGGGGGGACGGGTAGCTAAGGTTTAATTTGCTACCGATCAGGGCGCGGCAAACTGAAGCCGGGAAGCGACCGATCGAGATCATGAGCGATGCGTGGAGCCGTGTGGACGCATGCATATGCAGTTATGCAAGCAGAGTACAGACATGGCAGGAGTACTAGCTAGTAGGATATCACACGCCCGGTGTGCTGCTGCACAAAATTAATACTACGTGCATGCTCCAGTTGCAAGTTCCTATCGTGGATGTATGGATAAAAAGGTCGTAAATAGTCTTGCTACGTAATCCCTCTGTCCTAAAAAAAAGACAAACCCTGGGTTTTCGTGTCCAACGTTTGACCCTCCGTCTTATTTAAAAAAAATTAAAAAGATAAGACATGCATAAAGTATTAATCATGTTTTATCATCTAACAACAATGAAAATACTAATTATAAAAAAAATTATATAAGACAAACAGTCAAACGTTGGACACGGAAACCTAGGGTTTATTTTTTGGGACGGAGAGAGTACTCCCCAAAAAAAAACTTAGAAGATGATGTTACTCCTAGTATAATGACTCTGGACAAATGGATGCCCAGATTTGTTATATTATGAGGGGTTGTCCAGATTCATTATATTAGCCATTAGGAGGAGACACATTCTCTCCTAGGTTTTTTTTTATGGATGGAGTATCTCTATATATAACACGGCTGATTTTATTCAGTTATTGTCAATAATATTTTTTTTGAATGCGTATTGTCAATAATATCATGTAAGTTTGACAACAATTTTTTCTGTTAGAATATTACGATGATATCTATTGCCTTCGTTTTAAAATATAACCCTATCCGACATCCATTTCTCTAAATACATAGGAAGAAGTTGGTATATTTGGGAAATTAAATTGTAATTTTGTAAAAGTAACTACAAAGAAATAAAAATTCGCCCATATGATTATGTGTTTTCAAACTAAATAGTTCGAGATGTATTGATAATCAAAGTTTTAAAACTTTCACGGAATAATGTTGACTGTCAGAGAGAGTATTAATTGTGGAGCTCCTAGTTAATTGAACAGTAAAAAATGTTTTTAAGACTGGGAATATTGTTAGATAATAATAATCTGAAACGTCATAACAATGTCCAAAGATGTGAAAGAAGGTTGGTGATGACAGTATATAACACGTCGTGTAGTAGCCTTTAATTTACCCTCTCTTCTCTTGGCAGCCGGGCAGTAATAAATATGTACTAGTGACGCTGACCTGCACTCCTTCACGCAAATACATATATATGGACAGTAGACTAGCTGTTGCGTACCATCAATAAAGATATCCATATCATATCTAGATTGGGTGGCGTTCATCGAAGATGCCTCTTTTAGCAGGTAGGAGTAGGGTACAGCAGAGACTGCCACCAAGGCAAGTACGGACACAGTCCTGCTATATTAAAGACAGTAGTATATCAGAGGGGGGAAAAATACATGCTTATTATACTAGATCATCAATTAATTTACCAGCGTATCCTCTCAGCGGCCGTGATCAGTACACACGGTACTGTATGTATAACGAATCAAATGAAATCAATCGGGGCCGGGCATCGTACAAAACCGGAACAAGATTATACATTCAAATGCTACAACAGCGTATGATCAAGCCACGTGGGGAAAAAAATGTGTAACAATTACACAAGAGATATTAGACCTCTTCACACTTTTTTTTTAATACTCCATTTGATTGTTTCTCATTAAGCCTTGTTCTGCTTTGTTTTGGCAATGCTAAGAAGATCTCCAAACAGCTTGTCCTCAGGCTTCGATGGTTGCCCCATGGAAGATGATGATGAAGGTGTTGTAGAGTAGGGCGAGCTGTTCATCCCCATGTAAGAGCTGTCTTGCATGGAGAGGCCATACATTTTCTGGGAGAGGTCATTCATACCAGCGTAGTATGTTGGCCTCCCTTGGCTGTTGCTGTAGTATTGTGCCGCTTGCTGCTGCACAAGCCGGTACTGGGACATCTGGGGGCCATACATTCGTGGTTGCGGCATGGCTGCAAACTGCATACCCGGCATCATCATCGGTTGCGCATACATCATGACTGGCTGCGCTCCTGGCATCGGCGAAGGTTGCATCCCGGGGAATTGCATTCCTGGCATGGAGTGTGGTGGCATCGAACCGAATTGGTTCGCAAAGCCTGATTGCATCTGGGTTACAGCAGGTTGGCTGGGTTGCATGGCTCCCGGTTGTTGGTTGTTGTACATTTGGTGGGCTTGTGGACCTCCCATCTGGTTCATCTGCGGGTGCAAGGGCTGCATCCCACCCATCTGGTTTGATGGTGTTGGGAGAGATGGCATACCTCCAAATTGGCCGTTTGACACCGGGTGAGACTGCATACCGCCATTTGACATGTCGCCGCTTGGCGCTGACTGAGCTTCCCAAGGAGGTGGGGGAAGGGCTCCACTTTGCTCATCTACAAAATTCAGGAGACCCATCAGAATTTCTTCAAAGCTCAAACAGAACACAAGCATGGACATGCGTGGTTCTGACATCCAATGATAGGGATGATGGTGTAGGAAAAAGGTTGAGAAATGTAAATGTATAAATAAATTGCAATACCATAATTCACTGTTTGCTGCGCTGGAGGCGTCGCATTGTTCGCAATTTGACCATTCCACCCAGAACTTGTGGGGTATGATGTTCCAGGGTTCACAGCTCCCCCATTAGGATAGAGGCCCACCTGCTGAGGCTGCTGCTGTGCTTGCAGAGGATGCTGGGTTGGAGCATTGTATGGCTGTGATCCAGGAAGAGTAGAGCTAGAATTAACACCAAAGGGATCCGCAGGTTTGGCAATGTTATTGGTTGTGTTGTTTTGAGAGAATATGTCAACGATAGCTAGTGCATTTTGACTTGGAGTAGAATCAACTACTGGATCAGTAACTGGGACAAGCGCTAGTGAATTTTCTGTTGTAGATGGGTTGTCATCCCAGCTAAGAAGATCGACGCCAAGATCGGATTTTGGTGCTGGGGTTGCTGAGCCATTTGACACCGGAGGTGCTGGAAGCGCTAGTTGCTCAAATGGTGACTGCACACTGGCACTGTTACAAAGGCAGGTCACATGCAAACAGATGTTATTAAAGAAGCCAGGTAAAACATGATAAATAATCAAAAAAAAAAAGTTACGAATATAGATCATCACTATGGTCTAGTGATACTATGAAAGCCAAGAGAAACAAACAAATCAACACTAAATGCAGTTTGGATCATAAAATTTGGCTAGGTTCAAGAAATGCACATTTATCTTTATTTTAGAGAGAGAAGGTTCTACCTACGTGCTTTCTCTCAACAACTATCTTTTTAGTTCTACAATACCTTACAGAGCTGAGAGCCACAGTTTGCTCTGTTTGCTACCAAAACACCCTCTACCATAAGTTACAGAAAACGGATATTCAACAAATTTGTAAAAGACAGCACTACGATTTCCAATACCACCAATTCAAGTAAAATAAGAACAGTCGGATTGTAGATTTAGTGTAGAAAACAAAAACTGATACCACACCAGGTAGCAGTTAAGGGCCCCAATCAGTAGTCACAGTGATTACCATGAGGAGTCAGTAGTCACAGGCCAAGGCTCCTCATATGCAAACAGTGGCTACCATGTATAAGATGTACATATGCAAATAGGCTGGCATATGGACCTACCCTCCAACATGTCCTAATAATTTTGATATACTAGTACTGTGCAGAAAGGGAGCCATGGGTGTGATTGTTCAGTGGTTTGGGTCACTAGCATTTGTAGATGCCATTGGGCTTCCATATAGCCACTGACCTTTTATGATTAAACAAGAGAAAGTAGTGAGAAGATGAGAAAAATTTAGCCCCAGGGTATAATTTGATGATAAAATGGATTGCAGGGGTGTTGATAAAAACAAAAAAAAAGTACTATCTCCGTTTCAGGTTATAAAACTTTCTAGCATTGCGCACATTCATATAGATGTTAATGAATCTAGGCACACATATATGTCTAGATTCATTAACATATATGAATGTGAGCAATGCTAGAAAGTCTTATAATATGTAACGGAGGAAGTACTTGTCAAGGGTATAAATGCATTGACTATCAGACTTGTAGGGGTGTTCATAAACAAAAAATATATGTACATATGTGGAGGTAAGCAGCAATGGTGATGACTTTTTGGATTTTAATCGGTGTTTATGATACTGGCTTTATCAGGAACATAAATAGGAAATTTTATACACATGACAACATGTTGTCTGGAAGTGCATATGTTCACAAGCCTAAACAGCTACACTACACTGGGCAAATTGCTGCCAATAGCAGAAACTGTATTGATCAATTACAATGTACAAACTTGTTTGTTCTTTAGACCAAGTATAATTAGCAGTTTAGAAGAATAGAACTCTGCAATGGAAAAGGAGAAGCCTGAAATACCCACAGAAACATGGTGGATGGTACAATTGTACATCACCAAAACTGAAGAACTATATTACAGTGTTTAAGCACTTGTTAATAAAGAATAATGGCTAATTACTAATAAAAAAATTGTTTCCAGCATTTATGCACAAAAATCGCACGCACATGGGCTGATATCATTCAATATTACCTAGAAATAAGAAATATGCAAATGTGACAGGAGAAGATTATAACCTTTGGCTTGGTTCTTTATTAGTCTCTTGGGTTGTAGGATCCTCAATATCTACAAGTGCCTGCTCTTTCTTAGAGTCTTGGTTCATAGAATCCTCAGTGTCTACAAGTGCCTGCAGAGACTTAGGTTTCTTCTCCACTCGAACTGCAATGCCTGCAGCAATTGCATCGTGTTTTGCGAGAACACGTTGCAAGTCATCATTCAGTGCAAGCCCTTGTGACATAAGTTCCTCATCCCTGTAAATGGCCAAACCAGAATTTTAGTATATATGTTGCAATAAATAGTTAAATGAGATAATACAGATGCCAGCCAAGGGCTACTTTTGCCAGCTTTTCATGAGTGAATATTTTATATTTGGATCCAAATGCTTTATAAGATGATAAGATAATTCTTATGATCAGCTCTTCTTGAGCATAACATTATATCTCACACAGGAGGAAATGTTATAGAGATTAATTCACAAAAATGACAAAGACCATCCTTTTTACCATCCTCTACTCAGACACATGCCCATAATCCAGGGTTGTCAAGGAAGTTCAGTCAGTCAACTTCATCCATATCTTAGAAGTAAAAACTATATTCACCAAATATTAGATTTACTCACGCGGTAGCATTAACTAGTAGTACCACTCTCTGCTTGTAAGTGCGACACTGATCAACAAGCTCCACAATTACCTCCTGCCTTAGTCCCTGTGTACAGAGTAGTCAGACAAACAAAATCAGTAAACCTAACACAAAAGGAGGTTGTTAAGTAACTAAGTATGGAACATATAAGTACAGATTTGAACCTCGAATTAAAATTCCATTTAGACTTCTGTTTATTCTTCCACAATAAATGGATTTTAAAATATAATGGAGTACTCCTTTATTCTAAGATTTTTAAATATGGGTGTCCAAACCCACATACGAATGTTATCAAAAGCATGAAAACAATGGTATACCATGTTCATGCTTCGATACCTTAGTTACCATACCAAATAGATTTCATAACAATATAGGGTACACGGCAACCAGGCAAATGGTATTTCAAGTAATGCTGCTTGGAATCAATGAACATTTGATAGACTACAGGCTGACGTGTCATATACTCAAATGTTTATAGAACATAAGCAAGTAAGGGCAAAAACACGCTCCACAGCATAGTAAGTTTTATGTGGTTAGAACAAGACCATTTCTCAAATTAAAAGATCAGGAGTTATTTCTCAAAATAAAACAAGATGGATTGTTTTCTTTAACAGGTATTTGTGACACTAACATTTAGATGTGCTTTTTTTTTGTGCAGCTTGAGTTTAAAAGCAAGGTAAGTGTTATCGGTACCTCTCTGTTTCCAGGGTCTAAAGCATTTAGCATCTCGGCTAGCACATCCATTATACCACGAGCATTCTGAATCTCTGACATGCTGAAAATATAAGCATACATTCAGTTTTACTTCAAATGACAGAAAAAGAATATAAGGTTAGAGAAACAGCAGGCAAAGCAAGGTGAAGTAGATGAGTTATTCAAAGGTTCTCACTGGAGACGGAAAAAAAAAAAACTTTACTCCAAAGGAATTAGTGACTTGGTGGTTGTGATGAAGTTCTTCATCTATCCCCCTTCTTTCAAGGATTCTTTTGTGGATGGGTTTACACAAACATTTTCAAATTATTTGTAATATCTTCTATAAAGGATTACATCCTCTGCACAGCACATGTGCGTATAAGGTGTCAATTGATGTGATGTGAATTCTGTATGCAATTCTTTTAGGGCGTATTTATTTGTTTTAAGTTTAGAATTTATAGTATATTTATTTGAGATCCATTGAAATTCACAGGTAGTTAGGTACTACGCTAGTATTGTCATAGCACTTTACACACAACTTTGCTAAACAGATCAGCAGGAGGTACCGACTAGTGAATAGTGATCTTCTAATAGTTATAGTTTTCCACATGTTCATGTGATAATCTCAAACCAGTAAAGAGAACATATAGGAAAAGATATTATCAAATCAGAAAATGAAAAGTATGAAAGCACACCTCAAAGCAGGAAAATCATTTCCAGCAGACGATTCAGCTTCATCCTGCTGATCAGGACTACGCATATTTCTGCCTGCTGGAGACTGGCCATTAAACAATGGTGCAGGTCGATCAGATCTCTTTGGAAATGCAGCTCCAGCACGCTGCAATAGTGAAATAGGAGGATAGCTATGTCAAACAGCAAGGTGAATTCCCCCTTAATTCTAACAAATATAGATAGATCAGTAACCAATTAATCACATGATCAAACAATGCAACGACTTCTGAATATGGAAAATTCAGTGTGGGAAAAAACTTCAGAGCTTGATAAACCAATCTGGGATTCAAAACCATACCACCAAGTCATGGTACGCTGCATAGTACTGTGGATATCTTGCACGTGGTCCCCCGAATGCTTCTTGCCATGTATCTATCATAGTTAATACCTTCTCTTTGACATTCTGATCAGACTGTAATAGGACAAGAACATATGCCATCATATTCAGGACATTAAAACAAAACAGCTTGAGATCAAAACTATGGAGCATATCAAACCTTTTTCTTCACTATCTTCACCATCTCATGCAACACATCTCTTTCTGCAACATGCATGTGGAATATATCCCCACAGTTCTTGATTGCAGTTTCCAAGAGCTGAAACAGAGCTCCCCCAAAAAAAATCAGGATATTATTCATTTTAGATCCTGTGCAAGTTGTCCTAAACAAGATACATCTCCAAAATAATAATGAAGCATAAGTAAAATAAGTTGTATCCTCATCAAATCTCCCTCCCACCTTCGTGGACTGGACAAGGAATTAATACACACATGTTTATTATGAAATGATGTTCCTTTGTGCTAATGATGCTTCAGGTTGCATGGTTGCAACTGATCATTACATTAACACATGTTCATGAAATATTGGACAATAATATTAATACAGACTGGAACAGTAGTGCTTAGTGAACAAAATAAACACACAAATATAGCTGAGCAATAGACATATATGCTTGATGTTAAAACACACAGAGAAGAGATTCTTCCCATTGCTTGTACCATTAGCACCACTCTTAAAAAGGATGTAAAGTTATGATAAACTCACAGTCAGCGCAAGAATTTGGACTTTTGGATTTTTGTGCCCAATCCTTTTCTTGAGTGCCTTAACAACATCTTTTGATTGCCTGTACATGACAAATGTTTGCTCATCAATAATTGACGAACCAAAACGAAAGAAATTATTTACAATACAATAAATATTCATCTTCAGAGTCAACCTCAACCATTTGGTTTCCAATCACAATAACCGACCATGAATCAAGGCAAACTATAAAACCTCTAGACAGGAACAGAATCATTGCCTCATCAAAACCAGCAGACACATTAAACAGCCCAACTGCATCAAACTTTTGGTGGCCTCCACCACTAACTTAGTTGTAAGTTGTAACAACTAATGACTACCGTTAGTAGCTGTATGCTAAGTATTCAACTAATAAAGATCATACGTTGCAGCAGCAGTACAGAAATACTAGTTTAAAAGCATGCAGGTGAATCATGAAGCAGCACTCAAGTAGCTGCCTTACGATAAGGAATTAAAGGTACTCTAATATGCAATTAATGCTTCACAGTTTATCCTAAAGCTGTGCTTGTTAGGTTTTAAGGTTAATAAATGGGGTAGCCGTTTAAACAACCAAATAATCTTGGAGACACTTAACTAACCCCCTGAGTTCTATTTTCTCTCCAGCTAACCTCCTCCTCCTCTATCTAATCACTAATTTTGATTAATGTTGTTAGCTGCCAAGCACAAAAATTGGGCTAAACTAATCTTAGTAGGATTAATGTAAGCTAACCTAATTTTTACAGCAGCTGACAAACTGCATCCCGAGTCAAATGGGCTAGTTGTCATTTGTTTGAAGAAAACAGTCAAGTTGCAGTGGCGAGCAAACATTCATCATTTCTATTTTTCAACCTTCTCACAATAATATCTACTACCTTGCTATATTGTGGGATGGAGGGAGTACGAACCATCCTAGGTTGCTATATTATCTGCAGTTTCTTTTTTTTTCTCTCTCTACTAGTATGTGTGTCACTAGGAACACCTCGTAAGTTATGAAACTCACAGGTTACTGAAAATTGTTTATGAAAGCAATATTATTCCATATGGTAGCTCGTATTTTCTCCTCGGTTACGGTTGGTTCCACTAGCAATTTGCCAGTGAATCCATGAATACCACCACGCTCTTGCGATCTAACTGCAGCGTATCATCTTGTCACCTCACCAAATAAGCCAATTGAACGGCAAAGCAAGCACCAATCCCCAGCAATTCTATCTAGCCATTTCCAAAACTTCCTCCTCACAATCAAAGACCTCATGGCGAACCAGGATGCGAGCGGAGCCAGATCCACCGCCACCGCAAATCCTGATCTCCTCCTCCCATCTAGCACTAGCATTCATTCACCCACCACCCCCCAATCGCATTCTAATTTTCAGAATAGAAGGATCCAATTCCCGCGCCGCTGTGCCCCATCATCCCAACGAGAAACCACACCACCACCACCACCACCACCGCTCGCCGCGGATCAAGATCAGGCAGCCCGCCACCGCCACGGGATCAAGAGGAGCACACGTACCCGGGGTCGCGGTTGCAGATGTCGCAGATCTCCATGTTCTTGGCCCAGTCGGGCCCGATGAGCATGTCGCTGGTCGCCCGGTCCACCATGGAGCCCGCCATGCTTCCCCTCCTCCCACCGGCCGCCGCCGCTGCCCACGCTCCGGCGGCGCGGAGGAAGGTGGTGCGGCCAACCACCCACCCACCCTAGCTCCGGCCAGCCGCCCCCCCTCCTGGCCGGATTCGGGTCGCCGGCGAGCGAGCGAGCGAGCGGATTGGCCTCCACCTCCAGATGCGATGCCCCCCCACCCGCCTTGTCTAACGATTTCCTCCTATTTTCTTTTCTTGGAAATTTCTCCCCGCCAAATTAGCTCTCCCAAAAAAAATAAAAATGAATAAATAAATCATTTTTTTTATTTTTTTTAGGAAAGTTAACGAGTTCGTTTGGTAGGTGGCGGCTTGTCGGATGGATCTGAGCTGTCCCCCACATCATAACTGTCACTTTTCCCTCAACGTGGGCCTCCACTACCAGGCCCATTTTGGCCCATACTCTACGTGGGCCGAAACACTGAGGCCCATTAAAAACGAAAACCTGGAGCGGGGAGGCGTCTTCGTCTTCCTCCCTCCGCACGCGCCGCCGGAAGCGCGAAACCCTAGCAATGGCGGCGGCGGCGGCGGAGGGTGGCGGCGGCGGAGGTGGGGCGGTGTACGACCCGAGCTACGTGCCGGACTCGGTGAAGACGTTCGTGGCGCACATGTACAGGCACGTCAGGGACAAGAACGTGTACGAGATCCACCAGATGTACGAGGGCGGGTTCCAGCGGCTCTCCGACCGCCTCTTCCGCGACGCGCCGTGGCCGGCGGCGGAGGCCGTCTCGCCCTACTGCGACGGCGACCACGTCTTCCTCCTCCTCTACCGGGAGCTCTGGTACCGCCACGCCTACGCGCGGGCCTCCTCGTCGTCGTCGTCGTCCGCGCCGCTCACCGCCGGCCAGCGCGCCGAGTCGTGGGCGAACTACTGCGACCTCTTCAGCGTCGTCCTCCACGGCGTCGTCAACATGCAGCTCCCCAACCAGTGGCTCTGGGACATGGTCGACGAGTTCGTCTACCAGTTCCAGAGCTTCTGCCAGTACCGCGCCAAGCTCAAGAACAAGTCCGACGACGAGCTCCACCAGCTCAAGCAGTTCGACAAGGTGACACACCCAGCTCACCACCAATGCTTCTTGATTATGCATTATTACTACTATTCTTTCTTAGCTGCAGCCTAATCTAATATGTAATTCAGTTTCTTTCTTATCTGCGGCGCATAATATAATCGGCAATCCGGTTTGCTGAATTGTTCTTAGCTGTGGGGTACAATCTAATATGATTTTCTGATTTGTTCTTATCCGTGGTGTACAATCTAATGTGGTTTGCTGAATTGCTGCAGGCGTGGAATGTGTACGGGGTTCTCAATTACCTGCAAGCGCTGGTGGAGAAGTCCATGATCGCGCAGATTCTGGAGAGGGAGAAGGAAGGGCTCGAGCAGTTCACTGCCACCGACGGCTACGACTACCAGGGTGGCAGCAATGTGCTCAAGATGCTCGGTTATTACAGCATGATTGGGCTGCTCAGGATACACTGCCTCCTTGGGGATTACCGCACTGGCCTCAAGTGCTTGGCACCAATCGACCTTAACCAGCAGGGGGTCTACACCATTGTGATTGGGAGTCACATCTCTGCTATCTACCACTATGGCTTTGCAAATCTTATGATGCGCAGGTACTAAAGTTCATTGACTGCCTTGGAATCAATGGATACTTCAATCTACAGTGCCATGTTAGACGCAGAGTTTTTTGCTCTTCTATGTTCAAATTGTACTTAAATCACATGAAATGCGTCCTAGGATATAAACATTATTTCCAGTAAAATTAGATTGAGTCATGTTGTACAGCCACACCTAGGATATAAGCATTCTTTTCAGTAAAACCCCATTTTATGAATTTATTTTTTAATTCACTTTCTTGAAATTGCCCAAGATGGTTGTTTTAGCTAATGCTATATTCTTCTGGTAGATATGCTGAAGCCATACGTGAATTCAACAAAATCTTGCTGTACATTCTGAAATATAAGCAGTACCATCAGAAGTCCCCGCAGTATGACCAGATCTTGAAGAAAAATGAACAGATGTATGCCTTCTTGGCAGTTTGCCTTTCCTTATGCCCGCAGCACAACCTCATTGATGAGAATGTTAGCACCCAGCTGAAAGAAAAGTATAATGACAAAATGACAAAGATGCAGAGGTTTGATGAGGAAACCTATGCTGCGTATGATGAACTGTTTTCATACGCATGCCCCAAGTTTATTACTCCATCACCTCCAGCCCTGGATCAGCCACTTACAAATTATAACCAGGTAATGCTTTTGGTGTTAAATAATAATGTATTTTTCTGATTCATAGATACGTCCTATCTAGTTGTTACTGCAGTCAATCTAGAAATTTGTCTCCTGGTGTTTGGTTCACGACTGCAGCTACTGGATGTTGTCACTCCTTGAGCCCTTTTGCCTTCTCTTCATGGACTTTATTGTGTTTGCCAAAGTTCTGACAGCTAATTTACTCTTTCCCAAAAACAAATTAATAAAATCAAATAGCCCTTTAGTTACTTTTCCTTGTTTCAGACTATTGCACATTCAATTTTAGGGTGAAATTGTTCTTCCCTGTTAAACAAAGTAAATTCTCCTGCAGTAAAACATTCCGGTGGTTTAAATTCCATTTAAAGCTCCTAAAGGGGTCATAAGAAATAGGCATGTTATCTTGTCACATGGAAATGATAGAATGTAGGCTAAATTTACACGTTTGTTGATTACACAAAATGGTGTGTTTCTGATTATTGTGGATGTCTAATTCTATAGGATTTGACTTTCTTGTTTACTACATTTTGTTTATTGTTTTACTATTTTGTAACAGGATGCATACCGCCTTCAATTGAAGTTGTTCCTTTATGAAGTGAAGCAACAACAGTTGCTTTCAGGGATCAGAAGCTATCTAAAATTGTATTCAACAATAACTATTGCCAAACTTGCGCAATATATGGAAGTGGATGAGGCAACGCTTAGGTCTGTATGATAATTAACTTTTCTTGGTAATATTTCAAAGGGCCATGAAGAACTTAAGTCAATATTTGTACAGGTCTATCCTGATGACGTACAAGCACAAAATGCATGCAGTTGACAATAATGGAAAGATTGTTTCCAGCGCAGACTTTGATTTCTACATTAAGGAGGTAATGTGCCATAATAATACCCTTCTCTGAGGCCCAGAATATTTTTGTAACCATTTCTTGTGTTGATATACAATTCCTCTTTTCAGCTGTCTTGATACCTTCCAGCTAGTAAATAGAACTGCATAGCTGTAAAACTTCTTTAACGTTGCAAATTCTCCAATTTCAAGTTGATATTTAGTTCTTGAATATTTGGGTTTGGCTTTTATGTGTGATCCTCTAATCCTTTTGCTTACTCAGAGGTAGCTGTAGTTAAGGCACTATTGGCATATGCCATTATGCATCTAGTTTGACACTATAATTAACTGCCAATAATCTATGTGCAACCATGCAGGATGTTATTCATGTCATGGAGTCCAAACCAATCAAGCGCCATGGTGATTACTTTTTGAGACAGATTTTAAAGGTATCCATACCACCGCTTGGCATAACCTTGCTGTGAACCACTACTACCATTTGCATTTCACTATTTCTTCTGAAAATAATGTGTATGTTGCTATACCTTCAAATCTTTACTATTATCCTGCAGTTTGAGGAAATGATTGGTGAACTGGAGAAAGTACAGTTTGACTGAGCCTGGTAGGAATCATGGAGGAGCGGGGTACATCCCCACTTAGTTTAGCTGTTGCAAGAGGCACTCATGATAGTTATTGTGTACTTATTAATATATGTGCCTTTTGTACTCCTTTTTGACTTCAGAGATGAACCGGTAAATTCTTTTTGAAAATTGTAGGAACTTCAGAGTCTGAAGTTTGAATTCTCACTACTGTGCCATCATGGCGTTTTCTGTGATGATTCTATACAGTAGTTGAGCTATTATCTCTTCTAGCTGTTCGATATAGTCCTTGTGATCCAATTGCTCGTGAAATTGGGTAAATGGTAAGAAAATATTTTGCGACATTACTTCTGTTTTTTTAACGTGACCCGATAAGGGGAAAAAAACGCTAAGGCATCTTTGGAGCACGGGGGATTAGTTCAATTCTTATAAAAATCATCCAAACATCCTTCAAATTCCAAAGGAAGCATAAGGTCGCTGCAGCTGGCTGCGTTACAATGTTGTCTGTCTTGAAGATGCTCTGCACAGATCTGTTCCAGCATACGAACCCCAAAATTAACGTCAAAGAACCTTGCTCACATCCACATTCAGGTAGGGGTGAAAACGGTACGGAAACCATCTTTATCGTTTTCGTTTTCATATTTTTTTTTCGGAATCGAAATCGGTAACTCCGGATACGAAAACGGAATCGAATATTATCGAAACCGAAAATGGAGCGAAAACGAACCGGCACAAATACGGTAACGAAAATTTATCGGATAAAAAAACCCTCAAACTGATAAATTCAATTCTCAAGTCTCAACGGTCAACGATTCATCATGAAACACAATCATATAAGTCCAATTGTTAAGTATTAACAATACATCACAAAACACAATCTATGTAATAAATTATCTATGTTTTAGAGAGTAACGCAGTTGATAAATCTGAATGCAGGAAAAAAATATTCTTATGTAATTTTATATTTGCATAAAAAATATTTTTTAAAAAAAAAATAACAGGAAAACACCATGGTATTCACTATTAAGTGCTTAAAAAAATAAACCTAGAGTATTTAAGTTACAAAATTTCTAGAAATTCTGAAAAAAAATCCGAATTCCAAGAAAATTTCCAGAAAGTTTCCGACCGATTCCGAGTTCCGACGGAAACTGCCCTTTATCATTTTCGATTCCGTTTCTGAGAAAATATTTCCGAATTCGTTTCTGTTTCTGAAAAATTTCGAAAAAATTCCGACTAACAGATTCCGTTTTTGAAAATAGGTCCGGAATCCGGAAAGTTTTCAGCCCTACATTCAGGCCATGGCACCACATTTTACTGGGACCATGACTGGCTGGCTACATGCTTTCAGCTATGGCACAGTCCAAACCTCCAAAGTTGAAGACTTGAAGTTTAGCACCATACCATGCTGAAATCTAGCTATTACACTCCACAAAAGCATAATTATCGACCTGGCTTTTCGCAAACGGTGGACTCGAAATTTCAACTACTGCTTATCTACCCGACTTTTCTGGTGAAAAGCCTGGAGAAATCTTCACCTTCACCATGCATAAATGCGGATTATGAATATGTGACACATTAAACAGGAATGAATTAAAATTAAATATAACAGTTTGAACAGCCCATGGATCCTGTTGCCTTTTGGAAGCTATGGTTTAGCTTCAACATTTTATAGCTGAAAATGAAAATCTAGGTGTAGGATTTGAGTATAACAGGCATAAACTTGAAGAATTTCTAATAGCCAGGTAAACTTATACCATTATCAGATATTCTAGTACTACCAGAAGTGTGATCATAGAGCGGAATAATGTAGCTTCTGGGCTGAAATTGTAAGGTCGAGAGCAAGTCACAAGAAGCATCTTTTTTTACGGTAATGAACAAGATCGTTCGCATAATGATTGTTACAGCAAGTCTGAGGTGTATTCCTCACATGGTATATCAAGCTATCTAAAACTTTTCAGAAGATGGGACGAAGGAATAGGTGAGCTCAGATATCTTCCCAGATTGCTGCCAGCATTTTTGTCTGATGATCTTTCAGGTGTGGTACACTCGAAATCCAGGACTCTACCCTCTGCCTGAAAAATATGGATAAAAATTACGATCAATAGTGATAATACAACCAAACAATGACATTACTGAGGATGTTAATTTATGCTCAAAAGTGACCAATTACAGAAAAAAAAAACAACTGCTATCCTTTTATTTCCTTTTCTATTTTTCAACAAATTGCTACCATTTTGGCACTCACAAACCAAGATTTTGCAAGAGCTACAAGCTAAGAATATTAACGCAAAGGCAGTTCACTGCCGCGTACCATGATTTTTGTTTGCAATTTGGTTGTCCCTGGTTCCTTCTTGGCATCTGGATTCCCCGTGTTTTCCTTATCAGAGCTTATGTTGTCACATTGGCCGCCGCTTGCCAGTACCTCACGGGCTTCCACCAAAGCAGCAGCAGTCTGCACATTTATCTGCTTCATCAATCCTAGTGCGTCGTAACTATCAGCTGGGCTGGTGAAGTATGAACCCTGGGAGGAACGTATGGACAGAAGTTAACCAAAGAAAATAACAGTAAACAAAGTACCAAATGCGTGACAGCATGAAGGATTAATGAAAAACTATTATCAGGCACAACCCAGTAGTCCAATATATTTCCATCCACTTAACTTAACCCAGTAGTCCATGCTTTTTCCAAACACTGGATTTCTATATGACACAATATGAACATGAGAAATAAAATTAAAAAAAGAGGTAAATGTACCTGAAAATGCATATCGACGAACCAAGGGGACTTCCATGCTGAAGGAGATTCTAGTCCTCTTTTGATACCTGGGGTATCAGCCAATCTAACAAGAGCAACAGTTTAGAATTTCAGAACGACAAATTAACTGAAGGAACAAGGATCATAAAACAATCTCTTCAGACTTCAGTAGTGGGTTTAATTCCCTGATGTATTATCCTAAATGTATCATCCTAAATGCATTAGGGAATTAAACCCACATTTCAGATGAAATAACGTGCCAATTACAGTAAGATGGTGGCTAAAAGGCTTATGATAATTCATTTGATACAAAAATATTTTTCAGTTTCTGTCTAAAGATGGAAGCTCTTGAAGGGATATTCTGATTGCATAGACAAGGATGAGCATCAACTTCATAAATCTTGTACTGGTTTAAGTATCTAAGTAGATATCAGGAAAGTGAAATATGCCACACCACTGAACTAAGTTCAACATGAAAACCCTGCAAGACCCAGTTTAAGTTTAGGTTTAGCAGACTTCACAACAGTGGCGTAGCTAGCTAGGTGGCACTGTGGTCCACCTACAAATTTGATCAAGATTAAAACTATAGTATATGTACTGGTTAATATAATAAAAATTGTATAGTGGACCACCCTTTTAATTGACCTAGTACATATAGATGGACCACCTACTTTAAATCCTAGCTACGCCACTGCTTCACAACTATTCAGAAGCATGCAGGAGTATGGGTTCAATGCATTGATGCTTGCTAATATCAAGAAAAGGAGGAACTCATCATTCACTAGAGATCAGTTTCCAAAAAAAACTTTGATTTTCACATAATCTGAGAAGATAACCAAACAAAAGAATCTGATGGAAAACAACAAAGGAACATGTGAGTGGTGTGAAGTCTTACATGTTCACATATTCATAATCCACATTTATACATGGTGAAGATTTCTCCACGATGAGTTCAGTGGGCTTTGATTTAGCACACACTCCCTCCTTACAGACTGATAAAGATTTCACATTTGTGTTCAGCTTCTGATTCATGGTATTTTTGCCATAATCTGGGGAAATGGGATCATCGCCGCTGTGTTCAATAAGAATACCTGCAGGTTGCTGCATCAAACAACAATATAGATAAGAACAAGATCATCAGCAAAACTCATTTGCTATTTTGCCCGGGTCTGCCCAGCCCCCATATTTCATACTACTAACATGGTTAAAAAGCACTTGCTACACTCAGTCATTCAGGGCATTAACTTGGTCCACCTCCTCAAAGAAATAAGGTACTACTGACAAGCTAAATATCATCAGAAACTGGAAGTACTTACTAAATTGCCTGACAGGTCATCATTAGTAGCTACATTTGTTGCAGAACTGCGTTCCCCTGTTGTCTGCTCGTCCATGTGTTCGTCATTTCCAGCACTCTGTCCATCTTTTGTCTGTTCAGTTGTGTAGCCCAAATTTTCCTTGTTTTCATCAGAGAAAACAAGTTTCTTTTCCAGAGATTTAGAAGAAGCAGATCGCTCAATACGCAAAACTGTAGTTATAAGTGCATCATCTTTAGTGGCATTGATACAACTTGTTTGAATGCCGGTGGAGGATGTGTCTGATACCCCACGATCCTTTTCAGTCCCATATTTCTTCTCGATTCTTTTATCTGGAATAGGAGACAAGAGATCTCTGTGACGTTTCTTCAGTATTGATGGCGTGCATATGAAGCTTTTGGCAGCACTCTTCAGCAAAACGCCCGTGCTTTCATCATGAGTAGGGGAGCCCCACAATCTCATTGGCGTGCAGACATTCATGGTTGAATGCATTAACTGCCGAATGCCAAGGGGACTAAACTCTTGGAGATCACCAGAGGTTACAAGATCGCAACTGACAAATGGAACATCCAGGCTTGGAAAACGAGGAGGTTCGTAGAAGAGGGCTCCCTTGTCCTGTTCATCTGGTGCAGTCACACTCTGTGTAAGCGATGGTTCTTTCTCTAGACTGGCTTCAGGTTCTTCCGCATTAGTAACCTGTTGGTCCCCACATTCAGGTATGCTTTCCATCGTTGAAGAAGGAACATGTCTGTCATTGCTACAACCAGGGTTAGCAAACATTTCAGCATCACCAGAAGAACTGGAAGATTGGGTAACCACTTCTGCCTGAGAAAGTGGCATTTCCTTCCGCCCTGGTCTATTATCGAAAGGTGCATCATCAGTCATAGCATTTGAACAAATAAGAGATGGAGGTACTGACATCTGTGGACTCTGGTCATCAGCAAGCCCCATCACACTTGAAGAATTTGATGTCTGTGGCATGTAGGGTGGTGCTAAAAAATGGGTATCTGCTTCAGAGGAATATACATCCGATTGGTGATTTGATCTTGAAATTGAATCAGCTTCAACTGCATCAGGTCCAGAAAGAAGGCCCTGTAAGGAAATATCCTGCCAGAGTTCAGATTTCAGACAGTTAGGACTGTTGAAGTCAGCCTCAGACATGAAATGTAGTTTTTGCTCAGCTCCAGAATCACTTGATAACATAGAGAGAGGCACCTCCATTGCTACATCATATGGCTCCAGAGATCTTTCATGATTTTCTATACTACAAACAGTCTGGTTGTCTGCAAAACTAGGAACAGTTGGCATTTCATCTATAGTCATGTCCAAATTCAGTCCTTGAGCAAAGTCCTCTTGCAAGTGTTGATCTGGATCCAAGTTAGAGGAAGAAACATGGCAATGCACAGCAGGCAAAGCAGATGCAACAGCCTCCGCAGAAGTATAGCATGCTTGGGGACCCATGGAAGATTGAGAATCATGTGCTTCATTCTTGTCAAAATTCGCGTTTACTTGCAAATCACAGCCCAATGGCACAGTAGTATCATGCACTTGGGAGCAAGAAACCTTGGCAAGTGATGATTGACTACACCCTGATGAATTTTCAACCTCTCGGACAGCAAAACAACCACTATCTTCACTGTTTTGTTGGGTCATCGCTGGTGAGGAATTACAATTTGCAGAATATTCATTTAGAGGGAGACACGAAACTTGGGTAAGTAAACCTGATGACATGTATGAATTGACTTTCTTCTTTACTGAACTGTTCCAGTGATTTTTAATTGAATTGTCCGTCCTGATAGGGGAAACAGAATTTTAAAAATTCAATGACTTCAATAGTCTAAAAGAGGTTTTTTTAAAAAAATTAACAAGAAGAATTAATTGCACAAAAGTACTAGATCATTGTGCATTACTCCCTCCGTCCCAAAAAAAGTGAATCTAGGACTGGATGTGACACATTCTAGTACAATGAATCTGGACAAATGTATGTTCATATTCATTGTATTAGGATATGTCACATCCGGTACTAGGTTTTTTTATGGGACGGAGGGAGTAGGTCATAAACAGCTAGAGAAGGCAAGAATGCTAAACTTGAATAGATGTGTCAAAATGGCCGTAAAACAAAAATTTTGCATGCATCATTTCATGGAAAAGAACATAGATTAATTTCAAGCAGCTCTTAGGTAAGGAAGAAACATTACCTTCCTGGTAAAAATTTTGTCAGCTCGGCCCATTTATTTCCATACATTCGATGAGCATGTATGAGGGTAATTTCCTCTTCTTGTGTCCATGCCTCCTTGTTTATGCCAGGGTTAAGATGGTTGTACCACCTAAATGCAGATTAGATGATACATCTGTAAGGCATCCAATACATTGTAATGATACTCAAATTAAAAATAATGCTACCATGCATATTAAGAAACAAAGTTAGGATAGTTTACAAAATACTGCATTGTTAAAATAAATTGTACAGCATATATGGATTGTTTAAATCCACCACATGGTTTGGCAGCCTTCATTGTACAACATATATGGTCTATGGAAGAACTATGTCAAAAGAAAACCTGCATTCATCTGCAGAACAAAGGACTAGAAGAAAGCAGTAGTTGCTAGCACAAAGAAGCTACCCTGTTGAGACCCACAAAATATATTGTTCTATCTTTTTTTTTACTTGGTGCAAGCTAAATGGAATAAGTAATTTTCATGGCATTACCGTTCTCGACATTGCTTTCCTATACGTCCAGGCAAAGCTTGAGCAATGGTTGACCATTTCTTTGGTCCAAGTTTGTTTACCATCTGAACAATGATTTCATCTTCCTGAAAAAAGGAGCATGCCATTGTGAGCGTAAGATGAGTAACCAATACAGTATTATTTAAGAGATGAAAATAAATCAAATAGCATGCTTACTTCTTTGGACCATGGCCCTTTGACTAATTCAGGGTTTAGAACCTTTTGCCACCTGTGCAAGCATTGTACATCGGTTCTATCCGGAAAGCATTCCGCTGGAAAATTAGAATGTTCTCTGTCAAAACTTGGATTTTTAACAATATACTGGAAATCTCATCAACAGGGTAAGCATGTCTAGGGTGTGAGTTAATGAAACAGCAGAATGCTTTCCTGTACATGAGTTAGCATAACATCGAAAATAAAATATAAAATATGCTGATTGGTTTATGATATCCTAGTGCACTAAAGTACAAATATAAACAATGGTTAGAAAAAGGAAGCCTTGAGAACAATATGGTAAAAATGCATTAGATGTTATGTATAATATTGTGAAATATAAATATTATTCCTGTTAGAACCTGACATGAATTGCCATACAACAGTATGTAATCATAAACCAAATGCGCAAAAAAAAAATAAAAGAAAAAATCCAAGGGAGTCTAACATATGCGTGATAAGCTATAAAATGCAGTGTTATGTAGATACCAAATGGATTTTAGAAGGCTATTTTATTTTGTTTATATATTCCAACATAAAAAAAAACAACCATAAAGAATTCAAGAAAAAGAAAAGTATGTCAGCTAAAAGATACAATACAAATACAATGATAAAGAGTAAGGACTAAGGAAATAGCCAAAGAATCATTGCATGATTTTCCATATCATTGCAGCAATCGAAAGAGCATACCTATTTTTTTCCAGTTCTTCCCGTTGTATGTCTGAACAGCTCTGGACAATATGGCATCCTACATTTGAATATCACATATGTGCAATGTTAAACCATGTAAGCAAGAAAATTTATGTATAAGACACATGGAAATTTTAAATGTTGCATGAGAGGCTGATAAGATGGGTCCAGGCTCACATATCAGTGAGGCATTAAAAGGCATATACAAAATAGAACCAAAATGCTGCTGGTTACAATTTACAAAGCATAGAATCAGAATATAATTGCACACATGAGTATATGACAAAAACAGAATAGCAGGAAACCCCAAGGTAGAAGAGTGAAGTTTATGATTTGCCTCAGAGTACATGCAATCCACTCGTTGACCTAAAGTTGCCCATGGCTCCCTTGGATTTTAGCAATTAGTAAATTATCATATTCAACTTGGTTTGTAGGAATAAAGCGCCAAATTAAGCAACTCAAGCCTCCACACAAGAGTCGGGATTTAAATTGAAATGTTTTTTCATATTAAAAAATTATAGGTCTTTGCCATTAAACACATTAGATGTCTACAGTCAATCATTCTCAACAATACATAAAATAGGATTTTCAGTCACCATTTAATAATTCGTACAGGAAAAGGACTCTTTGTCAACAGAAACACAAGATGACATTCATGTGGTATACCTCTTCAGGGGTCCAATTTCCTTTGGTGGAACGCCGTGTCGGACCGGTGGTCCTCCTAAATTTGCATGGACAAAGAAACAAAACAAAATTTAGTACAATATACATTACGATAGTCAAAAGAGCTTTTAGCCTTTTACCCATTGAGAGGTCGTCGCCTTTTTGGTTCATTGCTGATTTCTCCTTCTTGAGGAGCCGACGGAGGTCCAGAAGGCTCTCCATCCTTATCTGGAGCCTTTCCGTTATCGCTTGTCATCATGAGTGAAGACAATCAATCCTCACTTTGCAGTAGAAACCTCCAAGGGATATAAAAATCATTATACTGTCAAGCCTCAGTGAGGCCTTCAGGGAGTTGCTCCAAGGGAGAAGCAATCATAAGCTGCAAAAGAATTGGACGAATGAAGATATTGTCACAAGATGTAACAATAGAAGCATTCAGGGATGCATAGAGGACAGGACATTGACTACCCTCATAAGAACATGAATTCTCATTTCAAAGGAGTTGGGGTAGAATTCATGTCATTTTCGTTTTATTATAGAGATGGATTGTATAATATTTTATCTAAAAAAAGAGTTGGGGTGATAATGTGTCTACACCCCCTCGTTGTACATCTTTATGAAAACTAAAAAATGCATCATTCACCCTGATGTATATGTAGATGGTTGATTGATATGCAGTCAAGTGGATAACTTGCAAATGGGGAAAAACTCCTCTTTGCTTCCGTAAACTATTCTGCAAATCTACTTATTAGCTCATTCTACCCTCCGAAGTCCGAACTACTGAAGTAGCTAATTTCACATTTAGGGGGAGTAAACCTTAAGCTTTCTGCAATATATAAAATAGTTTTAGGGTAGTAAAATGTTTTTTCTCCTTTTAGATTTGAGGATTGTATTTTCTGCAAAATGTGAATTATCTCCTGGTTTATCCATAATCTAAAAATATGGACCTCCTCTGTCTGGGTTTCAGGTTTATTTGGTGCTAAAAGCGTCTGACTTTCGCTGTGGAATTTACCAGACAAAAAATATATAACACAGATCTTAGTGATACGAATTATCTGGGCTCGTAAGTCGGTTTATATCGTATAGCATAGCACCTCCTCCATATTCAAACTCAAATCAGCACAACACTTCAACCCAATCACCAACGAAGCAACATCCCAAAGCAACAATTAATCAAGCAGAGAGATGGAGAGATATATACCAGATCACCAATCGCCTTGCTGACGGGCGAGCCTGGACGCGAGACGCCTCTGCCGTGCCGCCGCCTCGTCCGCCGGGAGCGCGTCCCTTCCGCGGCTTCTGCTGCTGCCGCTGCCTGCCTGGATCTGGGTGGCCCGAAATCCTTACCAGACGCCCTCAACTCAACCACCGCGGCGGCTGCTGCTGCGGACGCCGCCCGGCCCGAGCGATGACGGCGCGATTTGCGGAGGTGGGAGAACGGAGGGAGGCGCCTGCGGGGAGGTCGATGGAAGAAGGCGGCGGCGGCGCGCATAGGAGGAGGGGGGCTTCGCCGGCGGCGGCCGCGACGCGCATCGGCGGCGCGCGGCGGAATTTCGGAAGAGAGGGGAAGATGAGAAGAGGAGTGGATGGCTATTTGGCGATTTTTCCAGGGTGGTTTCTGCAAAAAGGACGGGGACGCGAGGGGGCGCGGGGGTGTGAAATGGACGGCGGGGAGATGGCCCGCGTGGGATCCGCGCGATCTGGGCCGTCCGTTTCCACGTCGGCCGCCTTTGTGTCCCGCTTCGGCAATTTTTGAATGCCAACGGCTGGATTGCGGCTAGTCGTTGGTTGTTGTTTTGTTACCTTTTTTTTCTTTCCCTTTTGTTTCGATGGTTTTTAATTTGGGAATGGGGTAAAACAAAATTCGTTTTGAAAGGATGGGGAAAGCATTTGTTTTGTGTGTGATGCAACTGGAACAGAATAATTGTTTGCGTGTGTGGTGAAAATGTAGAAACAATTGAGATTTGGTTTTCACTGTTTCTTACGTTTGAAGAAAATTTGAAATTATTGGTGGCAATAAATGTTCCATACACGTTGTTATCATGTTATGGCCAACAATAGTCACATTTCACCCATGGTATTTTTCTCTTTCCCGTGAATAAATATTTCATTTGCAATTACTTCTTGTGAAAGTACATATAAATTATTTCAAATTCTCTAGCTAGTATTGCTATTTATTGGCATACACTCATAGGATACAAACAGGAATTCGTAAAATAAAAGTAATTCATAGTTATATTTTTCATGTTGCAAGGCTTTATACTACCGGGTTAAACTCAAAACCACATTTTGTAGCTAAAAAAGCTAATAAATTCGACGTGACCTAGGAAAGCCCAAGGCTCGAGCCTGAGTTTTAAGTCATTGTCGAGCTCGGCTCATTTTATTTGGCTTTGATTTGTTGTAGCCTAATCTGACCAGGGTTTGGAGATCTCACTATACCACAATACACATATCAGGGTTATGGATACCACATACCTAATAGTAGTTGACTAAATCTTGGCAAGACCCACCACATACCATGTCCTATACGGAAACAACCTGCGGATATAGGGGAGTTCCGGATAAGGAAAGACAACCAGAGTTCTACATGAAAACGACAAGGACTACTCGGATTGTATCCATATTGGTTCCCTAGTTCTACTTGGACAAGGGGACACCTATGGGTATAAATACAAGTCCCCCTAGGAGGAGAGGGACAGAATCCACACACCCAACACAATGGACATGGAAGCCACAACATAGAAGCCTACATACGCCAAGACACGCCGCCGGATATCGACTTCAGGGATAAGCACGGCTAGTACCCTACGGTGTCTCCGGATACTGTCAGGAGAGACGAAAGCGCTATCTCTGATCTCGCCGGGCACGGATTCGAGGAGGAAGGCTATCCTGTTGTCGACTACGAGTCAGATCGTCAGACCGTCATGTCGACAACAGTTAGATAGGCTACCCCAAATATTGTACTGGTGTGATTATCATGAATAAGAGCAATACCGGCTTCGGCCAACAGGATGTAGGGTTATTACCTGACAATTCAGGGGCCCGAACCTGTATAAAAATCCTCGTCTCCATCTCTTTTACCTCAGTCTCGCGTATACCCTAGTACCAACGATCCCTATGCCATGCAAATACCGTAATCGAGACATCAAACGTCGACAACACATGTTCCATAAGATAAGCGGCTTCATCTTTTCGCTTATATTTATGCTTATCAGCCAAAATTTGAATTTTCAACCTTATTTTTGAGCTGATTTTGGGTTTTCTCATTGAAGTTTACTTTTCAGCCATTGTTTTTAAATCGCTAAAAATACGTATATAAAAATTTTATTCAAAAATTACTTTTCGTTTGCAAATATATTATTTGGCTTATTTCATGAATAAGTGAAACAATAGGGCCGGAAATCTTCCAAGTTGGACATATCCTTGTTTACACAGCGGGATAGTCATTGTCTCATTGAGCAATGAGCATATGATGCCTATTATTAGCATCCTCTTTAGCGACACCAGTGATTGCGTCAAGTTTACCGTGACTTCACTTATAAAGGTTAAAATCATGATGCTCATAATTAAATAATCATGTCCATCTATAATTGGTGCATAACCTAAAAGTTATTTCCACTGTATAACAATTGTGCTTCAGTGCACCTGGTAGTCGACCACAACATCACACTCGTTCCCTTAGGCGTGGCCTGTCGTTTTGATCAAGCAGTACTAAACCTAATTTTATTCAAGGTTGAGATATATTTAAGCACGTGGTCTTCCACAGGCATTACCGCTTTTGGGAATTTGCTGGAACCTAATTTTATTAATGTTGGGATATATTCAAGCATGTGGTCTTCCACAGGCATTGCCACTTTTGGGGTTTGCTCGGAGCGTAGTGTAGCTCCGCCTCGGCGCCTCCTCCCTCTCGTTGTTTGGAGTAACCATTTTTTCGCAATAGTTTTCCCTTCTTTTACTTTTTGGTTTTTTTTCTTTCTTCCTCCTGGTATAGGCTTGTCTGGCAGATTATGTTGTATAAAAAAACTCTTTTACTTCTAATATATTGACGTGCAATCTTTTTGCGCGTTCGAAAAAAAATATATTCAAGCCTACATGTAAAACGAAATGGTTCATTAGCACATTATTAATTGAGAATTAGCTATAAAAACTTTAAAATGTATTGATATAAATTTATAAAGCAACTTTTCTATAGAATTATTTTTTAAAAAAAATTATCGTCTAGTAGTTTAGAAAGTGTGTCCTTAAAAAACAAGTGTGTAGAAGTTGAAAAATGGTAGTGTCGAACACAACTTTAATCATCCGTCTAGCCCATTATAATTTACTACAACATATAGACACATGCTACTTTTTTTTAGAATATTTTTTTTCAAGAATTATAGACATGCTACTTAGTATATATTCGTGCTCGGACACAACTTGGCAATGGTAATTGCCGCACAGCCTCATATTTTTTGTTTATGCCTAATTGCATATACTTATTAGCTAAAATTGAAATTTTCAACCTTAAATTTAGAGTTGATTTTAGGATTTTGTTTTTCAACGTAGTTTATTTTTTAGCCTTTATTTTTATATCATTTAAAAACATATATATATATAAGCTTTATTTATAAATTATTTTTTATATACTGTTTCGCTTTTTTTTTCTTCAATATGCCAAACGAAAAGGATGCTAGACTCGTGGAGGTGGGTTGTCCGATCTGGGCTCATGCTCATCCAAGTCAACAAACTCAAATATATAAATATGCGAACGGGCACGTTTAAGATTTGCCTTGTCCCAGGATCTCACTGGAAACCATTTACACTGGTGTACCTCTGCTCCTCCTCCTCTCCCATAATAAGGCCATACCCATAATCAATACTACCAGTACGGCAGCACTACTCCACCACTACCGCACCACCATTACACCCAAGAAATTAATCCCACAACTCAAGGCCGGATTTAGTTATCAATTTTTTCTTTAAACTTTTAATTTTTCCATCACATCAAAACTTTTCTATACACAAACTTTCAACTTTTCTATCATATCATTCTAATTTTAACGTGAAGTAAACACACTTCGAATGTACAAAACTCCAAGCACGGCACCACTACTACTACTCAGCGCACCGTGTCGCAGCCTGCGCGCATGTGCTCCCCCCTGCAACCGCACGTCTGCGCCGCGCCGCACGCCGCGCGTCCGTCCACCGCGTCCGTCCGCGCGGCGCGGCCTCCGTCCTCCTCCGTCGCCTGCTGCTGCACCGACGCACGACATGCGGCCACCGCCCGGAAGCTACCTACCGCTAGGAGCATGTGTAGGCAGAACCTACTCCGCTCCAAAAATAAATCAATCTCCTACGCGATCTAGATGTAACACATACTAATACTATAAATCTGAGCATACGTATGTTCATATTTATAGTACTGGAATGTGTTATATCTCGTAAGAGATTGATTTATTTTGAGACGAAGGGAGCGACTTCATCTCTTTTAAAGCTAGAACTCAACCAAACAATATTAGCTTCACCTTAAAAAAAGAAAGCTAAAACTCAACCAAATAATTTTAGCTTCACCTAAGAAAATAGAATAGCGTAAATGCTATCACAAAATAAACTAACGAGGTTGAGTTGAGTTTATACTATTTTATAATTTCATTGCAGACCTAGTTTTTAAGTTAAATTTAGGAATTGAAACGCTGTTAAACGGGCTAGCTCTAGTACTAGCAAATCCTCGTAGCAGTATGTAACACATGCGCTGTGGCAGTGTGACACTGACACGATCACACGGCAAGGGCCAATTTTGAAGAAAGAAAAGTTGGAATCTAAACAGACCCTTGCGATTGGTTAGTTGGGGAATTGGAGATCTCTCCGGTCAGGGGTGATGACAGAGCTCCGATCCGGACTCGGTGTTGCCGGCACATGCGCCATGGCCCATGGGGCCTCTTGCCTGATCACCCTCTCCCCACAGCTGAAGGACTACGAGGACACATTCTCACTGACCGGCAAGATTCAAAACTTCAGAGAGTTGTTGTATTATTCAGATGGTCTGAACTCTGAAGAAAAACGTGGTTCACGATGGTTGGGCACCGCCGCTAATGATGTGTCTCTGTCTGATTTTTCCCCTGCTGCTACGACAAACTCTCCTCTGATCATGCTCTGGTCCCTAGCAAACCTTGTTAGGTTGGGATTGGTGGCCCCTTGGATCTCAAAGTAGTCCCAAAATCTGAAGATAAGGGATCTTTTCAATGGAAGGATTTTCTTGGGAATTTTACAGAATTTAAATCCTATAAGAAAAAAAAATTCCTATAAATACCTTTGAAACAAGAAATGAGAGTCTCATCGGTTCCCATATTCCCTAATAAGCCAAAATGGCTTATCAGAGAATAAAAATTAATTTATATTTAAAACATTTATATATTTGTTCGCATCGACTTAAAAGCCAACGCTAAGATATCTTAAATTCAACTTCAAAATTAAGTTCAAACATTTAAATTTTGACTTTTGCTTTACCTTATTAGGCCAATCAATAGGCTCTGAGATGCGTAAATTCCTATGAATTGGCCTCCTACTACCTCCTAATGTCCTATACCGTCAGGAAAATAAATATAAGCTCTAACATCATGTTTTTATTCTCCTTTGAGAAGTCCAATGCATTCTTTCTCCATCTCTCTACCACATGTAAATTCATTTTTACTTCCCGTGAACCATCCAAAGACGGTGAAAAATATACTATTTCTGTATTTTAGGATCGTATGTGATTCTATATAATACTTTTTCTCTATTCCTACGTATTTTATAATCATGTTTTTTTAAAAAAATAAGCCCTAATTCAGTAACTTGTGTAGGACTAGTAATGTACTACCTACTCGGTAGTATTTTGTTCTGCTCCCTATTGTAAAAACAATACTTCACCCCCGGGATCATTATTGTTATTGTCCTGCTACCCGCATCTACAATTAAAGATTGTGTGGTCACTTTATCTGCCCATGAGCACGGATGCTTACTCTTAAAAGTGTCATGATAAATTGCAGCACCAGGAAACCTTGGACAAGAAAACCGGGTAAAATTAAATGCTTACTACGTCAAATCTAAATACTACCTCCGTCCTAAAATAAGTGCAGCCGTGGATATCTGTGCCCAACGTTTGACCGTCCGTCTTATTTAAAAAATTTGTGAAAAATTTAAAGATATTTAGTCACACATAGAGTACTATTCATGTTTTATCATCTAATAGCAATAAAAATTTTTCAAATAAGGCAAACGGTCAAACATTGAACATGAATAGTGTAAAACTGTATTTATTTTGGAACGGAGTGAGTATCAGACAACCAACTTACTCCTACCCAACGGTCCAAGAGAAATCCTGAGAAACAGGCAACATGCAACATCCTCTCCTTTTGCTGTAACCTGTACTACCGGACTGTTCCTTTTAGATTATTCACTGGTTTATTAAAACAACATACTGTTAGTATTTGCTCCACGCTAAAAAAATATTTTTTGGGGTAAAATACTTCTTATACTATATTATTTTAAACGCTTATTCTAAGTATTTTTAAAGCTTATTTCTTAAATATTTAATTTATTCTTATAATAATCAAGCAGATAATTCATGATAATAATGTTCCCTTGATAATAATTAAACACCTTAGGTGGTATTTGTTTATACTGTAGAAGATAAAGTTAAAGAAAAAAGAAAAGCCAGTAGCATATAATTAATTGAGTTTTATTTTATTGTAAATTTGATTTAATAGTTTAAAACAACTTGTATATACTCCCTCTGTCCCATAACGTAGCAACTTAAGATGAGATGAGACCCATTCGAGACATGTCCAGATTTGTAGTCAACCCATCCTAGGTTACTATATTATGAGACAGAGGGAGTAGAAAGCTTTTCATATAAAATACACCGTTTAACAGTTTAATAAGCATTCAAACAAAAAAACGAGATAGGATATGTATCTCAGCCCAAAAAGAACAGAATAAATCAAACTGGGCATAAGGTTCAGATTTAAGGGGGAAAAAAAGCTTCAGAAATGGGACCTGCCTGAGTATGACACAGTGGCCCTACTGCACAGACACACATACCCTCCCTGACCCTGAGTGTGAGTGACATCATCAACCATCATCAGAGAAGAGAAGAAGAGAGGGCATGGTCAAAGTAAACGAGCCCACCACCGGTGGCAACCTGTCCCCTAACTCCCTTTGCTCATCAAAAGACAGAGCTTGAGCTCTCTCCTCATGGCCACCACCACTAGCACTGTGCCGTGGTAGTGGCAGCAGTAGGAGGTCACTGCACTAGCCCACATGCCGCTGCAGTAGCTAGTCGTCGTAGCAGCAGCAGTATACTACTAGTAGTAGCCTTCTTGGCCTTCTTCTTCTTCTTCTTGCACAGATCTTGGGGGCGCAATCAGCCAGTTGCAGGCTTGCAGCAGACGAACCTCGGAGAGAGAGGCCTGCGTTCTTGCGAAAGAGGAGCTAGAGGTGGGTGCCATTTATTCCCGTCTTCGTTCTTGGCTTTTGTTTTTGGTTGTAAACTGACAATTTGGGGGTTGGGGATTGAGTTGATAATCGGAGATAGTCATATAGATGGTTTCTGAAAAAAAGCTTCTGTGAGTTCATTTGCTTGGCCACTCTGGTTTTTTTGATTGTTTACTTGGGGGAGGTAACAACAAGAAGAATGCAGGGGACTTCTTGTTTATTGGTCATCTTGTTTAGCTAGTTAATTTGGGGGTTTTTTTTTTGGCGCTCTACAGTAAAATTTGGAGGATTCCATGTCTTTGGGGAGATAAAATAAACTGTCCAGTGTTGATACATGATTCATTACACTGTTGTAATAGGCAGTCTGGGATTTTTGGTTTAGGATTTGCATGTTTGATTTTACAGTATGGGAGTCATGTACAGAGTTAATGAGAGCGAATGACCTCTAACTACAAACTACTACCTTCCAGCTTCCATCACCTTGATTCACTTTCCCCCTTTCCCTTTTCACCTTTCTATAAGAGAAAAGTGTAGTGTACTGCTTGTGAGCTATCAGTTCTTTATTCTTGACATGATCCATATGAAATTCGAGCACTGGTGAATCGAGAGAAGAGGCCAGGTAGGTAGCTGGTCAATGCATGGATATTCCGTGGGCAGATAGAGAACCCTCGTAGTAGCTTTCTTTCTTGTAACCACTTCTTCCACTGCTTCTCCTTGACATTCAATTTCTCTGCATTATTTCTTGCAAAAGATAAACCTTGGTATATGATATCCTAATTTTCTATATTTCCCTCTGTAAGAGTAGCTTTCTTGTGATTTGCAGCTTCAGGATAAAGCAGACACCAATTCCTCAAGGAAACAAGTTCTTAAATTGACACCTCCTTCATAAACTATTTTATAAAGATTCAAAGATAATGTAACCTTTCCTCCCTCCTCAGTCTGACCTGTGGGATAATTTGTTCACTTGAATTTGTTTATCATCTGTTGCTATTTTCTGACCATTTCGGTTTGTCAATTTGCCTTTCTTATGTTGCTCCAGAGAATAGAGAAAATGCATCAAGACAGTTTCAGGTCGGTGGTTTGCAGATCCCTTTCAAAGAGTCTTTCCTCCAAAACCAAAGAGAGCAGCTACCCTGAAATAGCTCAATGTGCTGTCCCTTGTGTTGTCACATTGCAACCTACGGTTTGTCGAGGCTGCCAAGGCCGGGATTGGAGCCCATCACAAAGCAACAGGGAGGATATGTCCATGATGTTGCAGAAAGATTACCTGATGGCATCCTCGCTCTCGAGGCGCTTCGCGGAGGACCTCCTAAGAGGAGCCATGGACCTCCAGGATTCGCTCACGATGCTCGAGAAGTTCCAAACTGCGTCGCGGAGCATGAGAGTGTCAAACAAGAAGAGAAGGCCAGAGGGTTGTGAGAGATCACCGGACACAAGTGGATTCCGTGGAGCCCTGTCGGAAGCGTCAAACGCCAAGAAGATGGTGGGTAGAAGCGCCAGCAGTGGATTGGATGGGGAATTAACGAATTCTACTGATGAGCTGAAAAGAGTGATCAAGGATAGCTTTTACAGGAAGAACATCTTGTCGGTATATCCCAATGATGAACAGGCTTCCATGAGCCAGTCATTACATTACATGCCAAACAAGAATTCGTTATCCAAGCCTAATGAGCAGAAGAAGGCAGCACCAAGATCATTGCCATCTTGTGCACCAGGGCAGTCTGAGAAGTCCAAATCCCCAAGCTTGGTAGCAAAGCTCATGGGCCTTGATGGATTGCCTACACACAATAGCAATACCTTCAAAAAAGACGAGTCAATGAAGACAGTAAGTTCACCAAGGGCACTTTTTGATATTGAGATGCCTAAGGTCCAGCAAAATGATGCTCATATGAGTTCTCCTTATTCCCGAAAAAGTAATGTTTCTCTGTATGATTCTACTGTGGTTAATGAGATTGGCTCAATGAAAACAATTAGGAGGGAAAAAGGCATAGAGCAACCTCAAACCCGAGCAGCCAAGGATATCAAGGTTGTATCTCACACAAGTCGAAAGCAACAAATAAAAGAGACCACTGAAATGGGCAGGAGAAGTAGTGACAAACAAAGACCTCATTCGACTTATAGGAACAGAGAAGGGAGGAAGGATACCAAGTCTAAAACAGGATCAGCATCTCGGTCTAGTGCTAATACAGTGAAAAGGCCTGATAAGAAATCAATGATTGCATCAAGTAGCAGCTCTTCAACATGTCGCACAAGGAAGCCGGTCGCACGTAAAGCACCTAGTAATTCGAGGGAGAAGGCAGTGTCCAGTAGAAGTCGCAAGAACTCAACTATTGATGACATTGTGGTATGCATCTTCTATTATAGCATAGCCTGGAAATATTTTATTCATCTGAAATATTAAACTATTTTGGAACATTGTACCCTCAGATTTAAAAACAACATTTATCTTATTTTTCCCTTTAGAAGTTTCAGTTAAATCATTCAGACCTTGAATTGGAACAGTTCGTTGAAATAATTTATTTCGCTTAAATCACGGGATCTTTTTTTGCTCCTAACGTAGGCATATGAGCTGCACAGAGAGTTCATACAAGTTGATGGTCCATCCACTGAACATAGCGCAACACCTAGTGATGAAAGCTGCCAAAGTGTTGTTGATTGGGACACAGAGCCTAGCATTGATGGTAAGGAACGCTGAATTTCTTTTCATTCTTCTAAACATGTTTTCATTTTTATTTGTCACTAATACAATTTGAAGCCTGTGAAGTAAGAAAATTTCAAATATTGAACTTCAATCGAATGTTGAAATTTGGAATAAACCATTTAGTGAGGAATTTGCTGCTTATTTGCAAGTGGAATGTGACAGTTTTGGAATTCACATGCAGCGGGTGTGACAGTTTTGTCCCGCCAAGCCAGCGAGGGTGGCGTGGCCAAATAACGCTGCCACGCCAGTCGCCAGCTAGACCAGCGTGACCAAAAAACGTTGCCACACCAGCTAGACCGGCGTGACAGTATTGTTTTGCCACGCTAGTTTAGCTGGCGTAGCCAAAAGATTCAGATCATGTAAATAAGTTTTGATAGGGTTTATTTTTAAAATTAAAAATTAAAAAAAAATCATTCCGCTTTAACTATTGTAGACATTAATTCCACTTCTATTTACAGGTTTGTATCTAATAACAGTCCAAGATGATTAATTTCACCACTTAAAAACCTAAATGTTCTCTCTTGCAATGAAAATAGGTGTTTCCACACTAAACAGAAATCTTTTCATGACAGGCATTCGGGAAGATTTGAGTGAATCCTATGAAGCTTCAGTGACTACCAGCTCTGCGGAAAGAACCGATTCAGCTAACGGAGATCCTTTTCACCCATCGACACACTTAGTATCAAAAAATGAAGTTGAAATAAAAGACGAGATGAGTCTGCTTCTCCTAAGTGATCAACCATTCCTTACCCGGGCAGCAGAACTCATTGGCATCGGCGAACCGGGGCATCTGATCAACCGATATAAAGGTATCCGCAAGGCCCAGATGGGTAACCATGAGCTTTTCGTGGACACCGCAACAGAGCAGCTGGAGCGGAAGCATCGTCAGCGAAACAGCTTGTGTTACACAGGAATTTGGAGCCAGAAATGCAGAACAGCACCATACTTCTCACTGGAGGCATTGCTGACAGATATTCGCGATGCGACTCGAAAGCTGAGCATCTATACCGAAGACGACGATGGCTGCACTACAAAAGACACACTATACATGAAACTGGAGAAGGATCTGAGATGCACAGATGCGTCGATCAACAGCGTGTGGGATATGGGCTGGGAAGATTGGATTTTCATGGAGGAAACACAATGCTTCATAAGAGATGTTGGGGAGAGCATTTTATCAGGGCTTATCGAAGAAGCTGCTCTGGACATGTGGGTACATTGATCTGGGAAAATGAAGCCTAGGTGGTTCTTGCGTTCTTGGAGAATTTCTAGCTTTGTTCTCCACTTGGCTGGCACTTCTCATGATTTCCAGTTTCCAGTTTGTATCTATCTTGTGTTACATTTCACCTGTGTAAAAAATGAAAAATGTGCAATGATTTAGAGAGTTGCCTAAAGAAGTGATGGAGTTGTCTTCACCAAGAAACAATTGTAATTTGTGCACAAGGTATGAAGGCATGATGAATAGACAAAGAGCAATGTTTCGTTTCACTTTTTCCTTTCGATGAATGAACAATGCCGAGGAATCTCAAATAGCAATGAGCAAGGACAGTTCTTGTTTTCATTTCTTTTTTTTTTAAAAAAAAAGCTAGTTGTATGCCCGTATGTTATAAAGGGTCACGCTCATATAATTAGGGACGGATTAGACGGGTGATTGATGATACAATATTGGATCTGGTGGTTACTTTTTACAAACGAGAACACACGTACATTGAGAGGAGGAAATAAAAGGAGAAGGGCCCCATTTTTAAAGTAGTAACTAGCATTGAGAGTAGGAAATAAAATGAGGACAGTTGTGTTTGCTAGGGGAGGATGGGAACCTGCACACTACGCACGGAAAACGATGTAGTCTATTAGCGCGTGATTAATTAAGTATTAGTTATTTTTTTAAAAAAAAAATGGATCAATATGATTTTTTAAAAAACTTTCGTATAGAAACTTTTTGCAAAAAACGTACCGTTTAGCAGTTTGAAAAACGTGCGCGCGAAAAACGAGGAGAGTGTTGGTTTGGTCTAAAAGAGCGTATTTTTTTAATTAATCATTTTTTATCTTGAGATTTTTTTTATACAGTGCAGTGGGCGAGGGGAAGATGGACAATAAACAGGAGAGAAACGTAACAATATTATGAAATCTGTGAATCAAAAAGAGTAAAGCACTTACTGATGGAGATAGCTTCCAGGCAAGTTGGGTGGCCTCCCTCCGTTTCTGCCTTCTTCATTGTCAACAACCATCGATGCCTATAAAATATTACTGAAAAACGCTATTAATCGTTCGAGCTCGATGGCGATGCTAGCTCTGCCACTGCAAGCACTTGTTTTTTTCATTTCTTAACCAGCACTTGATGGTGTGGTTGGTTCGATATTTAAGACCTTTTAATCCAAAGTGAGCAACTCATCAAATCCCTTTTACAAACAAAAAGTATTACACCCGTCCCAACAAGTTTTAGAGTTAGACACAATTATTAAGAAGATACTATCTCTATTTTTAAAATATAGTTATTTCTAGCACATTGACTTGTTCCAAATGAAGCTATTTCTCCACCTACCATCTACTCTCAACCAATCACAACTATTCTCTTTACCTACTTTATCTTTTCGACCAATCACAATCCTCCTTCAATTATCTCTATCTATTTTTTAAATATCCGTGCCTACCTAAAAAAGTATTTATGATTTGTAGGTAGATAAGATTATGATTTGTCGAGAAGTGAAAATAAGTAGAAAAATTAAATGGTGAAGGGTTATGATTGGGAAGAGAATGCCGACGAAGAAGTTGCTATATTTTGAGATAAATTTCGAACACTAAGGTGGTGTTTGAGAGGGGAGGGACATATTTTAATCCATCTCACAAAAACATAAATCACTCCCCTAGAGACTTATACTTATATAAGAGGTACTAAACACCCAAACACCACCTAAAAAATGTTTTATCTTCCGATGAGGAATTAGTTAGCTCTCGAACAGTAGTACGAGATTTGTGCAAGTTGTGGTCCTGTCGTCATCCTGTGGAGTTGTGGTGAGTGTTTGACGAATTTTTTTTTTTTTTGGCGGCTCGATTGCAACCCGCGGCCCGCAACAAATCCGACGCCAAATCGGACACGGCCGGCGACTCCGGCGACCCACCACCACACACCAATCCTCCTCCTCCTCATCGCCGCCTGCGACGGCGAGGCGGCGAGCGATGGATTCCCTGGGCGTGCTGCTGGTGGCGCCGATGAACGCCTACCTGGAGCAGGAGCTGGACCGGCGGTGCCGCCTCTTCCGCCTCTGGGAGTCCCCCGCCGACCGCCGCGACGACTACCTCCGCGCCCACGCCTCCTCCATCCGCGCCGTCGTCCCCTACGCCCTCCAGGGCGTCGACGCCGCCATGATCGACGCCCTCCCCTCCCTCGAGATCGTCTCCTCCTTCTCCGTCGGCATCGACCGCGTCGACCTCGACGCGTGCCTCCGCCGCGGGGTCCGCGTCACCAACACCCCCGACGTCCTCACCGACGACGTCGCCGACCTCGCCGTGGGGCTCGCCATCGCCGCGCTCCGCAAGATCCCCCAGGCCGACCGCTACGTCCGCGCCGGCAAGTGGAAGTCCAAGGGCGACTTCACGCTCACCACTCGGGTCGGTTTCTTTTTTCCGAATTCCTTAGCTTCCGTTCTACTAGTATTATCCATTTACGATTTTGCTTAATCTTTCTCCAAAAATAAAAAGTTCTTAGGTTTGATCCGTAGTTTATTTACAGTTTGGTTTAGTCGAAGCAAATATAGCACAAAAACTGATTGTACAGCACGAACTGTTTGGTTGGGTACTATTGGGTACAGTGGAAAATACGATTGAATGGAAGGAAAATAAGTCAGAAAGGGAGAGCTGGAAGTGAGAAATTGTTGGTCCTGATCAGATGTGGCTCTAGTTTTTGTTTCACATCATTAGATATCTTCCTTAGATAGTCTAATCTTAATTTGATCATTCAAACATCGTTCTTTTATACCATGTGAACTATTTAACTAAGGAAGGAAGCACGGGAAATGGTTTCAGAGCTCTGGTGGATGCGTTTTTGTGAGTTGGAAATGCATCTTATTTGGCTGAAATTTAAACTTGTTTCGAGCAGGTTGTTGCTGATTGTAGTTGCAGTGATTTTCTATGGGTCTAAAGAGAATCATCGTGTTCAGAAGTTACTCATCTGATAATGCTGGGTGCTAATTTTGGGTTGCAGATGGTTCTTACTGAGTGGCGCACTGATAGCAGTCATATATTAGGATGTTAGTCTATTTACCGGAGTTTATCCATCCATTTTATTATGCATATGCTGCTGTTATTGTGCCTGGAGAATTTTTCCTTTCAATTAAAATTGCATTACAGTAAACTTTATGTTCAGATGCAGTATCTGAAGGACAATATAGCTAGAAGAAAGATTAATCTGCTAACGTTCAATTGATTATGCATAAATTGGTGTGTTCGTGGAAATGTAATGCTTGGTATTCTTATTTTTCTGCAGTTCAGTGGTAAAAGAGTTGGTATTCTGGGGCTTGGCAGGATAGGCTTAGCCGTAGCAAAAAGAGCTGAGGCATTTGATTGCCCAATCAGCTATCATTCAAGATCAGAGAAACCATTTCCAAAGTACAAATTTTATCCAAATGTTGTTGACCTGGCAGCCAACTGTGATGTGCTAGTCGTAGCATGCTCACTTAATCCAGAGACCCGTCACATTGTAAACCGTAAGGTCATTGATGCACTAGGACCAGAGGGAGTGCTCATAAACATTGCTCGTGGAGCACATGTGGATGAACCTGAGCTTATATCCGCGCTTCTTGAGAAACGCTTGGGAGGAGCAGGCCTTGATGTGTTTGAGGATGAACCCTTTGCTCCAGAGCAGCTTTTTGAGTTAGATAATGTTGTCTTAGTGCCTCATGTGGGGAGTGACACAGAAGAAACATGCTGGGCAATGGCTGATCTAGTTCTACAAAATTTAGAGGCACATGCATTGAATCAGCCTTTACTCACTCCAGTCATCTGATTGTTTCTGTTAGAAGTCTGGGATGATTGTGCCACCACTACTACATTCTGTAATCCCAATTAGTTTTCTATCTTCTGTTTATTAGTTCTTCATTTTACCCATCATTAGGGACATATGCCACTCTTTTGTAAGACATCATTTTATCGGCCTTATGGCTGTCATTCAATCAACCATGACAAATAAGATGATCAGTTCCAGAAGTTGAATCTTCCTGTCTTTGGATGATATATTCACATATTCTCAGTTTCTCCTTCTTACAATTTTCCATTCTGTCAGAGCCTATTCTACCCTTCCCAGTTTTGTCATCACCCTATTATCTTTCTCATCATCTTGTAACAAATATCATCTTTCTTTGTTCAACATGATATGATCTTCTGATGAGAGTTTTTTGTTTATCCTTTTTGCAGTTCAGTGGCAAGAGAGTCGGCATCATCGGTTTGGGCAGGATCGGGCTCGCCGTCGCGAAGCGAGTGGAGGCCTTCGACTGCCCGGTGAACTACTACCAGAGGACGAAGCAGGATCACCCCGGCTACACCTACTACCCGTCGGTGGTGGAGCTGGCGGCGAGCAGCGACGTGCTGGTGGTGGCGTGCCCGCTGAACGAGCACACCCGGCACATCGTGAACCGGGAGGTGATGGAGGCGCTGGGGCCCAGGGGCGTGCTGATCAACATCGGCCGGGGGCCGCACGTCGACGAGGCGGCGATGGTGGCGGCGCTGGCCGACGGCCGGCTCGGCGGCGCCGGGCTGGACGTGTTCGAGGACGAGCCGAACGTGCCCGAGGCGCTGCTCGGGATGGACAACGTCGTGCTGGTGCCGCATGTGGGCAGCGCGACGCACGAGACGCGCACGGCCATGGCCGACCTGGTGCTCGGCAACCTGGAGGCGCATGTCGCCGGCAAGCCGCTGCTGACGCAGGTGGTGTGAGCTAATTGAGTGACTGGATGATTCTGATTTGATTGATTCCAAAGCAGGTGCAATTCGACAAAATGTAGTATGTACTGTTTCAGGATGTGAAAAATCTGTTTTCCCTTTTTGTAAACACGGTCGGTCTGGGACGATCCAGTAATAACGATTTAATATTTGTCATTGGAAATGTGAAAAGTGTGTTGGGTTGAAACGGAACTGCATTGCCACTGCTATTTCAGGTAGAGTAATAGAGTATTATTTTTTTTCTGAAAGGAAAACGGCAAGAGTATTGCCGAATATATTAGAGGGAAATAGAAATTCAGGGATTACAGAGGAGCGATTACATTAAGAAGCGGTAAGCAACTACTTAGAGACCAAAGCCTCTTTGCGAAGTGTCTAGCACAGATGCTACTTTCACGAATATCTTGAATGATTTGGTGTGATGTCCTTCGCGTGTCTGGTTCTTCTCCCCCTAAAATTTATGCGTTTCTTTGAAGCCAGATATGCCACTGCGTCTTAACCGGGGCTTCAGCTCTTGGCTTCCATCTTGCTTTCATTTTGCACAATGCATGTCATCCATTCAGCAATGGAGCAATAAGATTGGTTATTTTTTATACCCTGGGCAGCAGTGACAAGGCCCCACGTTTCCTTGAAGAACTCACACTGTTGAAACAAATAATCAGTGTCTTGAAAAGCCCCCTGCATAGGGGCAAATCCAGTCGCACTCTAGCGTCGGATTAGCATCGGATTAGCATGTTTTCGGCCGAGTAATAGAGTATTATATAGGAGTACTAGTATATACTCCTTCCATCCCTAAAAAAACTAATCTACAGTGGTGTTCTTTTGTGGCGTAGACGAAGATGAAAATAAAGATTTAGTGTTTTACGCAAAATAAGGTGATATTTACGTATGATTAATTGAGTTTTAATTATTACAAACTTGAAAATATATTTATCTGATATTTTAGAACAATTTACATATAAAAAGTTTTCGCATGAAAGACACTGTTTAGCAGTTTGAAAAGTGTGTCACGAAGATGAAAATTTTCATCCAATTCCTATAGGAGAAACGGACGGGACCATATATAATGAATATGAATATGAACATATTCACATCCATATTAATTGTATTATCTCTAATATTATAAAAATCAAAGACGTTTTTGCCGGTATTTTGATACGTCATGCATCTATGCGTCGGTTTTTAAGTTCTTTTAGAAATACATATCCGTATCTGAGTCAGTTTTTAAGTTTGTTCGCTTTTAAAAATACAGAAGTAGTCATATAAGAAATCACTTTAGAAAAACTCACATGTTAACTTGAGACGATCGGACTCCTAATTGCAGCTTATGATTTTCTAAAGAAAATGTATATATCCAAGCAAATTCTCACAGTGCATTTCACCTTAACTAAACCGTATAACAACAATAAAATTAAAATAGCATCGCATAGGTTTTTTTTTATATTCTAATGCTAGTTTGATTTTTTTTTGACGGAAGGACTATTACCGTCCGAAGAGATTAACCGACAGGTGGGGGCCACGCGTTGCATGGTCAAAAGGTAGGGTCCGGGAGACAGCCACACGAGTTCCTCTCCCGTGTCTCTCTCGCTCACTCGGCTTGGCTAGCTCCTGTCTGTTCCCCTCGCCGCCGCTTCCGAGTGGTAGGGTTTGGCTGCTACCGGCGCTGGTGAAGAATAAGAAGAAGAAGAAGAGGCAAAAGCGTCGTCTTCTTCCCCGGCCTTTCTTCCTCTCTGGCTCTCCGCTCGTGTTCCTCTCGCGCGGCGGAGATCGAGGGGGCACAACCGCACAAATCCCATTCGTTTCGATCCGTACGTTTCGGCCTTCCCAAAATCCCCACTTCCATCATCACAGCGGTGCGGGGGGGGGGGGGGGGGGGGAGGAAAGTGATGGTTTCTGCCCGACAACTCCCAAATCTTCTCTTCCTCTTCCTTCTCAATCCGATTGTTTTCTGAAACTAGGTTGGTTATCTTTCTTCTTTTGTCCCTTTTGATTTGATCACCGTATTCAACTCGATGTGCTTTATTATGTGATCAGGTTGCGAATGCGGATCAAACTTTTTGTATTTTTGTTCACCCATTTCCCACTAAATTTTCAACTAGGAAAAAAATGAAAAAAAAAAACGCGCCCTGTTTCTTCTGTACAAACAGAATTGCCGGGGAGGAAGGTCCGGTGGTGGTGACACTTGGCGAGATCTGCTGCATCGGTGGTAGCAGTGCCACCTTTTTCTGTCCGCTGTTGAGCTTGTGCTACACGTGGCATGGTCCTCCCTTCGCTTTGCAGACAGCATTTTCAACGCAAAAGTTCACCCTTTTTTCTGCTTCCTTTTTCTGTTTGCGAAATTCGATGTAGATTAGATTTAGATTAGTCCTATGTGTCTCTTGCCGGGTTCTTCTTCTCGGGACTCATGCTTGCATTGCACCTCTTTGTTCCAGCGAAAATGTGAGATTTTGAAGAGATCTGCCATTGCAAGGTGGTACTGTACGCTCCATAGCTTTTCCTTCCGGTTTTGGATTTATTTATTCTTGTTCTTTTTCTCGAAAATTTCCAAACACAAACCTTAGGCTACGTTCTCCATGTGCCTTTCGTCTTCATGGACAAAAATGTGTATGCTTGCAGTTTCTTTTCTTATGGGTTTTCTCTCTTCCTCTAATAAATCTTTCTAGGATGAACTGCTCTTAGGATAGAGATGTACAGTTGGTTCTTTTCTTTTTTTTTTTCAGTTGAGTCTTGTACACGACTGTTTCATACATTCAAACAAAAGTAGGTTTGATCGAAACTGAATATGGTCTACAGCTCATGCTGAAGAAGATATTGGCTTTTTCTTCTTCAGATAGGTTCAACAGGTTGTCATCTTCAGATGCTTCTGGTAAAATTGCAGGTTCAGTTTCAGCAAGAGCTAAACTCGATCGGATTCAGACCGCGAAGCTAAGCTTTGCGAAGGAGGATGAAGCCGGCGACGTCGGAGTCCGACATGACGAGCCTCGCGACGTCGTCGCCGTCGCGGTCGCCCAAGGCGGCGGCGGCGGCGTACTACGTCCAGATCAGCCCGTCGCGCGACTCCCACGACGACGACGGCGACAAGTCGCCGTCGACGCAGGCCACGCCGGTGTACAACAACAGCCCGCTCGACTCGCCGTCGCACCACTCCTCCTCCTTCGGCCGCCACTCCAGGGTCTCCTCCGCCAGCCGCTTCTCCGGCAACCTCCGGTCGGCGTCCGGGAGGAGCAGGCTTGGTGGCGGCGGCGGCCGGAGGCGGTTGGGCGCCAAGGGGTGGCGCGACGTCGACGCCATCATCGACGAGGAGGAGGAAGGCGCGTACGACGAGTTTGACGACGACGACGATGGCGGCTATGAGCCATCCAGATGCTGCGTCCTCGCCTTCCGATTCTCGCTTCTTGCTCTAGCCTTCACCCTCGTCTGCCTCATCGTCTGGGGAATCGCTCGCCATTACAAACCTGGAGTTCTTGTCAAGGTATATTATCACTGAATTCGTATCCAAATCACACAGGTTCATAATGAGTTTGTGATGGTTTTTTGAACTTGTTAAATTATTACTGATCTTTTGTCTGATTCTAGTAGCATTGTACTAAGTGTTTGTTTTTGTGTTTCTTCAAGAACGCAAATTCATAATGAGTTTGTGATGGTTTTTGAACTTGTTAAATTATTACTGATCTTTTGTCTGATTCTAGTGGCATTGTACTAAGAGTCTAAGAGTTTGTTTTGTGTTTCTTCAGAGCTTGACAGTGGGGAACTTTTATGCCGGAGAAGGTATAGACCGGACCGGGGTGCCGACAAAGCTGGTGACAATGAACTGCTCTCTGCAGATAAATGTTCACAACCCTTCCACGATGTTCGGCATTCATGTCTCTTCGACATCGATTCAGATCTTGTTCTCGCAAATCGCGATCGCCAACGGTCAGGTAGCAGCTAGCACCTTCAGCACCAGAATTTCTGTACTGCAATTTCCTCTTCCATATTGAACTACAACCACATTCTTAAGCTCAATTCATCCTGCTGCTCTGCAGTTGGAGAAGTTCTACCAGCCAAGGTCAAGCCATCATGTCGCCTCGGCGATCGTTCATGGCGAGAAGATCCCTCTCTATGGAGCTGGAGAAACATTCGCCTTGTCGAATGCTGGAGGTGCTGTGCCACTGACTCTAGACTTGGTGGTAAGAGCTAGAGGGTATGTGATTGGTAAGCTTGTGAGGGTGACACACACAAAGCGTGTGAAATGCCCGGTGGTTATCGATTCCGGTAGCTCCAAGCCGATTAGGTTTATCCAGAGTGCTTGTAGTTACACCTGATGCAGTGCCTTGGCCTTCTATAATCTCAATAAGGGCTGTGATCATGTACTCCCTCCGTATCATAATATAAGGGATTTTAAGTTTTTGCTTGTAACGTTTGACCACTCGTCTTATTCAAATTTTTTTGAAATTATTAATTATTTTATTTGTGACTTACTTTATTATCTAAAATACTTTAAGCATAACTTTTCATTTTTTATATTTGCAAAAAAAATTTGAATAAGACTAGTGATCAAACGTTACATGTAAAAAATCAAAATACCTTATATTGTGGGACAGAGGGAGTAGATATTTAGGTCCTTCATGACATGAGCAAACAAGAAAATAAGCAGTAGTTTTATCTTCCAATTTTGCCATGTTGATATCTCTTGCTAACATATTGTGATGTCGTTTTATCAGTGTTACATGTCATTGCGCTTTGCGACAAGTTTTTATACACTAATTTAGAAGTTGGTTTTAAACAATATCCTCTGTTAGTTTCATAGATCGATGAAATGGTTCAGAAAGAAATTGAAGGTGGAAAAAAAGAAGTTATCTCCTGAACAGAGTTTCATTCTAATTCTACATCTTCAAATTTTTCACAGAATCATTCAACAATTTGAGTTCTCTTCCTGTCCTCAGCAATGACAACCTGATTCATTGAACTAGACATACCATATATCATCAGTGTTTTGGAAAACAAGCTGTCCATGATCAACATACATTTGCTATCTTACATAAACATATTTCCCAGTCTTCCTTCCAAAATTTTTGAGACATCTGAAGCGAGTTCTTGGCACAGCAGAAATCATCCAATGTGTGTTGAGAAATAGTAAGAATTGTAATTGACAGGTTCTTGCCAGTGTACATTTTTCTTTTTTACTGAGCAACAACACAAGATGGCCTCCTCTAACTGAGGAACACCATCTTCAGTGAGCTGATGCTCTGGCCATACACTCCACACTGCATCTGAAGCTGCTTCCTGCAAAGCCACGTGGATCTCACCGGAAGCCGGCACGATCGCCGGAGCAGCGACAGCGACGGCGACGACGACCTCGCCGTCTTCAAGCTCATGGAAGCTCTTGTCACCTGCATGGATCGTGACGCGTCACTCTTGGCATGGCCATTGGTTCTCTCGAAGCTCTGCAGCTTGTCGTCGCCATGGTTGTCCGGGAAGTAGGGCTCCTCGTCGTCGTCGGCGTCGAGGAGGTCGCCGGAGGAGGAGGAGGAGCCGAGCGCGCGGTTGGCGTTCTCGACGAGGCCGACGGCCTTCCACGCGTCGGCGACGAGGCAGTAGGTGGTCTGCTTGGGGCGGACGCCGGCGTCCTGCATCATCTGGAGCACCTCCTCGGCCTTCCATGGCTGCTTCAGCTCGCTGTAGCCCCAGATGAGGGTCTCGAACGTCCTGAGGTTCGGGCGCACGCCGGCGTCGCGCATGGCGGCGTAGACCCTCACGGCGTTGCCCATGTCGGCGACGCTGCACCACCCGCTGATGACGGTGGTGAAGGTGACGACGTTGGGGCGGACGCCGAGGCGGCCCATCTGGCGCAGGAGCTCCTCCGCCTTCTCCGGCTGCTGCGCGCGCACGTAGCCCTTGGCGAGGATGCTGTACACCTGCGGGTCCGGCTCGATCCCGGCCTCGATCATTTTGTCGAACACCTTCATGCACTTGGCCATGTGCCCCATGGAGCTCAGCGCGTTCAGCTGGTGGCTGTAGGTCACGATGTCCGGCTTGATCCCGAACTGCTCCATCAGCCCAAGAACCTGCAAGAACACAAGATCGCAGATGAAAACTCGATTTCGTTTAGTGTTCTTGGTTATTGTTTTGTGATGATAGCTCACGTCGTCGACGGCGGCCATGTCGTTGGCGTCGAGGAAGCCCTTGAGCAGGGTGTTGAAGACGATGACGTTGGGGAGCACGCCGGAGTCCTTCATCTGGCGGACGCAGCGGAGCGCCTCGCCGAGGCGGCCCTCGCGGCAGTAGCCGCCGACGATGATGCCCCAGGTGCGCTCGCTGGTGCGGAGCCCTGCCTGCTGCGCCATCTCCACGACGAGCTCCTCGGCGCGCCACGTCTCGTCGTTCTTGGCGTACGCGCTGGCGAGGGTGTTGTACGTGACGACGTCCGGGTCGGCGCCCGACGCGCGCATCCTCGCCACCACCCGCCACGCCTCCTCCAGCCTCCCGGCGTCGCACCACGCCTTGACGAGGATGTTGTACGTCGTCAGGTTCGGCCTGACCGCCGCCTCGCCGCCGGCGCCGCCGGAGGCCATCATGTCGAACACCCGCTGCGACTCCTCGGGGCGGCCGGCTATGCCGTAGCCCTTGATCAGCGTGTTGAACGTGCTCGCCGTGGGGCGGCAGCCGGAGTGGCCCATCCTGAGGAAGGTGTTCGTCGCCTCGCCCATCCGCCGGGCCTCGACGAGGGCGTTGATGAGCGCGTTGAAGAAGATGGAGTCCGGGCGGAGGCCGGCGTCCTCCACCTCGGCGAGCAGCCACGGGATGGTGTCGAACGCCCGCTGGCTCGTCAGCGCCGCGAGCAGCGTGGTGTACGTCACCAGCGACGGGCGGTGGCCGTCGTCGACGAGGTGGCGGAACGCCGAGTGCGCCTGGTGCGGCCTCCTCGCGTCGATCATGGCGCGCATCTGCCGCGTCCGGGCGATCACCGCCTGGCACGTGTGCCCCTTGCCGCACGTCGTGCAGAGCAGCTTCTGCTTCTGCTTCTGCGGCGGCGACGGCGGCTGCTTTGCTTGCCCGTTTGATGGGTGCAGGGCGCCATTGCTGCCAGCTTCGTGCTTCTCCTGAACACACACAAAGACAGAAATCAATCGAGGTGTTCTTCGTTTTCTCAGGTAGACAGTCACAAAGATGAAACAAACGAGGTGCAATTATAAGATAAAAGAATACTTTGAGGTGTGATCCGTTTAGCACTTCTCCATTGATTCTTATCTTGCCATTGGTCTTGACAGTGGAGGTCAATGTGAGCTGCACACCGTTCTCTACCATGGTACTATGCTTCTGTCAGCCAGCTCCTTAACCTGAACCATAATTTCAGAATTTCAGAACTGTGCTCATTTTCATCAAGTCCCCAACATATGTACTGCACTAATGCAGTCAGTGGGCAAGAAACACATGCACACATTCGGAGTGTATAGATGAAATTGATGTTCCTACTCTTGTCTGTTTTTAAAACCAAAAGAATTGCATATTCCTGGGAAGCTGTTAAGAGCAAAATGTGATATTTCTCTGATCCATTTCCACAGTGAAGGACGCATTTCATAGGGGCATCCTGGATTCCTAACAATGAAAACATCATTTACAGAATTTTAGTGGTCATGATAATCAACATCATCTTCAGATTTCATGGAACACGTGTTGTATTAACAAATCCAATGACCAAAGCAGTTGATGGACAAACTACCAGAATTAAAGAAAAAAAAACAAAACAGAAACAAAATCAACTCAGGATCTGAAATACAAAACCGGCCTTATCCTGAAGCCTAGACCAATTCAAATGTAGAAATTCCATTATTTTCACATATTATATCAGCAGAATTATTTTATACAAGCAGAAAAACAAGCAGTTGCAGAGCGTCGGTCGACAAGAAACTGCCTACGAGAGAGACAAGAGAAGCTAATTCAGGACGAATCCCGGTAGAACACGAGCGAGCGAGAGGGCGCGTTCACCTGAGAATCAACGAGCTACTGGCAGCAACGAGCGTTCATTGGCCAAGGAGAGCGAGCTGCGCTGCAGCTGCAGCTGGTGGCCAGCGTGTGCCTCCGTCCCCCCCGCGCTCTACGCACGCACACGCCGCGCGTGGCCAGCCGTCGCTGTGGCTCGCAAGCAAGGCGGGCGGAGCGGCGGAGCGACGTGGAGGAACACGAGGCGCAGGCGGCGTCCGCTTTTTTTTTTTTTTTTTTTTGCCCCCGGTGGAGCTTTTTTTGGGTTTCGAAGTGGGGGGGAGCGCTTTATCCGCGGTGAGGAGCGAAACGGGTGGCGGGGGAAGCGCGGCCGCTTTGGCGGTTGCCGGGGTGAACTGGACCGGACGCCGAGGGAGCGTCGCGTCGCGTCGCCGGTTGGGTGAGGCTCCGGAGCGGCCGCGTGGCGCGGTTTGCAGGGAGGCGTCCGATCCCGCGAGGCCCCGGACGTGGGCGTTGGATCGGGACGGGACACCGTGTGGTCGCTCTCCTGACGCAGCGTTGGATCTGATCGAGCCAAAGCTAATACTCTCCCCGTTTTAAAATGTCGGACATCGTTGTTTTTTTCAAGTATGTGTTTGATCATTCGTCTTATTTAAAAAATTTAAATAATTATTTTTTTTCATATAATTTGATTCATTCTTAAACATACTTTCAAGTACGCAATTTTTTTAATAAAACGAACGTTCAGACATGCGCTAAAAAATCAACGGTGTCAAATATTTTTTTTTGAAACGGAGGGAGCAGCTCTTTTCACTTCAACGTGCAGGCGGGCGCGGTATAAAAACGACGCAAAGCTAACAAAAAATCACATGGTAGTGTAGTAACCAATCTTGTCATTGTACTTGTCAATTGGAATTTTATTGTATTACATGACATGCACGCGCGTACATACCCAACACCACACTTATACATCCACAAATACAACTCCTAACATACTTGTGAAGTGCTATAAATTTTGACTACCATTTGTTTTAACTTGCGGGCTCCTTTGGATTGATGGTTTTTCAAAGTACTTATGGAGGATTGAAAATCTCAAGAAAGTTTTCATACGAGGCTCTTTGTACCAAAGGAATATGAATGTCAAATTTCCTATGGATTGACTTCTTTTCTTCTATCTAAAATAAAATAATACCTCCATTCAAATCGAAAATAAACATGAGTCATACCTCATGTTTTATTTTGGATTAATTTAATTCATGCCATTACACACATGTTATTTCAAATAAGTATCATTACAATTCATCTATTTATATCCATGTCACATAAATTTTTAAAAATTAGAATCGTTCTGTCGTCATATTTTCCATCTTCTTCCTCATTTATTTGCAATCGCATGGATCGAATACCCTTTTATTTTCCTCTAAGAAGTATAATGCACCCTCTTTCTTTCTCTCTAGCACAAAGAATTTACTCTAATATTCCTATTTTTGTTTCTGTGAACCATCCAAACACCTACTCTGTTAGAACATGGATCCTATTTCTACATTTTTACTGGTACTGTGCTTTTAGATCTCGCGTCCCAAAAGAGTTTTGATCAACATATCAGCCTACCAGTCATAGCCAAAATTTAAATTAATAAACAAATTTTTAGAGTTGATTTTATTTTTTTTTCATCGTAGTTTGTTTTTTTATATTGTCTTTTATGTCGCTAAACACACACGCAAACGCTTGAGCGCGCACACACTGTGCGCGTGCGTGCGCGCACGTGTGTTTTAAAGTCAGTAATAAGCGTTAGAGTTTATGAATTATAGTTAGAGTGACATACCATGTGTGTAGTTTCAGAGCTTTGAGTTAGCTGGTAGTATTTTCTCTTGAAGGTTTAAAATTGGAGTTAAAAAGTTACTACGAAGATCATAGCTTTCTTTCCAACTAGGTGAAACCCTGCGCATTGCTGCGGGAATTTAGTATGATAATAATAATAATAATAATAAATAACGTGTAAAATAGCTAGATAACATCAGATTAAGTAAATTAATGTGGTTTATGATAATTTAAATTTAAATAGTATGTAGAATGGTGATTCAAACGTAAAAAGTAGGGAGATAGTTTGGACCGTAGATTAATCATCTAAAGGCTAAAAACAATTTATGTGATATGACTTAATTAGAGGAAAAAAAAGAGAAAGATAATTTGGACCATAGATTAATCATTTAAGCACTAACTAAGTGAGGATGAACTATATAAGTATATAGGATATCATAAAACATAATAAAGATATACATTGAAACATTATGTGAATTATGTTGGATGATAATTTAACATGTTTGTATTTGAAAAGCTCTTAAATTATAAAAACTATAAAGATATAACATGTTTGCATGATGTTTAAATGTGATGATTGTTAGTGGATGATGATGTGACATCTTATTAATTAGTGAATAATGATGTGACATCTTTGCATTTTAAGCTTAAGGAGTTAGTGGGAGATAACTTTATAGTAAGATAGGATATGAGAGTATTGGATCGTATACACTTATAGCTTATAATTAAGGCAATAGTCATAATTTTTGGTCAAGTATTTTTTTCTCTTACTATAAAGGGGTTCATTATTATTTTACGACTGCCAATCATATATATAGTTTATACTTATTCAAAACAACCGTTAAAAACTTTTATATGCTATCGCAGATTTACGAGTACTTATAGGACTCTTTGACTAAACTTTTTAAGATATGATGGTGACTATTGGATTGCTTGCTGCATCTCACATTCTATAATTTCCTGATAACATGTCCTAATCAAGTTTTGTGAAAGCTCAGGGTTTTTACTACTTTAGATATGATTTCCATATTTTTAAGTGATAAGGAAAACTACATCACCCAAAATTATTGGAGGTACACTAAATTAATTTTCATATAGAATCTTGAAATGTTCAATATTCCATCCACATGTGCATTAAAACTGTATTCTTTGACCTGAACTCTTGCACTCCTATCTCGGAAACCCCCTAATATGACTGACTTGACGCACCTAAAAATTGTTCCATTCCAAGTTTCCAACCACTATGGTTCCCACCAAACCCTAACCTGAAAATTCACAAGAAAAAAAAATCAAACGCAAAGAAGAAAAAGAAGCGAGTGGGAGACATGCCCTCCTCTTTCCTCTCTCCTCTCCTCTCGCCGTCGCCAATTCTCTCCTCCTCCTTCCCCCGTGGGGATGCGGCGGCTATGGCGGTGGTACCAGCAGTGCCTGGCCACCCACCCCGTGCGCACGCAGGTGGTCAGCTCCGGCATCCTCTGGGGCCTCGGCGACATCGGCGCCCAGGCCGTCACCCACTACTCCGCCCCCGGACGCCCCCGCCACCACCAGCACCACGCCAAGAATCCTCCCGAGGTAGCCAATCTCCTATCTGTTCAACCTTTAGGTGATCTGAGGATTGGATTCTCCTGTGGTGCGTGGATGCGGCCTCGTTGGGATGTTGTTATAGCCGTTCCTCTTCCTTGGCTGGGAGCTTGGAGGTGGAGGATAACCTAGCAAAGGTGGGATTATAGGGCGTAGGGGTTGTCTAATCGATTGATGGTGTGTAGGTGAATCGAAATAGTATCTCAAAAACTTATGCAAGTTATCAACTCCTGTATGTTGGGAATGGCCGGATTTGTGCTTTGTTCTCTGGCCGGTGAGCTTCCCTGTAAAGGACTGGGAATATTTTGGGTGGAGAACGGCCGTGATAACGATGGTTTGGTGACATAAATGGTGCAATTTTGGGCTGATGTTCTCCTGCTTGGAGCCCTAGGATCTACTTTGCGGAACCGTGGTGTCGTCGGGGTGGTTTGAGAACAATCGAGTCGTCTGCTGGTAGGGAGACATGATTTTTTTTCTGTTGCTAAAAATGGCCTGGTATGTTTGGTTTGTCTTAGGTAACAGTGTCATACTCAAATCCTGTAGCTTTAGATGTATTTTCTATTTCAGCATCGAGATCAGATAGGCGGTGAGCTTGATTTGGTCACTGCCTCTACTACATAGGAAGTTCAGTGGTTAATCCCTAAATAGCTGACCGGTTAATATTTTGATTTCAGTGAATGAAATATTCTTTTGGTAATCGTTAAACCACTGTTTAGATGGGATCATGTATCAAAGCCAACCACGGTTCTATCCTATGGTAGCAGGGTCAGAAGTACTTTTCTGGTTACCTTTTTTGGTAAACGGAATTGATGTGGTGGCAGCTAAAGAGTTGGTTATGTTGCTATGAACAGGAAAGTTAGTTGAAACAAGATATTTATTGCTGTTCATGGTGCCTTTGTTCAGCTAAGAGATTGGGAAATCTAAGGAATTCGGACATGGATTTTGTTTGAACTATGGGACACCTTACAAGTGGTCCAGGGGCACTTTCAACCTTATATTATTTCTTACCATCCCTTCCAAGAGGTTTCCTCATTCTACAATTTGAATATTTGTCACTTTTCAGGATAAAGATAAAGAGTTCAAAATTGATTGGAAGAGGGTGGGCATCACAAGCTCATTTGGATTTGCTTTTGTTGGACCAGTTGGACATTACTGGTTAGTTCCATCCTTTTCATATTGAGCATGAACAGATGGTGTTAGGGTCAATTTTGTTTGTGGATTCCTTTCTTATGGTCATAAATTGGCAAGAAGTTTTTGGAGGTTTTACCCATTAACAACTGAAAATCTGCTAGCAGACTTTATCTCTCCCAGTCCCAACCAGCAACATGGTGTAGATTAAGGAAAAGAGAAAAATAGGTGACATGGAAGACATAATCTCCATCCTGCACTGAGCTTTTCCATTTAGGTTGTCATATCTAGAGAATGATATGAATGTTGCTTTATCGTATTAGTATCAATGGGTTCCAACTATGAAAAACTGAAGATAGTTAAATATCAGATGCTTTGCTTGAATATATCTAGGTCCTTTTAGTTCTTTTAAGTTTCGATATTCACTGTGGTGGGTATCGAATGGTGGGTTAGATTGGATGCAGTGGGTGCTATCTTTATAGAACTGCTGTGCTTTTTTTTAGATGAACTGATGCATCTTTTTCTAACATAATATAAGAAAGCCATCACACTATAGTCATCCATTATGAGTGCGCTGTGTGCTACCAGTGGCTTCTTTTACTGAATCTTGTGTCACGCAAGGGGCATACATTATCTTTTGGAGTTAAGTAGATATTGATGCACTCTGCAGCTGCGCTTCATGTTTATGTTCATTTGTGTGCTTACCAATCCACTTCAACATAGACTTGTTTTTCACCATGTCACAATTTCTTGCCTTTTCATGCTTACCATTCATTACGTATGTGTAGTTAAACTGTAAAATATTCTTCTCTTGAGAGCATTTCGTGATTGATCTGCTCCGCTTTGTGGTTAGTGTTCTACATTTTAATTGACCACAAGGTTTTCAACTGGGAAGATTTTGGTATTTGAGACCACTTAACAGTGCATTTCTTTCTATAGTACGCCATACTATACAAAACTTCAAATTAATAACATGATCATATGCATCCTTTTTTGTGAAATAAGCTAATAATTGAATATAAATAATACTTGTTGATGGACTTCTACTGCCCTGCCCTACATTTTTGTGTTTGTTTTTGTTATGAATGGTGATTCTATGGTTTCCTCTCACTTATTTGTTGCAGTCTACTCATATGCAAAACCTGGGATATTGTGAAATCCATGCTTCCAACAAATATGCTTTTGCTTAAAAATGAGAATCCTGTTCTGAAGCAATTTTATACAACAGGCTGGCATATAACTTGCGCTTGTTTCTGTCACCTAGGTATGAATACTTGGATCGCTTCATCCTGAGGAGATACCAGCCTAAGACCTTCAAATTTGTTGCGTCAAAAGTTGCTGCGGATGGTCTCCTATTTGGACCAGTAGATCTTCTCTTGTTCTTCTCATATGTTGGTCTTGCATCAGGAAGGAGTGTAGAGCAGGTGAAGGATGATGTGAAGAGGGACTTCATTCCTGCTCTAGTTCTAGGGGGAACCATCTGGCCAGCCGTGCAAATCGCAAATTTCCGCTTCATTCCTGTGCGATATCAGCTCCTTTACGTGAACCTGTTCTGCCTCTTAGACAGTTGCTTCTTGTCGTGGATCGATCAACAAGGAGATGCACCTTGGAAGCAATGGTTCACATCATTCCAGAAAATCGAAGGCCAGAAGGGCAAGGTTTGATGTGGATCAGGCACGGTCCTTTTGACATGGTCCTGGATCCAGTAACATCACCCGGCAAAACACCGGGCATCCCAGAAAATTTGTCTTCTGTCATTTGGATCAACCTTTGTATGCTTTGGCTGATCCATGAAAAAAACACTGGAAAAGAGAAACACTTGCTGCTATGGTAGCAATTGTTTTAAGCGCAATTGCAGTACCAAGCAGAGCTGAGCATCAATATCTGTGTAGAGATTTGTTTCATGTTTAATGCCAAGGAAAATATTGCTCAAGTTGTTCTACTTGTGTCTGTATCTCTGAATGTTTGTACAAGCGATTCTGTAACTTCATGTGGTTGAAATATGTGCTTCCAAAGCAGCTGAACGCACTGAATTCAACAACTAACATGCATAAAAAGTCGATGAGATTTAAAGAAGAGTAGGCAAAAATGCTGTATAAATCCTCTGCCGCTGACGCTATTCTTCTATAGCATAAGCAAACAAAACCATAATATCAATAACACCAACCAATCATTGGCTACAACTCTGCACGGCAGCTAATCTAATGTCAATTTTTTTCTTCATAATCCTTTCTAATCTTCTTCAGTGTCACCACAACACCGGCCATTGACATCCTCTGGTCAGGCAAGTCACTTGAGCAGAGCAAGCCAACCTCAAATATTGGCAAAAGAAGGTGATTCAGGTCTTGGATAGAAGACTCATCTAGCTGTAGCTTGTCGTCCAGAACATGAACAAGCTTCGCCGGAAATGCTTGATTGACCCACTGCCTAATGGTCACTTCTCCAACGAACAAACGATCCGTGGGTCGCTTTCCAGTAAAGACTTCAAGGAGCATGATTCCGAAGCTGAACACGTCGCTATTGCGCGACGCCTTTCCGAGTGATCCGTACTCTGCTCAGGAAATTCAGAAACAAAATTTTTTAAGAATGATTGATAATCTAACTAAAGTAATCTCCATGATGATATATTCCGGTCAGTCAATGGGTTTATGGAAATTAAAATTTACTCCCTCCATATTTTAATGCATGACGCTGTTAACTTTTTTTTATCAACGTTTGATCCGTCGTCGTATTAAAAAAATGTAATTATCACTTATTTTATTGTGACTTGATTTATCATCAAATGTTCTTTAAGCATGACACAAGTATTTTTATATTTGCATAAAAATTTTGAATAAGACGAATGATCATACATTTGTTAAAAAAGTTAATGTCATCATACATTAAAATACGGATGGAGTATTATATTAGTACCTGGTGCCATGTACCCAAATGTTCCAGGCATGCTTGCCGTGATCTTTGACGTGTCATCACCCAGTAGCAACTTTGCGATGCCGAAGTCCGCCACATGCGCCGTCATTTCCTCATCAAATAACACATTGCTAGGCTTCAGGTCACAGTGTAGGACAACCTCATAATGCTCATGGTGAAGATATTCCATCGCCATCGACACATCTAGCATGATGTCCAACCTCTTCAACAACCCCAAAGAACTTGTGCCTTGAGAGTGCAGGAGCATGTCTAAGCTGCCATTGGGCATGTAGTGAAGCACCAGTGCTCTGAACTCCATGTTGGAGCAGGTGTTCAGTACCTTTATCAGGTTCCGGTGCCGAGCCATGCGAAGCACACGGCATTCGGCATCGAAGCTTCTAATGGCCACTTCTTCCAGGTGCATATCTAGAACTTTTATCGCAACCACCAAACCGCTGCTCAGTTGGCCCTTGAAAACTTTTCCGAAGCTCCCACTCCCCAATAAGTTGTCATCGCTAAATTTATCGGTGGCACGAGCGAGCTCATGGTAGGTGACTATCAAATGATTCATGTCATCGCCTGGAGTGTGACTTGAATCCTCTTTCTTGTTCTTACTTTTCCTTCTGATCATTAGGAAAATGCAAATAACCATACAGCCAAATGCTACGGTGACAACTGGAAGTAGAAATCTTAGGAAGTGTCTACTGTTTGAGTGAGACTTCTGAAGACATGGTGAAAATCCTAGACGTGGAGCACCGCATAATGCAGCATTCCCGATCAAGGACTGTAGCGTAATGTTTGAGAAAACACCACCATCTGGTATCTGGCCTTCTAGCCTATTGAAGGACAGATTCAAGGCTGTCAAGTATGTGAAATTTGCAAGGAATTTTGGTATGGTACCAGAGAGGTTGTTGGAGGAGAGGTCCAATGTTGCCAAGTTAGCAAGCTCTTGAAATGAGTACGGTATTGAGTCTCCAAATGAGTTGTGCGATAGATTTAGGTAGGTCAGCATCCTGATTTGTCCAAATGATTCTGGGATACTTCCAAGCAAAGAATTGGACGATAAATCAATTGTATCACCTTGTTTTAGCCTGCTAAGATCATTTGGTAGTGCACCAGTGAAGGAGTTGTGAGAAAGATTTAGTCGCACCAGTTTGCCAAGGTTGAAGAAGCTTGCAGGTATTGTTGAGTTCAGTTGGTTATGGGACAACATGATGTGTTCTAATTCACTCAGGTTGCCGATGCTATCTGGTATGGAGCCAAATAATCTGTTTCTCTGGAGATCCAATCTCTGTAAGCTGCTGAGCATGCCAATCTGAGTCGGGATAGGGCCTGAGATATCATTGCTAGACACATCTAGCCTTACGAGATTTGGCATCATGGTGATGGATTCTGGGATTGGCCCAGTGAGCTGGTTTCCAGGAAGTTGTAGCTGTTCAAGACTGCTCAAATTTGACAGTGACGATGGGAGCCCACCTGTTAGCTTATTTTCGCTCGCGGAAAATATACTCAATTGCGCAGACAGGTTGCCGGTATGATCGGGAAGATCCCCGGTGAAAGAATTTGAATCCAAGGTAATGATCCAAATTTGTCGGCAATTAGAAAGGGAAGACAAGAAGCCAAGGTTCCCCTCTAGATTATTCAGTGACAGAGTGAGCCAGTTGAGAGCTGGGATATTGCCTAGTGTTGCTGGCACTGCCCCAGTCAATTGATTCATCTGCAAATCTAGGAAAGATAATTGCGATAAATTCCCAAGAGAAGTTGGGATTGGACCTGTCAGCTGGTTGTATGTGAGACGCAGAGTTGAGAGACTTCTCATAAGGCCTAACTCTGAAGGAATTTCACCGGTCAGGTTGCAGAAGGAGAGGTCCAGCGAGGTAACACCGGTGAGGTTGCCGAGACCAGGAGGGATAGAGCCAGTGAGCTGATTTCCACCCAAGAAAAGCTCAGTGAGGTATGGCAGCTGAGCCAACCATGCCGGCACGACATCCACGAAGCTATTCGACGAAATGGACAGGGTTTGCAGGTATCGGCATGCCGCGAGCCCTGCCGGAATCCGGCCGGCGAAGCCGTTGGAGCTGATGGAGAACGTGCGCAGCATCGGCAGGTGAAAGCTCCCGTTGCTCGTCGTCGGGATCCACCCTGTCAGGTTGTTGTGCGAGAGCACCAACCCTCGCAGCCTCGACATGTTGTAGACGGCCGGCGGCACCGCGCCGGCGAGGCGGTTGCCGCGCAGGTTGAGGTACTCGAGCATCGGCAGCGACGACGGCGACGACGCCACGCCGTGCGGTACGCCGCCCGTCAGGCTGTTGTTCCCGAGGTTGACGAACGTCAGCGAGGGCGTGCCGTTGAACAGAAGCGGCGGCAGGTCTCCGGTCAGCTGGTTCATGTGCAGAGCGATCCTCGAGAGGCGGCGCATGCCGTGCAGCAGGTCGGGCGGGATCTCCCCGGAGAGGTTGTTGTTGCCCAGGTGAAGGAGCTCGAGCATCGTGAGGTTGGCTATGGCGGGTGGGATGGCAGCCGATAGCAGGTTGTCGCCGAGGAGGAGACTCCGTAGCCGGCGTAGCCTGCCGAGGTCGGCGGGGACGGGGCCGACGAGGCTGGTGTTGGTGAGGTCGAGGGTGTAGAGGAATGAGAGGTTACCGAGGTGGGCGGTGAGCTCCCCTCCGAGCGGCGCGTCCGGCAGCGACAGGCCGGTGACGCGCTCCGGCCGGCGGCGGCGGCTGCAGGAGACGCCGACCCAGTTGCAGAAGGAGACGTTGGTCGTCCAGCTGCCGGCGAGGACGCCGAGAGGATCGGCGAGCTGGGCCTTGAAAGCCAGCAGCGCCGCGAGGTCGGCTGCGGCGCCGCCGCCGCTGCTGCTGTTGATGGATGGAGATGGAGAAGAAGAGGCACCTGCTGCAAGGGCTGTCACTGTCAGCGAGATGATCAACAACTCCGCCGTGTGCAGGACTGCTGGTAAACAGCCTTCATTGGCTGTATCAAACCAACGCGGTCCATCAACGCCAACCAATGATTGCCTACAACTCTGCACGGCAGCTAATCTAATGTCAATTTCTTTTTTCATAATCCTTTCTAATCTTCTTCAGTGTCACCACAACATCGGCCATTGACAATTTGACATCCTCTAATATAATGCCAATTTTTTTCATAATCCTTTCTAATCTTCTTCGGTGTCACCACCACATCGGCCATTGACATCCTCTGGTCAGGCGAGTCACTTGAGCAGAGCAAACCAACCTCAAATATTGGCAAAAGAAGGTGATTCAGGTCTTCGATAGAGGACTCATCTAGCTGTAGCTTGTCGTCCAGAACATGAACAAGCTTCGCCGAAAATGCTTGATTGACCCACTGCCTAATGGTCACTTCTCCAACGAACAAACGATCGATCCGTAGGTCGCTTTCCAGTGAAGACTTCAAGGAGCATGATTCCGAAGCTGAACACGTCGCTCTTGCACGACGCCTTTCCGAGTGATCCGTACTTTGCTCAGGAGATTCAGAAACAAAATTTTTCGGGTAATTGTGTACTTACCCCTACTTTGTATTCTAATTATGATTTTACTCCTTTTTTAGGGTGTATTTTTGCCCTTACTTTTCTCAAACGAAGCTTCAGTTTACCCCTATTCTGTTATCATCAGTTAACAGTGTCAATTCACTCGTAAAAAGACATGTATACCCTTGAACATTTGTCCAATTCTTTTAGAATTTTGATAGCATTTCCACACAATTCGCACGGTTGCAGAACTTTAGCACAAAGATTCATCACAAATTCGTCGCAAGTGATGAGATGGGGAAAAAAATAAAAGGAAAATCAAGCAGCAAACGACATGGCATTGTTTGTCTTTGTGGACGAGCTGCTCGCCGTGCGTCGCTATTGCCGGCTTGCCGCACCATGCTGCTCGCTGCTCGCTTGCCCGTGCGTTGTACAGGAGCTGCCTCGCCGCAGCCTTCGCCGCCGCCTTCCCGTGGCGCTGCGCCAGATTCGCCGCCTTCCCATACGCTGCGCCATCCTGCCGCCAAGCTTCCCTGCTCGCTGCTTGCTGGCTCGCTGGCTCACTGGCCGACGGAGCCGCCGCTCCTCTCCGCCGCGCGCTGGCCGCGGGGCCGCCGGCCACCGCGCCTCCCTACGCATGCACCCGCGGGGCCGCCGCGCGCTGGCCCGCACCGCCGCTTGTCGCGTGCGCCGCCGCCGCCGCTTGCAACCCAGCTAGGGTTTTGGATTGGAAATCGGAAATACTACGTCCCATAATAGTTGTCACTTTGACTTTTTTCTTTCGATGTTTCACCATTCGTCTTATTTAAAAAATTAGTGCAAATATAAAAAATGATAAGTCATACTTAAAGTAATATTGATAATAAAGCAAGTCAAAAAAATAAATAATAATTCCATAATATTTTGAATAAGACGAATGATCAAACTTTACAAACAAAAACTTAAAGCAACAAGTATTCTAGAACGGGACGGAGGTAGTAGTAAGGGATTGGGGGATTTGGCTCTTCATTGAACCAAGGGTAGCATAGTCATTCACAAATTATAATAACATTTTCTTTTTTTGTTTAATTCGAAAATTCCGGCCCACCAGACTTCTGTCAAACCTAGTAGCAGAAGGCTGTTTCATTTAAAAAAATAGGTGTAAAAATCACAAACCCTAAAATACATGATAAAATCACAATTGAATCGTAAAGCAAGGGCAGAAACACAATTACCCCAAATTTTTTATGCATGATTGATAATCTAACAAAAGTAATATCCATGATGATATATTCCAGTCAGTCAATTTGTTTATGGAAATTAAAATGTATTATGTTAGTACCTGGTGGGCATGCTTGCCGTGATTGGTGATCTTGGAGGTGTCATCACCCAGCAGCAGCTTTGCGATGCCAAAGTCCGCCACATGCACCGTCGTTTCCTCGTCAAATAGCACATTACTAGGCTTCTGGTCACAGTGCTGGACAATCTCATAATGCTCATGGTGAAGATACTCCATCGCCATCGACACATCTAGCATGATGTCTGACCTTTATAAGAGCAGGTTTAATAGTATAGCCGGCAACCGGCTATAAAAGATCTAACTCAGCAAAAATTATATCCAATACTAACAAATAGTTAGCTAGTACTAAATTATTATACACGGGTTTCTAAAAATTATTTATACTCCTTAGAGCACCCGCAATGGTAAAGTAAGGTGCTATCTATAAAACATGTACATCTCAGCAATAAATAGTAAACCATCTCAATAGTATGTCTACATGGGTATCTATAGCTCTCTAATATATTGCCTCATTTTTCTCTATAGACTATCTCCAGGTTAGTAGATAGCTTTGCTCTCTCTTCTTTAATCTCTTTCAAGTAGAAAAATATGCTGACATGGATCTTTTATAGAGAGCCTATAGATAACCATTGTGGGTACCTTACAGTACTTCCCACCTCTCACAATATCTATTCTCTGTCTCATCGAGGCAATTGGGAAGCGTGCAAATGGTGGGAAAAGCTTACAGTTGCAGCATGCATGGATGACGATTGGTCATGCTGCTTTTTACTATCGCTGTAGCCGGGTGATAGATTAAGTGCTGGTTACTCTCTCTCCTATTTTCTTACTCTTCCATCTAGGATTTATCTTAGATGAATAGTACTACCGCCCGCTGATTATATCTACTATATTTGCTCTAACAACCCCAAATAACTTGTGCCTTGAGAGTGTAGGAGCTTGTCTAAGCTGCCATTGAGCATGTACTGGAGCACCAATGCTCTGAACTATATGTTGGAACAAGTGTTTAGTACCTTTATCAGGTTCCGGTGTTTAGTATCTATTTTCCGTTTAGATGTAGAGACCGATTTAATCTATTAAAAAGAATTGCGAGGAATCATGGCACGGCTCGCCGGGAAAAAAAACCCTTCTATATGACAGGGGTAGCTTTTTCATCCCAAGGGAGATTCCACTGGTGGAGAAATGCTTTTTAGTCCCGGTTCGTAACCCCCTTGTAGTCCCGGTTTTCCAACCGGGACTACGAATCCGGGACTAAAGATCGTTATCTTTAGTCCCGGTTAAAAATAACCGGGACTAAAAATCAATCTTTAGTCCCAGTTGGTGTTACCAACCGGGACTAAAGATGGGAGCATCTTTAGTCCCGGTTGATAACACCAACCGAGACTAAAGATATTTTTTCTTTTTTTTTCTGCTTTTAATATTGAATATTAATTTCACACCATCCCCTCCCATATCCAAATCATCACATATTACAGAACATCTCCAAATCCTCAAACAAATCATCTCCAAATACACACAAACTCTTAAAAAAATCACATCACAGGGTTCTAAAAAATTCATCACAGATTCACATCTCACATAAAAATACATCACAGATTCACATCTCAAAAGAAAAAAAGAAAAAAAAATCTGGCCGGCGGCCACTGCCGCCTCCCCTCCTCCCCTCCGCGCCGGCCGGCCACCGCCGCGCCGGTCACCGCCGAGCGGCCGCCCACCGCAGCCGCCGCCGCCGCGCCGGCCGCTATAGTTGGCCATAAGGCCCGAGGCCCGAAGGCCCGGCCCACGGCACGCCTTTTTGGCCCGGCCCAAGCACGGCACGGCCCGACTTGGGTCGGGCCCGTGCCGGCCCGGCCCGACTGTCGGGCCGTGCCTGGGCCTCCCCACCAGCACGCTGGGCTGGCCCGGCACGGTCGGGCCGGCCCGGCACGATGGGCTGGCAGGCCAGGCCCGGTACACAAAGTATAGGGACTAAAAATAGACATATAAATGTCAATGTCTAAAGAATAGGAACCTTAAATAGACTTATTTTAGCTATTTATATACCACAGCACAAAGAAGAGGGAGGTAAAATAGACTTTTTTTAGCTATACAATGTCACAGCCCAATAGGAGGGAGAAAATTTAGACTTATTCTGAGGAAAAGCACGATGGCCCATCGTGCCTTCGGGTCGGCCCGGCACGGCCCGAGGCGTGTTGGGCCGTGCCTGGGCTGTGAGTGCGGCACGTGGGCTGGCACGGCACGGCCCGGTGCGTTGGTCGGGCCGTGCCGGCCCGACAAGCCTCGGCCCAGGCACGGCCGGGCCTGGGCCGTGCCGTGCCGGGCGGCCCACATGGCCATCTATACAGGCCGCCCACCGCCGCCGCCGCGCAGCCCCCCGCGCCGCCACGCCGGCCGCCGCGCAGGCCGCCTCCGCGCCGTCCCCCGCGTCGCCGCCTCCGCACCGGCCGCCTGCATAGTGGTGAAGGAAAAAAAGAAGGAGAGGAGGGGAGTTAGAGATAAGGAAAGAGATAAGAAGTTAGAGAGGAAAAAAAGAGATAGAGGGAGGAGTTTGTTGTGTGGACGGGAAAAGAGGATCGGTACTATGGATTATATAGTGTGTTTTGATTTTTATTCCCGGTTAGTAACACCAACTGGGACTAAAAACCCGGTTAGTAACACCAACCGGGACTAAAAATAGGTTTTTAGTCCCGGTTGGTGTTACTAACCGGAACTAAAGATCATAGGGCCCTGACACGGCCTGACATGTAATCAACCGGGACTAAAAATGAACTTTAGTCCCGGTTGAAGTTACCAACCGGGACTAAAGATGATTTTTAGTCCCGGTTGGTAACAACAACCGGGATTAAAGATCTTTCTCTTATTAACCGGGACTAAAAATTATTTTTATTCCTGGTTTTTAATGGAACCGGGACTATTATGGATTTGGGTTGACCAACCAAAGATGGTTTCTCTACCAGTGTTCGGTTTCACAACCTTCATATGACTGTGCTTATTACGCAATCCAATCGTGACGTATGAAGCTAGGTATACTGCCCATCGATCGATTCTACCGAGATGGCAACATATATTCGTATATATCGATGATTAATTTCACAAGGCCATGATTCTTTCGAATTTCGGACACCGCAATACACTTATATATGGACAGCTCGGATCATCAACGAAAAGGAAGCAATGAGAGGAGGCGGCGGCGGCGGCGGCGGCGGCTGCTGCGGCTCATCCGTGGCGGGTGGCCGTCGAAAAGCTTCGGGCTCCACATATACCGGAGGAAGTTCGCCGCCCGCTCGTCTTTCCTCATCAGGAACGACTACGGCGTGTGGTCGCAGGCGCACCGGCGGCTCATCAGGATGACGCGCCTCGGCTACTGGATCGTCTACGACCTCGACGCCAAGGAGCTGAGGACGTGGTACGAGGAGAGGCTCCTGCGGGACCGCGGCATGGCGCGGTGGCCGGAGTACGGCGCCGGCGACAGGGAGGAGGTCCGGTCGCTGATCGCCAGGGTGAGGGAGGAGTACTGGCGCCGCATGCCCGAGCACCGGAGGCAGAAGTTCGTGGCGAGACTCGAGGAGGAGCGGCGGCTCAAAGAGGAGAGCGATCAGCGACAGCAGCTCGCGGCGGCGGCCGACGAGCGCCGCGGGGCGCAGATGGCCGCGGTTGACGATGGCAAGCTCCGGGCATCGTCGCGGTCGTCGACGCAGCCTCCTCCTCGTCGTCGTCGTCGTCGTCGTCGTTGGGCTCCGCCGCCGCCGCCGCCGCCGCCTCGCCTGCTTGGTATTCTACTGTGGATACTTGCTGCGGAAATCGTGCTGCTGTTCGTTTACAAATTTATGCTTCCATCGTTTCGCTTCTTCTAACTCTTATAAGCCAAAATTTAAATTTAAAAATTTATTTTCGATTTTATGATTTTTTTATCGTAGTTTATTTTACTGTATTTGTTTTTAATTGATCGTTATAAACATGTATATAAAAGTTTTATTCGTAAGTTATTTTTTCTAATAACCTGTACCGCTTTTGCTTCTAAAGAGCAAACGGTCATATGCACCTCTCGTTTTAGACTGAAATTGACGATTTACTTTCCTATTCATCGTCGTGTGAACTTGAGTCTAAACGAACACCCATCTACATTGGAGTAAGTTCCATTTCTTTTCCTTGTTGTAAGCCGAAATTCGAGAGGAGAGAAACCGAACTACCGGAGAGTGTTCTAGTACAAGGAACTTTGGGTGAAAATGAACTTTGGGCGAAAATTAAGGAGTAGGCCAAAACCTGATCGCTAGCAAAAAGCTCTGTAGATCCAGGAAAAAATAATAGTGGGGCTGGACAAACTATGCTAGTATAAATCAAAACATGTATCACATATAAATTGGCTACATATCTAGTTCAAAGTACACATACATTGAATTAATGATATGTAGAGAATTTTGTCCATACCAAACTAATGTCCAATAGATAATATGTCACACCCAATTGCCTATTATTCTTCATGAGTAATAATCTATACAAAGAAAAAGGCAAACTAACGAATTCAAAAAATTTAGAGACCTAGGGATCACTGATAGTGTTGCTTGAACTATTATAATACGTGAACCATGTTCTTTTTGACATGCTGACAATCTATAAATGTACAGAAACAATTATAAATTTCAATCACTACCTCACTTAACTTGAACTATTGAGGCACAATTTTAGACTGTCTATTAGTATTAGAGGTTAGTAGGCTACCAAATTTAACTTCAATCACCGGTTGCTGCTGCAAGTTGTGTAGTTGCCGGCCACTGCGCCGCTGCCTGCCTACCTTGCGCCCTCGCCGGCTCCAGGCTCGGCACCTCCCGCCCGGCGTGTCAGCGCAGGATCGCCGCCTGGTGCCCTGGCCCAGCTCGTGTCTCGCTACCTCCCCGGCACTAGACCGCCGCTTGGCCTGTCTCCCGTCCCACCCTCCAGGCCCCTAGCTTGTTTGGTGCTCGCGGCTTGCCACTTGCCTGCTTGCTACACGCCGCACACCCATGGGGCCACGAGCCACGTTGCCTCGTGCCTAGGGGTGGCAATTTCCCTATTGGGTCCGGTGACCCGGCGGGAACCCGTCCCTACGGGGTCGGGACCGGGGGAGAATTCTCACCAGCAGGTGAGTGGGGACGGGGCCCCGCAAAATTCCGAGGATAGGGGTGGGGATCAGAATTAATCCGCGGGTGACCCGGAGGGGCCCCAAATATATATGAGTTACTTTTCCAAAATTAGCCCATTTCAATAATATAGACCCAATAAACCCATTTAAAATTGACATATAAAAGCTCAATATCCTAGTTCTCCTCAACCGTAATCCATTTCCTTCCTTCAACCAACCCTCACCGCCGGAGGCTATTGAAATTTTATCACACTATTATTCAGTGTATTACAATAAATTTTACAGAGTATTAACTCCATCCGGGTGATGCGGGGCCCTGATCACTCGCCGGTTCCCCTGTGGGGGCAAGGACGGGTGATGTTTTTCACTCGACTTCCTTTGTGGGGCCGAGGGTGGGGATACCTGCAAGAGGGCGGGCGGGGGTATTCCAGCCCAACCCGGCCCCGCCCCGCCCCATTGCCACCCCTACTCGTACCCTCGTCAGCTGGTGTTGTCGCCGGGTGCTGGCCTCCTCGGCACCTTGCGTCCTTGCCTGTCCACCGTGCACGGCCGTCTCCCGTCGCCCATCAGCCGCCCCCACACCCGTGCCTAGCTAGGTCCTTGGAGATTTGGAGAGGGGAGGTGGGGAGTTGGCAGTGGCCAATTGAGGAAGTAGCCGAGTGGGCCGGCTTGACCTGTTGGTTTGGGGAGTGCGCCTTGCTTCATTGCTTGGAGTGTGTTGGGCCAAAATTGGAAGATTGAGCTCATGGGTTGCTCTTCTTAGCCAGCCCAAATCGCGAAATACTTCATCTTCAACCTCTAGCCTCCCCTCCAGCCGATGTTGACGATCTGATGAACCTTCAGCCCCCACATCCCATGGATCTATGGAAGAAGTTTTTAGTGGGGGGTTTATGGAGGTCTCCATGGTTCCGGGGTTGATAGTGGGGTCTGAAGATCCCTCTCCTCCCCTCCCTCCCCGCGCCTCCACAGTAAATCCATCCCTGCTCTCACAGCTTATTCCCTTAGCTTTATTTCACTTTATTTTTCTTTATATAATAATTCTTCATGCTTGTAAAACTTCCTTTAACTTCTGCTGTACTCAATGGAATTGAGATACTTTAAGTGCCAGTTAATGAAATGAAACTTTAAGCACATATGAAAACTTACAGCCATGTTGTTAATAGGATTAGGGTGCAAACTCCCGTTTTTGGTAGCACTTTATTGGTGGCCAGAGTCGTCCATCACCATCACTCATGGACTGTTGTAGTTGTGTTCCACATTATCGATTCAATCTCCTCGAGTGAGGTCTACATTGATAGGATATCCCATATCCTCAAAAGTTAATCAACCAATACATAACCAGGGTCCTATTAGTTGAACTGCAGATGGTAACATCTTTTCTCAAGTTAAGGCATACGTGGTTTAGCGACGACATGTAGACCATACTTGAGATGAACAGCTATCCCATTGACCTCACTCATGTCTACTGGCAACGCCCATGCTTGGCTGCCCCTCCTCCTGTGATCAGTTGCCGCCGCCTCCCAGTCAAAATGGTAGAGCAAGCTCGCGAGTGCTATCTCCATGGCTGACACCCCGAACACGATCCCGGGGCACCCCCTCCTACCGGCGCCAAATGGTAGCAGCTCGAAGTCCTGTCCCTTGTAGTCAATGGTGCTGTTGAGGAATTTCTCCGGTGAGAACTCGTCCGGTTGCTGCCCCCATGCTGCCGCGTCTCGGCCGATGGCCCACGCGTTGATCACCACCCGCGTGTGCGCTGGTATGGTGTAACCCAGGATCTGGGTGTCCGCCGGTGGCTCTCGTGGGATGAGGAGCGGGAGTGGTGGGTGTAGCCGGAGCGTCTCCTTGAAAACAGCCTTGAGGTAGGGCAGCTTGTCCACGTGGTCCTTGGTGACATGACTAGTGTTGCCCACGACTGCCCAGATCTCGTTCTGCGCTTTGCGCATGGCGCGTGGGTGGTTGATCAGCTCGGCCATGGTCCATGCCATCATCGTGGTCGTAGTGTCTGAGCCCCCTACAAACATGTCCTGCTCGTGTCCGTGAAGCAAGAAGCATATCAGCTACGGAAATTTCACAGTACCTTAACCTCAAGGTATCTAAATTTTGCACTAAATTTTTTGATACCTAATTAATTAGTACCTGGAGGTACTAAATTTTATACTAATAAATACGATACCTCCCGACACTGTTTTAATATGGTAAAATTGCCCTATCAGCTATATTAATATTCAGTATTCACTTTTGTCATAAATATGTGATATTTAGAATAAAATTTTGTTAATCTTTTAAAACTTTGATCATTAATAATTTTTTATTGCCTAGTTTGAAACAAGAAACATATTTTGCATACAATTACCTTAAAAATCACTACAATTACACCTATTTAATATTATAAAATTGTTCCAAGATAACATGATGATCAGAGTTTTAAAACCTTTGGACTAAGGAGTGCTAGTATTCCAACTAGACTATAGCTCGATTCATACCATGATAATAGCCTTGATTTCGACGGTGCCGAGCTGAATGCCAGCGTCCTTGTCCGTCTCGTTCACGTCGAGCAACACGTCCACGAAATCCCGGTGATCGCCGCCGCCGTCGTCGTCCATACGCCGGCCGCCTTCACGGCGGCGACGGTGATCGTCGATCACCCTCTCGAGGATGCCGTCCAGCGCCTCAAACGTGCGCTGCACCTTCCCGTCTATCCCCCTCAAGGCGTCCACCCACCAGAACCATGGCAAGAGCTCCCCCATCGGCTCCGTCCCGAGCAACCTCGCGAAGTCGTCGAACACCTTCCTCAGCTCGCGCCCCCTGTCGCCGCCGCCGCCGCCGCCGCGCGCGCTCTCGTCGCCGAACGCGATGCGCGTCAAGACGGTGTTGGAGTAAGCGATGAGGAGGTCGGACAGGTCGACGACGACGTCGGCGGCGGCGGCGCGGACGCGGCCGACGAGCGCGGCGGCCTCCTCCTCCCTGACGCGGCGGAACGAGAGGACGCGGCGCGCGCTGAGGAGGTGGACCACGCAGATGCGGCGCGCCTGGCGCCAGTACTCGCCGTAGGGCGCGAACGCGACGTCGCGGCCGCCGTAGAGCAGCAGCTCGGCCATGGCCATCCTGGGCCGGCTCGCGAACTCCATGTCCCGCGACCGCATCACCTCCTCGGCCGCGGCCGCCGACGACACGACCACCACGGGAACGCGGCCGAGCCGCAGCAGCAGCACCGGGCCGTGCGCCGCGGCGAGGGACCGCAGTGCCCGGTGCGGCAGCGCGCCGAGCAGGTGGAGGTGGCCGAGCAGCGGGAGCCCCCGCGGCGACGGCGGCAGCCTCCGGCGGCGCCGGCCATCACCGCCGTCGTCCTCCCACCTCGCAGCGCCATTTCTCGTCGTGTACTTCACGGCGGGAAGCAGCACGAGGTACAGGAGCGGCGCGACGATGGCGAGGAGTACAAGGACGGCGGGGAGGAGTGAGACGGCCATTGTTTTGCGCGCGTGCGTGCAACGGAAAGCGTTTGGTTACTTGGTTGTAGTTGCGCGCGGCAGCAGCATGGGACTATTGATAATGTTGAGGACGGAAGGAAGGGTAGCAAATCAACAACCAGAAACTGGACGGGCTGACGGTGACGGCCCCTCACGAAAAGTATATTTTCTGGTGGTGAATGGGAGCAAGGGACAAGTGATAATGTTGAGGAATTTTTCGTTTTTAAATATAACTCATCTCTCACGATGTTGTACACGTACTATATATACTACCGCCATATCTCTAAAGTACTATAGGTCCCATACTCCCATCCAGAAAATTTTCTCTATTATACCCTTCAAGTAGTGCTAGTGGTAGAGCCATAATTTTTCTGGACCTTAATTGAATTAATAAAATTTTGCCTTTATCTTCTAATTTTTTGAAGGTTTAAAATGAAATTTCAATGAATATTTAGGATCGGCTACAGCTCTACCTGCTCTACTCCTATCTCCACCCGGGCCTTCAAGTACCACTCCAATCCTAACTATACATCATTTATAAATGAATGGAACTATTATTTTTTCCTTAAATTTTAACCTATGCTAAAATATATAGAATGATAAGTACTCCCTCCATTCCATAATATAATGCACAACCACTTTTTTTAGATGTTCTATAATATAAGGCATACATGCATGTAGGCCATTAACTATGATCACTTCTTCATTAAATTATTACTTTTTTAAATCCTCCACTCTCATGTTCTCTAATTCTATTCTCACTCCCTCCATACTTGTAAAGGAAGTCGTTTAGGACAGCGACACGGTCTCTAAAACACAACTTTGACTTCTTATTTCTATAAAAATATTTATTAAAAAGTAATATATGTAAACTTTTATGAAAGTATTTTTCAAAACAAATCTATACATATAATTTTTACATTTTCAAAACTCAACAACTTGAGAGTTATTCATGATTTATATTCCCAAGGTTTGACTTAAACATTATCTTAAACGACTTCCTTTATGAGTATGGAGGGAGTATTTATTAGGATGATCCAAACTACAAGATGATAATAATTATTTTCTTGGTCTTTGAGTTAGGAGTGGTTATACTTTATATTTTGGAAAGAAGGGAGTATTTTCGAACGGAGAGAGTACATGTTTTAAATTTGTTTGTGCAAATATGCATACCTCGCGGGCTAGGGAGCGCGAGGGACGAGGGAGTCGTCACCCTCGAAGACGTGAGACAAATGGAAGAGATGGTGGTGCGATGCCATCACACGTGACCGCTCGTGGATCGGGGACGTGGAACCGACGCAGTCGCGCAAATTGGTCACGCCGAATGGCAGACGGATCGATGGCGATTAAATAGCGTGGTCACTTTTCGTCCAGCTAATTAACTAGCGTGGTTGCTTTCTTCCATAGATTTATTAGGGAGAAAACTTCAAATCTGGCGCTCGATTGTTCTAAATAAATCAAATGATCCAAATGTTTCAGTTGACCACGGTAAAAATTAAGTTACACATGGTGGAAAACAAATAAAGTCACTGAATCATTGAAAACTTTTGTGAAACATAATAAAGGCACACGTTGAAACATGTTGCTATCACGTATGTGTCGACGGGGGATACCTGTAAACTGGATGAATAGGGTATTGGGATACGTTGGTACGAGGATATACATGATCGACATCAAGCAAACAAGAAGACAAGGATTATACTGGTTCAGACCCCTCATAAGGTAATAGCCCTAATCCAATTTATATAAGATTGATATGGAAAGACCATAGATTACAAATAGAGAACCGACGATCCCGAGATTACCGGCGAGATCCCTTGTCGAGATGGTCTCGACGAGAAGTCCCGCAAGTAGGCTATGGTGGTTGTGTTGGCAGTATGATTCGATGATCTAAACCCCTCAGGGGGTGTGCCTTTTATACCGTGAATCAACTAAGTCTCCAAGTAGAACTCGGAGACTATGGTCCCCACATGATATAATATAAACCTTATCTTCTCCAAGTAGGACTCTGATATTCACTTGCCTGTGAGAATAATTTCCATAATCTCTTGTTAGTTTTATTATCATATACGGAAACATATCATATACTCGAAGGTATACCATATCCGTATATTCCATAAGTCATAGGATATGAGGTATGTCTTATCTGTAACCATGACAGTATGACACATCGAGTGTTAACGGATTGAAATATATGTTTTTTCATTAGAATTTAAACATGCGATACTTGTTATAAATATTTAATTATAACAAATATAACGATGTAATCGGATAAGTAATTTAGAAGAAAAATCGTTTTGAAGATCGTTAAATACATGCAGGATGGAGTGGAGGGAGAATAGGGGTGAGTTTTGTGAAACACAGTGAAAATACACATGTAAACATGTTACTATCACGTAATGAAACATCTAGTTTTATCATAATATAGTTATACGATATCTTGTTGTAAAGATTTAATTACAACGAATATAATAGTGTGATCAGATTGTAGATCAGGTAAATAATTGAGGAGAAAAGTAATTGAAGAGAGGAGGAGGGAAGGAGAAGAAACTAGCTTAGTGATCAGGTTGAATAAAGTTTAATTTTATTCAGTGAATGGAGCCACCGGTCCAAACATTCTTCATTTGTTAGGTATAGATTCATATAGTTAAGCTCGATCGATGAATTCGATGTAGATTTCTTAATTAAATCTTGATTTTTATACGTGTCGCATCAATTTTCTTGTTCATTGCGACAAAATTAAATAAATTGGGTGCCACCAGGCCAACACACGACCAATCCGCGGGACCACGTGTGGCTATAGATTGCAGGCCGCATCACACCGGTGCCTCGTCCGCGACGGCGCTTGGGTACCGCGCTCAGGGTTAGAAATTCCAGTTGAAAATTTCGACCATCTGATATGATATTATTTTGACCAAAATTTTTAATATTTTTTAATCTAAATATATATAAAGAGAACAACTTATTTCTATGGTTAGGGTGAAACTTAACCATTGTTTCGCAGCAGCTTGCGAGTTATATGTAGTCATTATCTTACTCAATTCAGGAAATAACATCTCCAGGATCAATATCCGATTATTTTGACGATTGAATTTCACCACATCAGCGTCAATGGCTGAAGTCGAATTGAAGTGAAAGATACCGTCAGATAGTTACTGAGTTGTAATTTGTAAATCAGTTGCCGGCAAATGATCCCACTTAGGCACTTACCATCAGAACAACTTCGGTGATGCCGTGATGGTGGATGTCAATGTCAGTGGTGAAAATACACGACAAATAACGTTTCCTTTTCCTCTTTCTCTATTTGGTAAAATAGAAAATATACTACCAATGTTTTTTTTACTAGGGGTTTAATTTGGCCATTGACATAGTATCTAATTTATAACCATCCACCATTTTATTTTTATCTATTTTCTTAATCTTTGTACCTATTTAAAGGTAGCTATATTTAAAACACGAGAGAGTAATTATAGCCACTGGAAATAAGATAAAAATTAGGAATCGACAAATAGCAAAATTGTCGATTTTGAGGCATGTTGAGGTGAGATCTAATTCGATCTAGCCCCCTAGTGCATACAAAGTTCAAGGCCGATGATCAGCGGCTAACTCAAAAAAAGTGGCACCATTTTTTTTTCACTTTGTGATTTTTAATTAACTCGTTCTCATATAAAAATATATTTTATCTCTCCTATTTCATCTTTCGTGACTCTTATTTTGTTTTTTACCTATATGTTAATTTGGACTTATATATTTTTGAAAAAAAAACATCAAATAGGCAATCAATGCCTATTATGCTAACACTTATATACACACACTATACTATACTACAGATGGGGTGCGTTGTATTACAACGCACCCACCCCCCCCTCCCCCCAACCAACCTGGTGCCCCCCTCCCCCGCGTCCCCCTCCCTCTCCCTACACGTATTGTCATCGTAGTAAACTATGATGGACCCCTCCACCTCTCCTAGTCTGGCGCATCTTTTTCAGTCTGTCCAAACCTTTAATTCGGTTAGTAACCGGTTTACTACATGAAGAACTATTTTCATTGTAGTAATGTATTTACTACAAGGGAAGCGTTGGTTCTTATTTCTAATTATCCTCCAAACCACTCAGTATCTATACCAATAGTAATTTTATTACTATGAATTAGCCGCTAAATATGTTAGAAATAATTGTTTTGAGTTTTATAAAATCCATTCATAATCATAATCATTGCCACCTTATTTAATTACTTATTATAGGAGATGCCTTGATTGATTGTTTAATTATCTGCCCAAACCCCTCCATATCTGTACTGATAGTAATTTAATTACTATGAATCAGCCGCTGCAAAATTTCCGTATGCATGTACATATGTTGCTTTTTTAATCTAAAGTCCTTTTATATTTTATATATATTACAAATAATAGTACTGAGTTTTATAAAAATCTATCCATAATCATAATATTTGCCACCCTATTTAATTATTATTTATATTCAACAAAGGCCAATGTCGAATCCATGAGAATTATTTTAATTTGTAGTAAATATTTAAATTGCTATTTTTTTTGTCAATAATATTCTTTCGATCCTGGATGGATAGCAACGAACGTTTCCTAAAGGCACGTTTTTTTTTCTTGGACTAACCAGTCAATCGGATTGATTCCCCATCTTCCATATCCTTTCTGTTTTTATCGCTCCGCAGGCGGCGGCGGCGGTTCCCGGCGACCGTGGGCTTGTGACAGAGGACACCGGAGGGGTGAGCCGATGACCTGATTCTGCGTCCCCTGAAGGGCTTGCTCCGACGACGCCGGACTGATCAGCCTACCGCCGGTGACGGTGGCTTCAGAATCCACGGCCAGCCACCATTGTTTCAAAGAATCCTGAAAACGTGAGATCTGCATCCCCCATCCCTACATACTCATCTCATCTATCTATTTAACTATCATCAAGCATAGCTTCATCAATCCGTGCATTTTTTTTTGGATAGATTCAAGTTGCTCATGGTTCTTTTAATTTCACCCATCCTTCTGTAGATGAAGCGGAAGGGCAAGATGCCAGAAAAAGTCAGGAGTATCAAATTCACTGAATCACAATCCATAACTACCTCCCTACATTCCCATTTTTTTTTTATAAAAATAACATTTAATAAAAACCTTCGAAATTACAGCGCACAATTCACTATCAAAGCTTCCAGAAACAGTAATTTTAACGTCCAGTAAAAATTTTACTACCGACTCAATTAATATATTAAAAAAACCATAAGTAAGGGCAAAAATCATCGCTGTGCACTAATTGAATCAATAGTAAATTGTTTTCTAACTGAAAAAATGAGGTTCTTATCGTAAGATAATTACTAAATCGCACGTAACTTTTCCCTCCGTGATGACAGTGCGATCGAGGATGAGATTCTGCAAGCATCTATCAACAATAGTACATTTTTTGCTAACGATATATTTATATAGTCATAGTAAATGAGTTACTAAGTCAAACCTTCAGAGGTTACAGGTGTGACACACGCGTTACTCGGCTCGTTATTGCGGAAGCAAACCAAATAATCCTCAGTAACTCCATTACTGCTAGACCAAACATCATAATTAAGTAACTACTTTACTCACACAAACTAAAAAATATTACTCGGTTGGTTAGTGCAGAAGCAAACCAAATAATCTTCAGTAACTCCTTTAATGACAGACAATACCATCAGTAACTACTTTACCCACACAAACTAAAAATCTTTCACGGTTGGTTAGTGCGGAATCAAACCAAAGAATCATCAGTAACTCATTTACTGACAGATCAGAACAACATAATCAAGTAACTACTTTACTCACAGAAACTAAAGATATTGCTAGTAATATTGTTACTAGCAATCTAATCTTAACTTTGTGTGGCATGTGTGCGACGACTGGGAGGGGGTGGGGTGTGGGGGTGGTGGGTGGCGGGTGGGGAGTGCGGATGGTTGCACCATCAAATTTATACGTATAGTAACTAATTTACTTATAGTGTAATGTGCCATTTTCTAAGCTTTAGTAATAACTTTACTTATTTTGAAATGGTGCAGGGGATTGGTGGGTGGGTGGGGGGAGGGGGAGGGGGTGCTGTGAGGGGAGTAGTTTAGTTATTACGCACCCCATACGCGGTTTAGCGCGTCCATATATATATATATATATATATATATATATATATGGGGGAAAAACTATGGTGTAAGCTTCCAAATTTTACAACGTAAGGTTTGAAATTTATAATGTCAATACTAAAATACATGAAATCTACAACTAAAGATGGAATTATATCGTGAAACTCATGTTAAATTTTTTTATTTTATTTAATGTGGCAACATAAATACATACAATCCCTTTTATATTAAGGAAAGCGCGATATAGCAATGAGGGGTAGTCCGTACTTGAGACGGACTGAAAGCCCATTCATCTCACTCATGTCTAGTGATGAAGTCCCAAACTCGCTCCTCCTATCCACCACTCTCGTCTCCCAGTCAAAATTGTACAGCAAGCTCGCCAATGCCATCTCCATGGCTTGCACAGCGAACCCGACCCCAGGACACCCCCTCCTACCGGCACCAAATGGCACTAGCACAAAGTCTTGCCCTATGTAGTCCAAGCCACTCTCCAGGAATCTCTCAGGTATGAACTCCTCCGCATGCTCTCCCCATGTCGCCTGGTCACGGCCGATAGTCCACGCGTTGATCACTATTCGAGTGCATGCCGGGATGCTATAGCCCAGGATCTTGGTATCTGACGACGGTTCATGTGGCACAAGTAGTGGGAGCGGCGGGTGCAGCCGGAGCGTTTCCTTAAGTACAGCCTTGAGGTAAGGTAGCCTGTCCAAGTGGTCCTCGGTGATGTGGCTGGTGATGCCGACGACCGCCTTGATCTCGTCCTGCGCGTTGCGCATTGCATCCGGATGGGTGATCAACTCCGCCATGGCCCATTCTATCACTGTCGTCGTGGTGTCCGTGCCCGCCGCGAACATGTCCTGCTCACATCAGTGTCGACACCAGAAACAAATCAACTAGTGGAACATAGTACAACAAATGGATTCTAATCCCTTGAGGGGATGTTTCCTCGTTCCTACATGTCATCTAAATAATTATAAAATATTGAAAAAATTGGCAAGATTTATTAATATGTTGTATATCACTTCAGAAATATGGAAGTTCAAATTCGATCTCCATTACTCCATAAATTGTAAAACATATATCAAATTCACCTCTAACTAGAATACATGTGCTCACAATCATATTTGATTTTTTTTAAGTTGTAGAAGTTAAATTTAAACTTATGTGTTCATGGAGTGATATATATAGCATGATAAACTATTTTATCAAATTTTTACATTACTATTTGGGAAACATAAAAAAGATTGAGAGGACATCCCTTAAGACAATAAAAGAGTTTCCCCGTTGTATGAGATCTACTACGGGCGAACTCTTTTACTGTCTTAGGGATGTCCTCTCAATTTTTTTTCATGTTTCCCAAATAGTAATGTAAAATTTTGATAGGAGTACTTATTTGTCAAGAAAGTACTACCCCTGTTTTGTTTTGAACTTCTTTAAATTTGGGCAAGTTTATAAAAAAAAATTAGCAACATCTACAACACCAAATTAGTTCCCGTTAAATTAACATTTAATATTTTTTATAATATATTTGTTTTATGCTGAAAATATTGATATGTTTTCCTATAAACTTGGTTAAACTTAAAAAAATTATCTACGAGAAAAAAAATCAAAGCAGACTAATCTATACTTCTACTACTTAAAAAGAAAAAAAAGTTTCAGTCTATGTAAAGATAACAAAAAACACATGCAGAAAAAAAAATCCTCTGAGAAAAAACTATTAGAAAAAATCGGTGTTTATAAAATATCCGGATAAAAAAAACCACCAGTTATAACAAAACCGTCTTATTCAACGCGAGAAAAAAAACCACCGCTTATAACAAAACCGTCTGACTCAACGACAACAAAAAAAACCATGTTTATAAACAAATTTGCAACAAAAATACTCCAAAAAACTGTCAGAAAAAAATCATTGTTTATATAAACTATGAATAAAAAACCATCCGACTGTACACAAAAAATCATTGTTTATATAAACTATGAATAAAAAACCATCCGACTGTACACAATAAAAAACCACTGTTTATAAAATTTCTGTGCAGAAAAAAAAACGCTCAAAAAACTGTCAGAAAAGATCGTTGTTTATAAAAAAATACGGATAAAAAAATTTCCTACTCAAAGCAAGAAAAAAAAACGCCGTTTCTAAAAGAATAGTTTGAGAAAACTGTCCAACTCAACGCGGAAAAAACCACCATTTATAAAAGAACTGTCCAACTCAATGCGAGAAAAAACCACGGTTTATGAAAGAAAATCTGTTTCGAACCGTGCAATGCGAAAAAAAAACTTTCCTACTTCGAAGAAAACATCTGATTCGAGGAAAAAAATTGTAACATTTATATCGTCAGGTCTACGACGTCGGTTTGGTTTTTACAAAGCATTGGTTAAATGTTCTGATGTTCTGATCTAAAATAAGTCTTGCTTGAGCCTTTTCTTTCTCCGAACGAGATCAAATTAATGGATGCTTGGGTAGGATAGAATCCATAGATTGTTTCCATCTCTTACACGACTTTTGCTCCCTCATCTATTGTCCTGTATTGGAGGTTATGCCCATCTATAGATAATTATTAGACTACTTTGTTAAATATAGCTACTATTCTTTATAACGTATCATATGAAAATAATAAAAAAATATATGTTTTTAATTTTTATTTAGAGAAGGGTGCACGGTGGCTCTATTTTGTTTAGAGTTGACCATAGAGGCCGTGTCGATTTGATTGATCCTATTATTATTGGTTGAAAGAATTAGATTGAAAGAGTATTTCAGATTATATGCATTTTACTAGATAAATAATCCAATTCTTTTGGGTAAAGCAGCCATTGATAAGGTTACCACCGTCGAGATTGGACCATTACATTGAAGATGTTCCCGTTTTTCTTATGATATGTCTTAGCTATAACAACCGATATAAATATTATCATTGATATGGTTATGTATGAAAAGCGTATTTTATAATCGAATTTTTTTTCATCTGTTCCAACGCACGGATATTTTTTTTTAGTATAGTAGCATATATGCCCGATTCATACGTACCAGTATAATGGCCTTGATTTCGATCGTGCCGAGCTGAACACCAGCGTCCATGTCCGTCTCGTTGACGTCGAGCAACACGTCCACGAAATCCCGGTGATCGCCGCCGCCGCCGTCGTCCATCTGCCTACCGACCTCACGGCGGCGGCGACGGTGGTCGTCGATCACCTTCTCGAGGATGCCGTCCAGCGCCTCAAATGTGCGCTGCACCTTCACCTCCATTCCGTTCAAAGCGTCCACCCACCCGAGCCATGGCAGGAGCTCCCCCATCGGCTCTTGCCCGAGTAGCTCCACGAAGTCGTCGAACAGCTTCCTCAGCACGCGCCCCCTGTCGACGTCGCCGTACAAGCCACGCGCGCTCTCGTCGCCGAACACGGCGCGGGAGACGACGGTGTTGGAGTAGGCGGTGAGGTGCTCGACCAAATCGACGGCGCCGCCCGCGGCGCGGACGCGGGCGACGAGCGCGGCGGCCTCCTCCTCCCTGACGCGGCGGAAGGACAGCACGCGGCGCGCGCTGAGGAGGTGGACCACGCAGATGCGGCGCGTCTGGCGCCAGTACTCGCCGTAGGGCGCGAACGCGACGTCGCGGCCGCCGTAGAGCAGCCGCTCGGCCATGGCGACCCTGGGCCGGCTCGCGAACTCCAGGTCGCGCGTCCGCATCACCTCCTCGGCGGCGGCCGCCGACGACACGACCACCACGGGGACGCGCCCGAGACGGAGCAGCAGCACCGGGCCGTGCGCCGCGGCGAGGGACCGGAGAGCCCGGTGCGGCAGGGCGCCGAGCAGGTGGAGGTGTCCGAGCAGCGGGAGCCCCCACGGCGGCGACGGCGGAAGCCTCCTCCTCATTCCACCGTCACCGTCGTCCCGCCGCGCCGGCTTCCAGGCAGGAAGCAGCACGAGGTACAGGAGCGGCACGACGATGGCGATGACGACGACGACGACGACGACGAGCGAGACGGCCATGGTTGCACACCGCCGTTTGTGCGCGTGCATGCAACAGGTGTTCGTTTGGTGGCCGCGTAAGTACGTGCACAACGGATTGGGGAAAATTTGGCGGAAGTCGCACGAGCGACACGTACGAGTTCGATATGGGAAACTATTTTAACAACTCGAAGAGACGTCCACCCATTTATTACATGTCCAGTACGATATATTATTTTCTCATCATTCGCAATGCGATCATGCAACAGCAGCAGTGGGAGCAATTTCAACGGGAACATAAAGATTAAACGCATCTGAATCATATATATATCCATGATGGTTTTCGCGACGAATCTGTGGGCACGGCTCCTGGCATGGTTGACATATACGATATGGGAAACTGTTAACAGCTCGAATAGACGTCCACCTATTTATTACATGTCCAGTACGATATACTATTTTCTCATCATTCGCAATGCGATCATGCAACAGCAGCCGTGGGAGCAATTTCAACGGGAACGTAAAGATTAAACGCATCTGAATCATATATATATATATATATATATATATATATATATATATATATATATATATATATATATATCCATGATGGTTTTCATCTGTGGGCACAGCTCCTGGAATGGTTGACATCAATTCGTCCATATCAGGAATTGGATTTTCATTTTTAGAAAGGATATCCTCTTTTTTTTATACTACTTAAATAGTCATAGAAAAGCTTATAATAATTTGATAACATATATTAGCATGAAATATATCACTCCATGAACATATAAAACTAAATTGAACTTCTCTACAAGTTACAAAACAAAAAACAAATTAAACTGAAAATAGTTAATGCATATACATAGTTATATTTATTATTATTAAGTAACGTGAACGGAGAAGTTGAATTGGTATTTACATGTTTGTAAAGTGATATATTTTATATTAATCTATTTTTTTTAAAAAATTTTTATATGACTATTTAGATGACTTATAAATCTGCATATAGATCATGCTTAAATTCATATAGAAAATTTAGTTTTTATTTTACAAAGGAAGTAACATGGCAGCTAGTGCATCCGTGCGAGCCTCCAGTTTGCAGTTTATCTATCTGCTCTATTATTACTGCATACCAAGAGGAGTTTATATTCTTTTTTGGTGTCGCTGCATATGCCTACCGCACATGATGGTTGCCCACCGAAGCACGTACGGGTTCCCTCGTGCACCGGGTGTGCCAAGAGGAGTTTATATTCGCTCTTAACACTGTGCAGAACTCTTGACACGTACGTTTCCGGTGCATGTACGTTTTGTACTTCATTTCTGGACGATACTGCAAATTGAATAGTGATGATAGCCTGTATGTTGAACTCTTCTTCCCTCCCGTCTCTCTCAAATGGATAAGATAAGAAGGGATATCGATGTATATATGTTCATATTCATCTTCTTATTTATTTATTTATACATCCTATAGTTCAAAAAAGTTGTTTCACTCATTTTTCATTCTTTCATTCATCACTCAAGCGTCAAGGGTCCAGATCATCTCGGTAAAATCCAAACGGCGGAGATCGATCCCACCTCCCACCTCTCTCAATCACCGCACGCCCCCTCTCCCTCAATCGCGGAATCGCCGCTCTCTCTCTCGCTCTCCAACTCGCACCTGCGCCACCGCCAGGATTCCGCTCCCGCACGCGCTGACGCCGGAAAGAGCTCCGCCATCAGTGCTCCCCTCTCTATCAGCCGCCGCGCCGTCATCTGCATCGCCGATCTGCCACCGATCCCCGCCGCCGGCTCGCCCTACACGATCCCCATCACCCGTCCTCTGCCAGGATTCACGTCGTCGCCGATCACCGTCCTGGTCCACCGATCCCCGCCGCACGAAGTCCTCCCGACGCCAGGTCGCCACCGACGCCTTCCGCGGTGATCCGATCTGCCACCGATCCCCGCCGCACGAATCCCTTCCCGTCGCCAGGTGGCCGCCGACGCCTTCAGCGGTGATCTGCTCCTCACTGCAGACGTCGCCAGGAATATCTTCATCACCCTCATGCCATGCGGCCCTTCATCGCATCGCCTCCGCCAAGGCATATGGGAGGTATGGGCGTCTGATCATTAAGAATAACTGATGAGATTTGAACCATTTTTGAGAATTGCTGTGGCAGGAGTTTTTTGCAGTTACTATACGACTCAAACAAAAATGCATGTTTGCTGCCATATTTACATTGTTCATTTACACATGTACACCTGGGATACGCTTTTCAGAAGTTTTTTTTTTCAAATTCATATGCTCACTTGCTGTTATTCTCTTCTAGATAGACTTGTTAGAATTTTTGTTAGAATTTATCTCGTGGTTTACTTCCTCCGTTTCACAATGTAAGACTTTCTAGCATTGTCCACATTTATTTACATGTTAATGAATCTAGACATATATATGTATTCAGATTTATTAATATCTATATGTATGTGGGTAATGTTAGAAAGTCTTACATTGTAAAACGGAGGGAGCTGAATGGAAACATCAAACCCGTACAGATAACCCATTGGTAAAAGGCATATGCAGCGGCCCATTGAGGTTTTGTCACAAACTGTACTTCCAAAAAAACAAAAAAACTTTGGCTCATTCGTTCTTTACCGCAGTTCATGTATTTGATTCCATTGAACTTTCAAGAACAAGTCCCAAATGTTGCATGAGAGGCCGCACGTCTACTGTGACAGCTCTTTTGATCTCATACATACTTATCTTTCATCTCATGTCCTTTCAAGCTTCTGAATAAACTTATAAGATCTGTTCAGTGAAGTTTATGTTTCTATTTGTTCCGTTTGGGTATGATTTATTCATCCTAAATGTTAGATCATTTACTTTTAAGCAATATTACACAAGCAGCTGCAAACGATGGCCATTCTGTTAATCTTGTGATTTTAATTGTTCCTTTTTGTTGATTTTTCAGCTGCACTAACTATATTTTCTTTAGTATGTGTTATGGCACCCACACAGGCTTTTGTTTCTAGAGAAGAGTATCAATGATAATTTCTTCTGACATGGCAGGTAAATCTCCAATTCAAGGGGGCTCTGCGCCTTTCCTCAACAAGAAAAGGTGAATTTTACTACTGCAACTATAGGTTGAATGCAACTATCTTGAGTCGAAAGTTTTCAAATATGAGTTGAAAGTTTTTTAAATCTGAGTTACAAGTTTTTCAATCTCGAGTTGAAAGTTTTCAATCTTGAGTTGAAAGTTTTTAAATCTGAGTTGGAAGTTTTTAAAATTTATCTTACAAATTTGAATTTTGAGTTAAAAATTTCCAAAATTTGAGTTAAAAGTTTTCAAATTTTAACCTTAAAATTTAAATTTTAACTCGAAAGTTTTCAAATCTAACTTAAAAATTTTCAATTAAAAAAATCTTTTCTTAATACATTCATTATCCTTAACTAACCGAATTAGTTACGTTAACTCATTGAAAAAAGAATCCGAAAAAAAAGAATCTGCGTGGCGTGCGCGTTGCCGGCACGTACGCGCCGGCTACCTTTTCACTTTGGCAACGCGCCGGCTACCTTTTCACTTTTGGGTAAAGGTGCACGTGTGTATATGGGCCTTGTGTTCGCATTTTCACTTTTGGGTAAAGGTGCACGTGTGTATATGGGCCTTGTGTTCGCATTTTCATTTTTGGGTAAAGGTGCACGTGTGTATATGGGCCTTGTGTTCGCATATAATTATATGGGACTACCTATACATTTGTCGACAAATTTTTCTCTAAAAATTTGATAGATGTAATTATAGTACAATCGTAGTGTAATTACACTGTAACTTGTATGTAATTACACTGTAACTTGAATGTAACTACAGTGTAACTTATATGTAAATTTCACATAATTTTAAATCGTTAGATCTATTACAAGATTTGTTTTGGTGAGAAAGAAAACAAATCATAGCACACACATATGTGAAAGAATTTGTTCCCACGACCTCCATTTTACCAAAATAACATGTTATAAAGAGATTTTTGAAAGTTACATACAAGTTACACTATAGTTACAGTGTAATTACATGCAAGTTACAGTGTAATTACACTACGATTATACTGTAATTACATCTGTCAAATTTTTGGGGAAAAATTTATCAACAAATATATAGCAAAATCGTAATTATATTTGTAAAAGAATGAAAAAAATGTTTTTATTTGAGGCCGTAGTTGAGATAACCTATTATTGTGAGTCCTCGGCTACTGCCTTTGCATTTTCGGAGTTCGGACTTCAGAGCCGATGGTTAATTGGGCTCAGTATGTTGGGTCTTCAGTTCTTCACGCGGACTCTTCTGGGCCATTTTTGCAAATTAAAACAAAGATTATAAGTCTAGTATTAGACGAATGATTTTACTGTTCTTAATAAGTATACCATGATTCTATTGAAAATGTAGTATCTCTCAATATTTCAGACTAGAAAGATACCAAATTCACATAATTTTTTTATACTTCGCAAACGGTAAAATTTCTTATAACAGAGACTGCATCAATTTCCTACAAAAGACAGACATAGGTATGTATGCATATACTACTTATCTTAAATCCATTATTAATTGATTATTCTATAGACGGCAATTTAACTGCACAAAATACTATACACACACGTAGGTATATCTTCAGCGGAACATAAGAAACTCGTTTCTAGGCCTTGCTGCAAGGGAGCGGATAAAGTGGGTATGACATAATGGAGACTATTCTTAGTATGGTGACAATTTTTTTTACAATTGTGGGTGGATGCTTACTATTCTTACTATCTCATAATATAAGGGATTAGTATATCGTTTTTTTACAAAATTGAAAGAAGTAGCAAAGGACAGCTACTCGTGATATAAAAGATGATAATGAGGAGAATAAACTAGTATAAAAGCTAGTACGTGAAAAATAAATAGTATAAAAGTTAATATAGGTGGAAATTAAAATGCTGTCTTTAGGATCACAAAATCCTGAGACGACGAAGGAAGTAATAGGCTTTGTGTTTAAGTGTTTTTTTCCATTCAAGCTTGAATTTTGTGAAAGGGTGCTACTTTATTAATTAGCACTGTTGATCTTAATTAAACTAGAACTACTTCACGCATGTCTTGTATATGCAGAGATTGGAATAAATCTATTCCTTTACTTATAAAACAAAAACATTCACTGTGCAAACTCATATACATACATACATACATACATACATAAGCAGCATCAACGCAGTCACACAAATGAAAGTTTGAAACACATAGAAAACATAATAAATTTATAATGAGATATAGTATACAGAGAAATTAATTAAGATGCTCCAGGAGACCACGGCTTGGCAACTAGATTCAGATCCGCCTTGAGACGCACGGACAATCCGAACAGCTCGTCCATGTCCAATCTCGTCGTCGCCATGATCCCGCTGGCCGCCGGCGGTGGCAACTCCCAGTCGAAGTGGTACAGCAGGTTGGCGAGCGCCAGCTCGACGCTCAGCGCGGCGAACCCGGCGCCGGGGCAGCCTCTCCTCCCGGCGCCGAACGGCACAAACCTGGAGTCCTTCCCCAGCTGCTGCGCGTACTCCACGCCGCCACCGCCGCCGCCATCGAGCCACCGCTCCGGCACGAACTCCTCCGCGGAATCACCCCACGCCGCCGCGTCGCGGCCGATGGCCCACACGTTGATGATCACCCGCGTGCGCGCCGGGATGCGGTAGCCCAGCAGCTCCGTGTCCTCCACCGTCTCGCGGGGGAGGAGAAGCGGCCCCGGCGCGTGCAGCCGGAGCATCTCCTTGATCACGGCCCTGAGGAAGGGCAGCTCGCCGAGGTGGTCCTCGGTGACTTGGCCGCCGCCGGTGGCGGCGGCGGCGGCGGATGCACTCGATGTGCCCACGACCGCGCGAATCTCATCCTGCAGCTTGCGCATCACGCGTGGATGGTTGATGAGCTCCGCCATGACCCATTCCGTGGTGGTGAAGCTGGAGTCTGTGCCGGCGGCCATCATGTCCTGCTCGATGAACCTCTCATTCATGCATGTCACACGTGGTACTTTCTCTGTTTCATATATAAGTCGTTCCTCTTTTTTCCTAATCAAACTTTGTTGAGTTTGACCAAATTAATTAAAAAATATACTAGTATTTTTAACATAAAATAAACATATTATCAAACTATATTTAATAAAACTAATTTCATATTTTAGATATTGTTAATTTTTTCTATAAACTTAATCAAACTTAACTAAGTGTGACTTAAAAAGGTTCAAAAGACTTATATTATGAAACAGAGGGAGTAGGCATGTTTAGCTGTGCATGTATATATCATATTGCTTGGAATTTTTCATGAAAAATTAAGTGTTGTGTAGTAGTGACAGAGAAAATTGAGATGGCATATATTCAGCACAGATCACTAATTTTGAAAAAAAGCAAATCCAATGGCATGACTTGGTGTTAGATATAGCTCTCTATGAATAAAAATCTAGAAAATGAGGTGTATAAATATCTAGAAAGCGACGTTTGCTTAGAGCTTTGGGTGGATGAGAAGAAATTAACATGAGATTTGTGATCTCGGTCTTCTTCCCGGCCCAGCAGTGGTGTCCTTTTACACTTCTCCAACAACGACATGATGCCGACCAGGAGTTTTGGGGTAAGGGTGAAAAGAGGTTTTCTTCACGCTTAGCAGACTACAAGTATGTGACGATGACACTAGCCTAGTGGAGAAGGGGTTTTTCTCCCAGCGTATGGGCGAAGACACGATGGACCGGTGGTGGGCAGCCGAAAGGACTATGGTGTGCACATATGACTCTTTTGTAGTGGGTCACATGCATATGCAATTATGCATATGGACCCGCTCAATGTAAGACCTACAAAGTTAGAGGGCAATATTTTAGAGGATCTTTTTTTCTATGTTCACAACAACGGTTGGATCATGAACCTATGGGCAAGAGGGCTAGGCTGGTGGACAAAGTCAGGCGTTAGCGGTGAGAGCGTGGGATCTAGAGTGGTTGAAAAGTAGAGCGGCCATGGCATCTGCTGCTGTATGAGTAACCGGTATAATAAAACTGACGAGCAGGGACACCTCGTTCCGGTCAGTTTAGGTTGGAGGGTGGTGGTGGGTTGGGGATAGGCTCATGATCCGACGGTGTGGCGAAATCGCGTCGTACAGAGAGAGAGGAACAATAAAGGTTTGTAGCTGCACGAATCTTAACTCATTCTAAACAATAAAAAAATGTCTTAAACTAGTATTTATTCTTACTGGACTGAAAAAAAGATAGGCAATTTTCATTAATATTTTCTTGAAAATATTAAATTATTTATGTTTGATTCCAAAGGAAGTAATCAACGGTTGCATCTGCTGATCTGCAAGTGAGTAGTACCACAACAAGTGGAGTACGTACCAGGATAACGGCCTTGATGGCGACAGTGTCGAACAGCACTCCTCCGGCGCCGGCGCCGGCGCCCTCCTCCGCCTCGCTCACGTCCAGCATCACGTCCACGAAGTCCCGGTGATCAGCGTCCGCCTCGCCGTCGCCGACCGCCTGGCCGCGGCTGCGCCGCCGCTCGCGGTGGTCCGCGATGACACGCTCCAGCAAGCCGTCCATCGCCGCCGACGTGCGCGCCACCTTGGCGTCAAGGCCCGTCAGCTTGTCCACCCACGCCAGCCATGGCACGAACTCCCCCACCGTCATCGTCCCGAGAAGCCCCTCGAAGTCGGCGAACAGCTTCCTCAGCTTCTCTCCCCCCTCGTCGCCGTCGAACCCGTGCGCGCCGCCGTGGCCGAACGCCGCCCGGGAGATGACGCCGTGGGCGTAGGACATGAGCAGGTCGCTCAGGTTCACGGTCTCGCCGCCGCCGCCGCAGCGGCGCCGGACGCGGTCCAGCAGCGCGGCGACCTCCTGCTCCCGGACGCCGCGGAAGGAGAGGACGCGGCGCGGGCTGAGGAGGTGGAGCACGGTGACGCGGCGCGCCTGGCGCCAGAACTCGCCGTAGGGCGCGAACGCCATGTCGCGGCCGTAGAAGAGCCGCTCCGACATGCGCACCCTGGGCCGGCTCGCGAACGCCAGGTCCCGGGTCCTCATCACCTCCTCAGCCGCGGCCGCCGACGACGCCACGACGGCGGGCACGCGGCCGAGCCGCAGCAGCATCACCGGGCCGTGCGCCTCGGCCATCGACCGGAGCTTCCGGTGCGGCAAGGTGCCAAGAAGCGGGAGGTGCCCGAGTAGCGGGACACCCGGCGGCGACGGTGGCAGCGGCAGCCGCCGGCCGCCATCGCCGCAGGGCGGAGGAGGCCTCTTCTTGGTCGACGAGACGATCAGCCATGAGAAGACGAGCAGGAGCACGGCAAGGAGGAGGGGTGAGTGCAACAGAGCAGCAAGCGACGAGAGCTCCATGTCTGAACGAGTGTACTCGGCTCGATCCGCTTGTGTCCAATGACAGTGATTTAACATCGCCGAATAATTTGTGTTGATGGAAAAGCCAAAATGCTGGTTGACGTGATTAAAACGAAGACAAAAATGTAGCTCTCGCGTATAGTTGTTATTGTAGAAAATAAGCGTAAAAGGACATGTCTAGTGGTTGCAGTGATCTGAGTAGTATCCTAAGGTTTTGAGTTTAAATTTTCATATGAGCGAACTTTATATTAGGTTATTTGAGGGCTAAGTTTCTAATTTATAAAGGTTGCATATATCCGGTTAGATGTAGAGGCCGTGTAAAAAAAATACCCTTTCTCTAAAATAAATAAAATAAAATAAAAAAAGTAGAAACTAAGCACAATCCTTCCAGAGAAATTGGAAAAGTCACGACAGTAAATTGAAGTCTACAATTCTATATACACAGACGGCCCGTTTGGTTGGAGGGAGTTTTCAGGAGGGATTGGGAGTTTAAAAGGATAAGGATATTAACTGCTTTGTTTGGTTGGGATACATGGGAATTTTGGTGGGATGGGGGTGAGGAATTGAGGGAGGAACTCCCTCCTTTTCAATACCTGGGTAGGGGGTGGTAATTGGGAAGGAATTCCTCCTTTACTTTACCTAAATAAATCTCAGCCATCCGTTTTCATTAATGACCTAATTTCCAACTAAACTCCCTATCAATTTCCACCACCTCTACCAAAAAAGATACTGGGATTAAAAATCAAATTTCTATCTTAATCTCACCATCAATTCCCTTGTATAAACTCCCAATCCCCTTCCCTCGCGTTGTCAAACAAGCCGTCTAGAACCTCTACAAAGTCCATATGGAATCACCATCATGTTCTCAAAAAAAAAAAGAAATCACCATCTTTGGACCATGCATTATATGGCTGGAAATAAGTCTATTTTGGTCACTCGTCTATTTAACTCCCTAATCATTGGACCAGGTCGTGCCGGGTCGGCCCATCATGCCGAGGCAAAGGCCCAAGCACGGCCTAAAGATCGGGTCGTGCCGTGCTTGGGTCGGGCCAAAACCCCGTGCCATGGGTCGGCCTTCAACATCCACAAACACTGAAAGTCAGTGTCCGAGTCGGTATATGCATGGTAGAGGCCCTTCCGGCCATATCCGTTCCCTGGTGCTTCATGTTTGATCACGAAAGTGGAAATAAGGATGTTGTCGTATCATACGGGGTCTGTTGTCTCTGAGTTCTACTTGGAGACTAAGGTGATCTGCGGTATAAATACATATCATCGAATCTTAGTGCAAGACACCCACCACAGCAGGAGCAATCCAGAGGACTACTTGAAAGCCAACTTGCAGATAGGTCTCATCAAGTAGTTCTCGACAGGGATCTCATTGGTAGTCTCGGGATTTTTGTTGTTCTCTATTGTAGTCTGTAGTTTTCTTCATAATCCCATATAAACTAGATTAGGGTTATTACCTTGCGAGAGACCTGAACCAATATAATCTCTGTCTCTTATGTGCTTGATGTCGTATCGTGTAGATCCTCGTATCAACATACCCCAATATCCTCAGAATACGGTCCGCGAGTATCCCCGTCGACAATAGCTGAGGAGGCTCGTGACGCGGTCGCGCCGGTCGCCGTTGAGCCGCAGGGGTGAAGTGTGGTCGAGCGGGACGAGAACTGGCGGGTCAAGGACGGATCAGGAAACGAGGTAGCGGAGCTTGTCCTTGAAGATGACGAGAAGGGGATGATCCGGGGTGGTGGGCGCGGAAGCAGAGGAGGAAACCGTAGTCGGAGACAAGGCGGCGCCACCGCTTGTAGACGAGGAAGGCACGAGAGATAGAGGACGAGTGCGAGGGGAGGCATAAGAGGATCTCTTGGATGAGGTCATTGTCATCCGGCGGAGAGCCAACCTCTATATTTTTCTTTATCTCTCTTCTCCATATAAGATTATATTAGCCTTGGGGTAGTCCCAACCCTCCACCTCAACTAGTTTACATAACATTAATATACTATCACATAATCAAAAAGCTAGGTGGCAAGAGGATTTACTGATGAGAGAGGAAAAAATATTAAGAAACCATTTTTCATGAAAAAAATTAGTTTTATACAGGAATAAAGAATGAAATAAGAGAATACATGGACGAATGCAGAGAGAAAAGAGGTGATTAATTGGATGATAATTTATTATGAAGAAACTATCTATCGGGTATACAGTTTTTATGCATGCTTAGTGTCTATATGACAGATAAATATGGATTAAAACCATTAGATAATTTCTAGGTTGGGACTGCCCCACTATTATCATTGCTCTAAGTTCATGTGCACTCTATCTACGTACTAAGCCATTAAATGCTTTACTGATATTATGAATTCATGTTATACCGAGAACATAATATATATTGTGCTTAACTAAAATATAAAAAGTATACACTAATGTCAAAGCAAATCTAACGGTGAAGCACGTGTAGGTGCACATGCACTTACCCCTTAAATATAGATGACCCTCGCTACACAAATTATATGTTGCAATAGGCACAGATGGTAGCTAGCCTGCCTAGCAGCTTTCATACTGAACACATCAAACATCGGAAGACCATGGCTTTGCGACTAGATTCAGCGTCGTCTTCATTCGCATGGACAGCCCAAACAGCTCACCCATGTCCAGCCTCGCCGCCGTCGCCGCCGCCGCTCCGTCGGCATGTGGCGGTAGCTCCCAGTCGAAGTGGTACAGCAGGTTGGTGAGCGCCAGCTCGATGCTCGGCGCGGCGAACCCGGCGCCGGGGCACCCCCTCCTCCCGGCGCCGAACGGCACGAACCTGAAGTCCTGCCCCAGCTGCGCCGCGTACTCCACCTCCTCGCCGCCGCCGTCGAGCCACCGCTCCGGCACGAACTCCTCCGCGCGGTCGCCCCACGCCGCCGCGTCGCGGCCGATAGCCCACACGTTGATGATCACCCGCGTCCGCGCCGGGACGCGGTAGCCCAGCAGCTCCGTGTCCTCCACCGTCTCGCGGGGCACGAGCAGCGGCACCGGCGCGTGCAGCCGGAGCGTCTCCTTGACCACGGCCCTGAGGAGCCGGAGCTCGCCGAGGTGGTCCTCGGTGACTTCGGCGCCGCCGGAGGCGCCGGGGACGCCGACGGCCGCGCGGATCTCGCACTGCAGCTTGCGCATGACGGGAGGGTGGTTGATGAGCTCCGCCATGGCCCATTCCAAGGTCGTGAAGGTGGTGTCTGTGGCGGCCGCTATCATGTCCTGCTTTTTCATTGTTCATATGCGTCATTCATTAATAATTGAAATGTATCTTAAACTGTTTCAGGTTACAAGACTTTTTGACTTTGATCAAAATCAAACTATTTTAAATTTAACTAAGTTTATAGAAAAAAATAATAATATTTTTAACTCAAAACAAATTTATTATGAAAATATATTTAATTATTGATTTAAAGAAACTAATTTGATATTATAAATATTATTATATTTGTCATTAAACTTAGTCAAATTTGATGTAGTTTGATTTTTTCTAAAGTTAAAACGTCTTATACCTGAAACGGATGGAGTAATACTGCAGTAGTTGTATTGAAAAGTGATATGAAAAATTGAAAACACGGTTTAATATTGGCAATTAATATGCATCACGTATCACTATGACTTTGAACATGATACTTTGAACCAGAGCCAAGATAGATACTGGTGTGGTGTGGATTTATTGTCATGGAAACTAGGATTATACTCCGTATTATTTGGACTTTGATGAAGTGGAATATTTAGAAGATACTCCATGATTTTGCAAAATTATATGAGACGGTTTCGATCGCAATAATCAACGTGTCGTGTCACAACGAAAGGACTCACCAGGATAATGGCCTTGATGGCGACAGTGTCGAACAGCAGCACTTCTCCGGCGCCGGCGCCCTCCTCCACCTCGCTCACGTCCAGCAGCACGTCCACGAAGTCCCGGTGATCAACGTTCTCATCGCCGTCGCCGTCGCCGTCGCCGCCGTCCGGCTGGCTGAGGCGGCGGCGCTCGCGGTGGTCCGCGATGACACGCTCCAGCAAGCCGTCGAGCTCCGCCGATATGCGCGCCGCCTTGGCGTCGAGGCCCATCAGCTTGTCCACCCACGCCAGCCACGGCACGAACTCCCCCACCGTCGCCGTCCCGAGAAGCGCCTCGAAGTTGGCGAACAGCTCCCTCAGCTTCTCGCCGCCCTCGTCGCCGTCGAGGCCATACGCGCCGTCGCCGAACGCGGCGCGCGAGATGACGCCGTTGGCGTAGGACATGAGCAGGTCGCTCAGGTTCACGGTCTCGCCGCCACCGCGAACGCCGCAGCGGCGCCGGACGCGGTCGAGGAGCGCGGCGACCTCCTGCTCCCTGACGCCGCGGAAGGAGGCGATGCGGCGCGGGCTGAGGAGGTGGAGCACGCTGACGCGGCGCGCCTGGCGCCAGAACTCGCCGTATGGCGCGAACACCATGTCACGCCCATAGATGAGCCGCTCCGCCATGCGCACCCTGGCGCGGCTCGCGAACGCCGCGTCGCGGGCCCTCATGGCCTCCTGCGCCGAGGCCGCCGACGACGCCACGACGGTGGGCACGCGGCCGAACCAGAGCAGCATCACCGGCCCGTGCGCCTCGGCCATCGACCGGAGCTTCCGGTGCGGCAAGGAGCCAAGAAGCGGTAGGTGCCCCAGAAACGGGACGCCCCGCGGCGACGGAGGAAGCGGCAGCCGCCAGCCGCCGCCATCGCCTGGCTTCTTCGCCGACGAGAAGCTCAGCAAGGTGAACACGGGAAGGAGCAGGAGCGCGGCGAGGAGGAAGAGAGGTGAGTGCAACACGGCAGCAAGCGACGACGAGAGCTCCATTTCTGAACGAGTGTACTCTAACTCACCTCGATCCGTTCGTGGGGAATGGGAACAAATCTACACTGAAAGGGAAATTGTTTGTGATGTACAATGTTTGTATTTTTTTTTTCTTTGAAACGAGATTTATTTCAAAAAAAAAACTAAATTCAGACAATAAAGACGAAAATGTAGCTCTCGTTGGGGAAGCATCGGTGATGTGCTGACGGAATTATGGGTGTATGACTTCACCTACTGTAGTTTAAATCCTGGTGGCTGTAAATATTACGCACATGTAGGTGAGCTTAAATATTGGTGCCCACGACTATTACGCACATACAGGTGAACTTTCAACAAGACTTTAATAATTTCAGTAGTATGTCGTTGGTTTCTGTTTTTAGAGCATGTGTTAGGGGACGCGTAGGTTTTCAACAGGACTTTAATGAAATCAATAATATACCGTTGGTTTGAGCATGTGTTAGGGGACGCATTCACATGTGTGAGTGAGATGTTACGTGTGTGCTCACGTTTGCCATGTAATCAAAAGAAAAATTGTAGCTCTCGTTGGTCCTGGATATGGTTGAAAGCTCAGGACAAATGCACGATCTTTCCAGAGAAAAAAGGGCAATTTCACAACCGTATTTTCTATTTTTTGTGGCCAAAAAACAGAACCTCCAAAGTCCAAACGAGCAATGAATTCGATGGATCAAAATGTAGTACAGAGCACGGACATGAACTGTACATCAAGCAAGACATAATGGAAGGATTGTATTAGCAAGTAGCAAGCCATATAGATACAGATCTGGCACGCTCTACCATCAAAATGGGCAGAGAACAGAACCAGATTGATAGGTTGTTCTGTCAATTTACAAGCTTTCACAGAACATGTTTTGGTCTCTCCAGATATGCACTGAAGCAATCAAACAGAAAAGATATGTGCACTGCAGCAATCAAACAGAAGGGTAGAAAGACTAAAAAGGTATCCCAACTCTAGCATCTAGCAGATACAAAGGTAGGAGTAAAAACAGTTACAAATGAATCTTCTCCAATTATGTTGGAGCACTAAAAAAACAATATGTAGCATTGGACATAGATAGAGGCTTTCAAACTAAAGATATCACACAGTGGAAGAGGTGAGGATGATGATCTACACCGATCCGGTAGAATCAACTGGCGATATCGCTGGTGCCATATCTTCTAGCATTCACAGCCTGACGAGCGCTGTTGCCTTCCAGCACCTCCAACATCAATTGTATCAGGAAGATATCTACAAAATTATAGCAAAGTGTCATTGAACGGCATGGTTTGCACTTTGTAGTTCATCTCTGCGTTAGTACTTCTAAATGCTCCCCTTATCAGGAAAAAGAATTGAGTTTTTTTAAAATTGATGTTTCTACTGGGAGGCTGCAAGATACAAATTTTACCTCGATTTCCATTAGCAACGCTTTTCAAACTGCTAAACAGTATATTTCATGCGAAATCTTTTTATATAGAAGTTGCTCTGAATATCAAATAAATCCAATTTTTCAAGTTTAAAATAATTAAAACTTAATTAATCATGTGCTAATGGCTTTCTCGTTTTACGTGTGCGTACTTAAATCTTCATCTTCATCAGATTCAAACAGGGCAATAATTAACTTACATCTCCTCTTCCGGTTCATTCTTGATAGCATTCCTTGCTATACACTCAAAAGCAGCCTCCACGTTGAAGCCTTCTTTAGCAGATGTCTCAAAATAAGGGATGTTTCCCTTAGAAGCACACCAAGCTTTAGCTTTCTTCTCAGAAACCTGGGAAGAACAACTAGGTTAAGAAAAGCACAATGCAAATCAGGAAATCAGAGGCTAAAGGCACTTCTATGAGGACAAATACTCACAGTCCGGCTATTACCACCATCAACATCAATTTTGTTTCCAAGTACAACAAAAGGGAAATTCTCTGGATCTGATGGGCTAGCCTGCATTGAGAATAATGATTCAACTTTCAATAAACAGATTGCAGTACATTTGGAATTTTGGGTAATCGATAAGTAAGCTACTTACTTGAATTAGGAATTCCTCACGCCAGCTGTTGAGCCTTTCAAATGACTTGGTAACATTGACATCATATACAAGAACACAGCAGTCAGCTCCCCGGTAAAATGCCACACCAAGACTCTGAAATCGCTCCTGTCCCGCTGTGTCCCAAATCTAAGTTCCAGGTAAACACAAGTATTAGCGTAAATGTAGACAGAATTACTGTTTGACAAATGACAAGGTATTACTTTGATTGCCATACATTCTAGTATTTCTATGATTTATAACACTTAAACCAGCAGATATTGGTAATAATTATCAGGTATTGAGCTATAACAGCAAACGTTGGAGTTACTTTGCTGATTTACGAGTTAGATACAAATCGAAAACCACAGTCTTTGTTCCAATAAATGTGGGAAAGTGAATATAATTTTTGGCACTGATGGACTACTATCAAAGAGCATTATGGGTGTGGATATTTTCTCCAACTTGCTGTAAAGTGAGGGTATCATTAGTTCCACATAGTCAAGATGATTCTCTACTGCAGTTGATTTTGTCTTAGAAAAGCATTTGCCAATTAATAATGTAATATAATATTTACTACTCCCTCTGTCCCAACATATCTTCAAGCGTTTGAAATTTGTCTCAAAATATAAGGACTTCCATAGTACTACTTCTCCCACCAACTAACGCTCATTTAATTTTCACCCAATTTTACCCCAAACCACCTTCCCACTCCCCAATCACCCAACATTTAATGAGGAGCATCATAGTCTTTTCCCTTCATCATTAATCTCTCTCAAGAAAAAATCTAGAAGTCCTTATATTTTGGGATAGAGGGAATAGAACAGAATAGTACTCGCTTTTCACGAGGGGAACAACACATTGTCAGACAACCAGGGAGGAGACGTAAGGTACAACTTATTGTCCCATCCAACTGCAGTTCTTGCACAAACAATAAAAAGTAATAAAGAATCCCTGATACAGGTGGTACAGAATCCCAGACACTAGCACTAGTAACTTACATTAGGAAGCAATACCGTGCTAAGAAAACATCATCCCTGAGAGATTGTACCATTGTACAACCAGCAACCGAAAATGCAGTACTGAACTAGATATAACTTGATGTACTTATGCAATCGTAACATAATCCTCATTGTAGCTTATGAAAGGAGCTATGCAATATGGCTTCCAAACTGCGTAAATAGAGTGGAATAAAAACAATTTTCTAGTAACCGCTCTATCCCTTCTGTCATATTTGTGTTTTACATCTTTTGTGATCTCATTAACGTCTCCAATAAGCAATTACATGATGGTTGCACAGGTATCTCACATCTCACACTAAAATAAAACAAGAGTACCAAGCAAAATAATTACATGAAACCTAAACTCTAACTGTCACAAGCAAAATATTTTTTCTTTTGAGCAAAACGATTTTACTGTTCCCCCAATATTATCTGAATCCATTGTTGTCTAGTAGACCAAACCTACAGTACTAGTAGACGGTCAAGCTAAATCAGGTCTGCACGATTTGGCAAAAAAGCAATTCCGACCACAATCAGTCAACGGTGCATGTGCATCACGCCCTAATCCCCAATTCCCCTACTTATCTGCAAAGATCTAAGCACCCCAATAATCCCCCCAAAACAAACTATCACCGCGCACCAAAATCCAGCTGCGATGAAGCTGCGAAGTGATTCTGGGAAAGCAGATTAGACCGAACCTGCAATGTGAAGAGCCGGTCGTCGATCTGCACCTCCTTGGTCAGGAAATCCGCGCCGATCGTCGCTTTGTACTGATTGCTGAACTTCTTGTTCACGTACCTGAACAACAAAAACAAAATCACCCAAATCATTCAACATCGCGAAGTCCCCCTTCAAACAACGCCTAAAAAAACCCTCAAATTTGACGAATCGGACAACGCAAGATTGCGCCCCCTTGATCTTACTGGTTCATCAGAGACGTCTTCCCGACCCTGCCAACGAGAAAAAAAAAAGAGACGCATCAGCGATCAGAGAAACAGAATAAATTTCGCCCAGAAAGAATATCCCCCAGTAGAAATTGAACGAAAAGGTGGGGGATTTTTTTTGCTTTTTCGCACCCGCTGTCACCGAGGATGATGACCTTGAGGAGCATTCGCCTGCGCGACGCCATGGGCGCGGATCTGGAGGCGGCGGACGGATCGGGCGGAGCACGAGGAGGGAGAAGAGGAGGAGGAGGAGAAGGCGAGAAGCAAAGAGATGATCTTTGCGCTTCTCTTTGCTTTGGGATTGGCGTCTCTTGTGTGCTCAAGAAAAAAAAAGGCGTTTTTTTTTGGAGGGATCTTTTGTTCGTTTGTTGCTTGGATGGTCTGGCTAATTTATTTATGAGATTTATTTCGTCTAAAGTGCGTTTTGAAGTAGTAGATGATTAGTCACACGTGGAATATAAAGGTAATTAAAATATGATTAATTGAGTATTAATTTAGATAGTTGAAAAGTAAATTAATTTGTTTTTTAAAATAATAAAATTTTTCCACAAAATACATCGTTCAGCAGTTTGAAAAACATGCCTATAGAAATTGGGAAAATGGTCAAAACCGAAACGTAGTGTATACTTGTGGATGCTCTATCACCCTCTAAATTTTGTGGTGGTTGGACAATGGAGTCTGTGTATGTATTTTGGTTTCTGTAATACCCTTTCGCTTACTTCTTGGAGAATGGAGATATTGTTTGTGGTTTTGATGGTGACTTGTAAAATTAGTCCATACGATAGTGAAAGCTTGTGTAGTTTATACTTCGCAATCATTAACATATGAGAACAGCTTATAACAGTTGGACGGTGAAATAAACAATTGTTTTGTTATATCTTATACTTGTTTTTTTTTAAAAAAAACGTGAATATTTCTGTCTCTGTATTTTTTTAAAAAGAAGTTTTATAAAATTATTATACTGTATTTTGTGAAATTTCACAGGAGTGCATTACTGCCGTTTGCAGCTACAATTGCAACCTTTCTACTGTTTGCAATACAGAAGCAAACTGCCTGACGACAGAACATGGGATTCTTGGGCTGCACCAATCAAAATCAAAATGAGAAGTGACAAGGAAGCACAAGTTTCCAGTACAGCCTGGTCCAACCAATTCATGCCTGTCTCTGTATGGTCCTGATGTCTGAATTCAACAGCATCTGCATCAGCTTTCTTCTAACAACCATCACACTCGAGAGTCCAGCCAGAAACAGCATGAAACAGAGAGGAGTCCAGCTCGCAATTCTGTTCTACAGAATTTTTGTCCAATTCTTGCTTTTGTTGGGTTGCTCTGGACTGCAATTGTATCAAGAGATGAACACAATCTGGTGGCAAATTCTGAACAACAATATGGCAAGCGAAAAAAACGTAATGCAGATCAGAAAGGTGCACAGGAAAAATTCAGTGAAAAGAAGCAGTGAATTGCAGCTACCGAGAACTCTCGAACTATATATATCTCAACCAAACAATTTCGGTTCGTTGCAAACAATGTCAGCAACTTATGAGAATTTTCAGCTAAGGCTGGGACTTTACAAGCTACGGTAGTTGCAATGTCCTAAAAAAACAAGGAAGATGAGGTTATCTCATGAAGCTTGGCTGTCTCTGGTGCCATTGCTGTCGCCATCTTTCTTCAAACTCCCCATCTCCATCTCCGTCTCCGGTATTTGACGCGCATCCCCCATTGATACGGATCGATTCGGGACGAACTCGGTGGGCTGCGTTTGCTGGCTGCTCTCTAGATTGCCACTGCCAAATGCCATCTTCCTGAATTTCTTCAGGTCTTCATTGTAATGGCCCGTGTCGTACTCGTTGCTGTTGTATGATCCCAAGAATCGGCTATGGCCAGGACGAACACCTTCGTTCAGATCATCCAATGACACATCGCCTTCCAAGGCCCGAACAACCTGTTGTTCATTGCATCAATCAAACGGTAGTTAGGACTTCAGAGACTAGATAAAAATGATATGCTGCCTTCCTGTAATTACACAGATGAATCAATTTTGTCATTGGAAGTGAAACTAGTGTAGCTGATAGTCCACTGTAAGTAATATATTTTGCACTGAAATTTCTTGTCTTGTATGAATCTGTGCTGATGAAAACTGATGAAAGAAAAGAACAGGAACCTTGAAGTACAAGAAGGTACCTGGCTCATCCGTGGGCGTCGGCGTGCAGAATGGCGTACACAAGCAGCTGCACAAGCAATCATCCTCGCCATCTCGTTACCATTGTACTCCTGTCCTAGCCGTGGATCCACTAAAGCATCATAATTGCCATCATCTGATGCTCGCATCATTAAAGGCCTTGCCTGCAGGTAGGAGGAACAAAATCAATTGATTGTACACAAGATTTTCAAAGAACATAACACATGTTCAGGAAATAGGCATGAGGAACTCGTTATCTAGACTGTAGAATTTCACAGGATGATGAACGGTACAAGAAACTAAAGTATAGAAAGATGTACACGAAGGCCAAAAGTAAACATAAAGGACAAAGTACTTCACTGAATCTGGATACTAGATTCGCGGAAAGTAATGTATAGAATGTAGTTACTTAAATTTTCAAATATGGACCTCAAGATATGATTGGGTTGTATTCATAAAATTAATTACAACGGATCATCATGTAAAATCAACGATAAGTATATATACTGAAAGAAATTGCATAACCTCTGAAAGTATTGCTTTTCTTTTTACGAAACCTCTGAAAGTATTGTGGACAATAAAGTTAATTAGTTTCGAGAAATAACTTACCCAATCAACCAAGCTGTCATCCATCTGTGATTGGTTCGATCTCACAGGACGGCGGCCAGTTATTAGCTCAAGAAGCATTACTCCGAAAGAAAAGACATCTGATTTCTCAGTTAGCTGGCCAGAAGACGCATACTCTGGTGCAAGGTACCTAAGGGCAGGAAAAGTATTACAAGGGAACTGATTTTGATACGGCTGATGCTGTAATGCACTAGCTTAAAAAATGATTCTTTATTATAGATTTTGATTAATCCTTTTTTTCGAAAATATGAACTGATGCTTGCTACACAAGTAGATAGAACATACCCAAATGTGCCCATTACTCTGGTTGAAACATGAGTGTTATTATCAGAAGTCAATTTTGCAAGTCCGAAATCTGCCACCTGTAAAAGAGTTTTACATAGCAAATTACACATTAAACTATTTGGTAGTATGCGTATCAACTCTATAACTGTAATTATGATTGGATATATGCCAACTACTATTTCTCTGAATTTACTTATCAGGTAGACAGAAAAGTTTAGCCTATATCAAAATTGTGTACGCCTTCAGGCAGATTACCAGTTGACCATAGTACATCAGAACAGTCAAAACCACCTTGCCAATGAATGGAAGGCACTGTTTGCTCACAAAATGTGCTTTAAGTCTAATCAAAAGTTCGCAATGTAAATATTGATTTGTAAAATCTTTGATGACTGTAATTACCAATCAGTATGCACTTCTAAAACAGAAAGGAAACAAAACACAAAATGTATAGCGCACCTTTGCCTCAAATCTCGCGTCAAGAAGAATATTTGCTGACTTTATGTCACGGTGAATGATCTTAGGATGGCCTGTAAAGTGTGTGAGAGAAAATCAGTATATAATAGGCATGTATACCTATAAGAAGTGGAAAATGGAACCAAAAGAAAAACGAGTGATATGGGTGTTCGCTCACAATCTTCATGAAGATATGCCAATCCCTTCGCAGCACCCAAAGCAATGCGTAATCTTGTAGGCCATTCCATGGTTGGTCGGCCTCTCCCTGAAAGAGGTGAAAATAGCCATTAACAAATGCTCAAGAGCAGACAAACCAAATGTGTATACAACATGGATTTCATGACAGATTGACAGCTGTTTCAAGGCAAGTTTCTGGATTTTACATAAAAGGGCATTTGAAGAACCTAGAGAGCATTTTCTCTTTTTTCTATTTGGTGTAAAAAAATACTACATGTTGTTTATTATCATTCTGACAAATCCCCAGAAGATAATTTTAACTGAAAAAAGTGACATGAAAGATAGTATCTTCCAGGTATTCGTGAACTTGCCCGATTGAACATTGATGAAATTCCTCAACAGTTAAGGATGAGGGATTTCACTGCATTGTAATGATTCATGGGATTTTATTTCTCTTAATAATGCAATAGGTATTTTGTCTACTGTAATCTAGCAAGAGAGAAATATCTTAAATTTGTATTAAATCATTTTAATATCTGTTCATGCTACTTATCTTTTAAACACAAAGTACATAGAGGATTTTGAAATAAAGCAAGAAGCGGTGAGAATGAGATCACAAGAAGAGAGTGTACCATGCAAGTGGAGCTCCAATGTGTTGTTTGGAACATACTCATAGACAAGCAACCTCTTCCCTCCAGAAATGCAATAACCAACCAATGTTACAAGATGCTTGTGATGTACCCGGCTGATAATCTCAACCTCCGCCTGAAATTCACGCTCTCCCTGCCCACTCCCATCTCTCAATTGCTTCACAGCAACCTCTGTCCCATTCGGCAGAACTCCTTTGTGAACATACCCAAAACCGCCCTGTCCGAGCAGATTAGCATCGGAGAATCCATCGGTCGCCGCTGACAAGTCCTCATAAGTGAAAGTACACCTTGAAAAACCCAATGCAGCACCAGGTGACACTAGAGGTTGGCTGTTGTCGCCACCGGAGTAATTTGAGCCAGAACCACCACTGTGTACATTTAGTGGAGCAGGAGGTGGTGGAGGGGAAGGATGCGAAGGCACCTTCTTCAGCACATGATCAGGTGGAGGTGGAGGACCATTTTGCTGCCAATTTTGGTACACCCCACCATAGTGATCCCCTGCAGCTCAGCAAGAATTGTACTGAAAAGACCGCCGATCATAGTTAATATTCCAAATAGATTTTCTCAATGCAGAATGATATGAGAAGGATATGATTGATTGCACATTTGTTTTTGTTTCTTTTTAGATGATTGCTCACAGATTAAATATATGTAAAGAAACATATTCAACTCTGTGATGGTTAACTCAAAGAATGAAAAAGTAAGAAAATGACATGCTTTTTGTTTGCCAAATGATTTGGCTTAAAAGTAAGGTAACCTCAGGACTACATGACCATGTCAGGTCTTGTCACTTTCTTTCCAGAATTAACCTTTTGTGTTATCTCAACACAAGTGATGAACTGATAATCCACAACACCACTACTCCATCCATGGTAAACTTAGCACAATCCACACCAAAACCTACATCCTGTGTTTTTTTGCCTAACGATATGTTCTTCCATCCCATAACAAACAAGAATAAGTCCTTCAAAATTTTTCAATAAATCCAAAAAAAACATTTACCATGACAGCAATTTAGCAAAATTTTCAGTTGATAGCAACGTCTTGCAGCTGTGTTGCTAGTGAGACAAAAAGGAAACAGAAGATCTGTATATCTCCTCTGGGACAAGGCAAGTAGTAGGAATTTAGAGGTGTCCATCTCCATCTCACCTTTGAACGGCGGCGGGGGCGGCGGCGGCGGCGGCGGGTGGCCGTAGTAGTGCAGGAGGTGCGGCGGCGGCGGCGGCGGAGGGTGGTGGTGGTGGTGCCGCTTCTTCTTCTTGAACAGGCAGACGAGCAGGATGGTGACGAGCAGCAGCACGACGAGGCCGCCCACCACGATCCCCACCACCACGGGCGTCGTCAGCCCCGAGCTCGACGCCGCCGCCGCCGCCGCCGGCGAGGAGGGCGTGGTCGACGGAGGCGATGGCGCTGCGGGAGGCGTCAGCGAGGGCGGAGACAAAGAGCCCGGCGCCGGCGGCGACGACGAGTTGTTGCTCGCCGGAGGTGGCGCCGCCGTCTGGTTAGCCGGAGGCGGTGTCGCCGTCTGGTTAGCCGGCGGCGGCGACGACGGCGACGACATCGCCACCACTCACTCACTCACTCACGCACTACCACCACCACCACCACCACAACAACAACAACAACAAAAAGAACGAGTCGAAGACTACCACGCCACGAGCAAGATGAGAGCAAGAACAAAGCGGAGCCAAGAAAAGAGCAGGCAAGAGCTTTTTCTCCCTCGCGGCGGTGGTGATGGTGGTGGTGGGGAATTGGAGCGGATTGCGACCTGAGGGGGGCGAGAACTACTACTACCACCACCACCCACACCGTCCCCAGTGGAGTCTACTGGCGACGCGACGTGGGGGAGAAGAAGAAGAGAGAGAGAGGAGGGAATAAAAGCGCGGGGAATCGAGCGGGTCGAAGGGAGGACGAGCCGGGGAGGGGAAGAAGAACACGGCGAGAATTTCTATTATTTTTTTGAAATTTCTTTTATTTTAAAAGCAAGCATTTCTAAAAACTTATTTTTAAAATGTGGATCTTTTAATCATGTGGTTGAATGGCTAAATAATACTCCCTCCGGTTTTATAGTTCTTGATGTTTTAGATAAGATTGTAGTCAAATTTTTATAACTTTCAATATCAATGACTTTAAAATTATTTAATTTAAAAGAATCAAAATTATATATATATATATATATATATATATATATATTCGTCTTTCAAAGTTATATAATAAAAATAAGAATGCATTTATTTGTTGTATATATTATACAGTAATAGAAAACACAAAGTCAAAATATATTTCGAAAACCGTGTCTTTAATTTGGTTGTACTGCGTTCTGCTACATTAATTTGGTTGGCGTGGCAGAAACGGATATTGAAAAGTATTGGAAAGGTTTATTTTTAAAATTATTAAAACGTTCAAAAGAAAAGGAATAAGAAAAAAATTCACACGGCGACACCTCCTCCTACCCGCGCTTTTCGGCGAAGCAACCCGTTCCTCCTGGGGCCCATCTGTCAGTGAAGGGGGTGCTGTCGAGTGGGACCGGGTTGTCAGGCTCACGCTTGCTTCTCTCTCACGGCGTGATTATGGCGGGGGCGTTACGCGCGACGGTGACTTGGGTGAGGGTGGCGTTACTGCGAGGTGGGTCCCACGCGTCAGTGAAAGGAGGGTTACTCCTGCTGCTGTGTCCTTTTTCGCGGCGACACTTGTCGTGTGAGCTAAGGGAGAAGGTGACGTGTCATGACTCATACTATGAGAGTACTATATATAATTATTATTGGATGAGAGAGTTGCCATGTCAAATGTACGGGTGAAAACTGAAGAGTGGCAATTCTTTTCCAAATGAGTTGACAAATTTGATCGATAAAAGCAGGCAAACTAGGGGAAATATGCGGTGGTTTCAAGGAAAAATTAGCGGTATATATATGCATTTAAGGGCCCGTTTGATTTGTAGAAAAAGTGTAGGAACAATCCTATAGAAAAATTTCTATGAAAGTTTTTGAAATAAAGGATTGAATCATATTATATCCTTTAAAATTCTTATGGAATGGGTAATCCTATAGAGATTTTGAAGAGAAATTAGCAAGAGGTCCAACCTCTTGAAAAAATTCCTTTGAGTCTATCTCTCTCATCCGATTCCTGCGATTTTCCTGTGGTCCAATCAAACGGTCATTCTTATGTTTTTCCTGTATTTTCCAATCCTCTATTTTACACCTGCATTCCTGTTAGAATCTTGTGTTTTTTCTATTCCCCCGTTTTTCCATTTCTACAATTCAGAGGAGCACTAGATGATCACATTAATATATATATGTAGGACCACCTAGCGTAGTGAAATTAATTGCTACTGATGGGTTGGGTACGTAGGATAATTCATCAATTACCCCGTCTATACTTTTTTTCTATTATAAGATGAACTTTTTTTGGCTAATAACTATTTTACTAAATAAAAATATATTAGTAGTACTTTTAAGTACAGATCTAATGGTATTAAATTTGTCCCACTGATTATATCCTAATAGGAAAATGGTTGGTCATGTTATAACGAAGCAAAATATGCTTTATTTTTCTTAACAGATGGGATAACTAAGCTTGCAAATACCTGGGAAATGGTGATTCAAGCAATAGGCACATTATTTTTTCTATTTTTTACTGTGGCATGTCGATTTTTTAAAATACATAATTTTGAATTAAAATACTCATGTTGTTCTGGGTTGTCCTAATATTTGACTATCAATTTCGATAAATTATTATAGTTCCATACAATGAGATTCCAAACTCTTAGAGATTCACCATAACAAATATTCTCTCTGTTTCAAAATAAGTTTATTTTTTACATATCTCACACATACCAATAAAGAACTAGAATACCCCTGCTTTATAAAATCTCAATGCAACTATTTCTTACTAACTTCAATATAATGATTACTTAAAAAAGAACTTATTTTGGAATGGAGAAATAAGTTTCGTAATATAACCCACGTGTTATTAAGCTATACAGATTTTTTTAAATTAATGGTACATGTTTCATAATTTAAAATAAAGGTAGTATTTTGTTAGCGTGGTTTACTCTAGGCCTCACGTGTATCGCGGGTACGCGGTTTGTGATTATATGGTCTGATGTACAGTCACAATATAGATTCTGTGACCACCACAACCTGACAAACCATCAACCTATGTGTGCACATAGTATACAAGTGTCAGCACCAAAGATGATCTACGCAACAAGCCTATGGCAGCTAGCTAGCAAGGTTAAATTTGGAGTGTTGTTTGATATGACGTAGACATGGTTAATGAAGCTATGATTGATCTTAATATGTGGTTGATACAGCTACGAGCCTATGATGGGAGTTTGAAGCATGATTGGTTGATATTTGCTTTATTTGATCTCTTATTCTTTAATCAATTACTTACTATAGCTAACAGTCTTATTCAAGCTAGCTAGAATCGGTGCGTATGCAAGCAAAGTTAATCATTAATTGCATTTGTCTTCTGTACACCGTTTCTGTGGCTGTGTTTACTTGCATGTCTTATAAGATTGACAGCAGGTAGGAGTAGCAAATATATGGAACAACTGAAAGTCAGCACCAAATTAATGACGTTTTGTGTTGCAAATTAAATCCCGTTGGGAGGTTTTATGCATAAATGTGTGTCCTGCAGGCTACTGGTAGAGTGCTAGTCGATGCCCTCGTTTTCCACATTTGATTTTGGCAGAAATACTATGATCAATTGATTAGATAGTTACTGCGAAATTGAAACTAAGGGTATGTTTGCCACGGCTCCAGCTCCAACTTTATCTCTTCTAGAGTTGAAACTCAGACAAACAGTTTCAACTTCATCTAAATAAGAATGGATATAGCTGAAGCGCTTTCACAAAATAAATTAGAGATGTGGAGCTGGGTTTAAGATGCTCCACAATTTAACTCTAAACCTAACTTATGAAGTTAATTTAGGAGTTCGAGCTCTACCAACGAGCCCTAAAAGAATGGCATGATCGGTAGCCCAACGTATTGACCAAACCGTTTAGCATACAAAACTCGTGAACATTGTCACTGTCTTTGGTTTATATATAAGTTGCCCAAATTTGCTACATTTATTATGTCTAAACTCGAGTTGGTTAGGTTATCATAATCAGCATGACACGGTGCCAGCGAGATGAAAATCTCGCAGCACCATTACACATTAATGACACGTGGGACCTAGATAGTAAAAAAAGTAATATTTTCATCGCGGTTGTGGCTACAAACCAAATGTATGTCTAACTCAAAGGAATTCGATCATGATAACCAAAATCTCTATTAATTGAGTTAACCACATTGCCTGCATCATAGTCCTTCCAAATATTTTGTTCATTGTAATGATTGGAAATGTTTGGCAATCATCAACTATTTTTTTTTCTTTTAGAAAGATCATCTTATCTGAGCAATTCATCATGCATGTAGGACACAAAGGTAACATGCAGGAATCTCAGCACTCATAGCACGTGAATTCTGATGGCCAAGCACAGTTCTAAATTTCTAATGGTTTGAGTCTCCTAAGACAATATAATCAAACCACGGTAACATTTCATCAAGAATTTACATTCTATTGTCCACAAATTATTCATGTCTGAATTTCTCTGAAAAATACAGTTAGCATATCAGTAAAAATTATTGAAATTTAATTTGCTTCAGCCACCGTAGGCCCCATTGCAGCATTATTACGCCAATTCTGATCTGTAGGGTACATTTCCCTCATGACCTCTGCTCCAGGCCATTGATTTTTTTTTTCAGCAGCATAGTCCAAGGACAGCACATGCTTCTTCTCCTTTAAGAGAGGGACGGAAGGTACCTACCTATTGAAATGAAAAGCAGAGGATGCATATCTATATACATGATTATGGATTAGTTTAGTTAGTTACTCCAATAGTTTCTGCGTCAAACCATAGGTTGTCTATCTCCCCAATTGTTATTTTAATTATTGTCAACAAACGGATTTTTTTTATGTGCACAAATTTTCCAGAACATACCACGAACTATATATATCAATGATTATATGTAGTATAATTGTCTATACCTTCAATTTCCTTTTCTTTAAAAAAAATATAATCATATAACCCAATGCGTTATGTTCCACGCATGGTCAAATTTCCCTGGGAAGAAAGAAAGACATATTACATCGACCTTTTTATACCAAAAACATGACATCAAATCTTGCAAAGCAATAGCTCGGTGCAAACTCTACACAAGATCACACAACATTACGCCAAAAATAAAAAGGTTGCAGATTCGACAGTGGCCGTTGCTTTCGATCCTTCTGCCCCCAACATGCTCACAGCATCACATGTGTGTGTGACTTTGCACTGGCCATGCACGCATGCACACATCGCGCAATATCAAAAATATGCCATTTCATTTCATGCAGGATGCAATATATCATCTCCACGCAAGGGTGGATTAGCATGGGCGCAATGAGGACTCGAACCTCCGCTACTTACGTGAGTACTATTGGAGCCCTCATAAAGGTCACTGTTCTTTTCTCCAACTAGAGTTGGATGTATTAACGTATGATTGATTAAGATTTTCATGTCACGTTTTTCAAACTACTAAACGGTATGTTTTGTGTGAAAACTTTCTATATGAAAGTTGCTCTAAAATATCATATTAATCTATTTTTAAGTTTATAATAGTTAAAACTCAATCAATCATACGTTAATACCACCTCGTTTTATGTAAAAAACTTAATCATCATCATCATCTTCAGAAGAAAAGAACACCACCAAAGCCCCCACAAATTTTTTTTTGCCACATGTAGATAGGAGAGGGCTGTAACTTTGTTCTAAGTTGTTCAGACCCACCTATTATTTTTTTTCTTGAATATGCCACTGTCTCCACTCCACGCGTGCGTTGTGTTGTGTATATTCTGATTCATGCACATCGCCTTCAGCTATAGACAAGCCCCATATGAACATCTTTTGATCGTTTTGGAATTTGGATAAACATTCCAAAGGCTAAACCTCGATCATGTCCTCATATGATAACGGCCACCAATTAAATATGAGATATGAATATGAATATGATGCGGTGACGCACCGGGCCGGATAACTTAGCCTAATCCCCCTTTGTGATACTAGTTCAAATCAGTGACTTAATTAGTGTGGGATTCGTCTTGTCGTGGAATAGATTGTACAACTACTCTGCCTAGCTCTATCCATTTTATTTCTGTTGCTTTAAGATTTTAAAATGGGTTAATTTTGTCCTTGCCTCCTTGGTGGTAAGTTGGCAACTTCAACCTTTTCAGAACTCCAGTTCCGATATAAATTGAACTGATTCTTGTAAAATTCATATAAAATTCAGTAATCTCTTTTGTTTGGAGGAAACCTAGTGTGTGGATGTACGATTCCGCTTTGTGCATATTAATTATGCATGAGAGTCTCAGATGGTTGTATCATCTTGATATAATTGATTGAGTTCAATAAACCTTTTATTATTTAAAAAATATAAAAAAGGAAACCAATTCCAATAAAAATTGAACCGATTATTGTAACATTCCCGTGTATTGAAGGAGGCACGGTTGGATAGTAAAGCTAGATTGAGAGATCTAACCGTGTCCATGTGCGACAAACCATTTCTCCATGAGGACAAGCAAAATTATTCTCCAATAATTCTTTTGCCTTGAGGGCTCCACAGACCACTTACATAAAATACATGACTACATGAATTCCTCCATGGCTCCATCCTGCATGCAAAGCCATCCACAAAAAAGGAGCCCTCTCCCAGCACAAGTGGATCGGACGGTTGAGTTCAATCTTGGAGAGCACTCACACCGTCTAGTCGCGTCAAGAAACCAAAAAAATCATTGACCTCAAGGCACATCAGCCACTGTTCAGGATGAACACCACGCCACATTGGAATAATCTGTACTGGTCTGGCAGTGGCATGTATGTACATGATGATGGCAATATTGAAGACTAGAAAGAAAAAGGCCAAGAAGTGGCTTTGCTAGGTGAATTAAGGGTGTGTTTGGTTCCTAACCATACTTTGTTGTCATTTATCAATAAATATTGTCACACGGTCTAAGTTGAGGCGATTAAATTATTGGCCACACCTTAGTAAGTCTAAGAGAATCTTGTTACATTTTTCTAAGTCAATGACACGTGAGACTCAGTTTATTAGAAAAGAATCTTGTCATAGCTATGGCTACAACAAACAGCTGCTAATGGGATTAAATCTATCTAATCTTAGATGTAGTAAACAGCAGTGTGGCTCGCAACCAAACACCCTCTAAACATTGACATGCAAAACAAACGCCGCCGTGGCTGCTGCTGGTAGCAAGCTGCAATCAGAGGTCCAAGAGGAGTACTACTGTACCAGCCATGTTCACTGCCCGGCCAGGGCAGTCAACTTGTCTGTAGTTGGTTAATCCAATCAAAGTAGCAGCAGATTTAGTGAGATTTCAATCAGCTAAGCAATTGCAAGTAAATGCGTGTTAGTAAGGCAAAGTTTGCATGCATATTTTATTTTAACCCCAGTGCTTAAGCTGATGGAAAATTAAAGGGCATATATGGATAGATCAGTTCAACCTAAAACTATCCCCTAAAAAAAAAGTTCAACCTAAAACTTGACTAGTAGAGAAGAACGGGCAATGCACTTAGGGGCAGAGCTAGGTAGGAGAGAGGGGTGCCCAGAAACCTGGCCAAGAAAATTTTTTTAGCTATAGTTTTTCTATTTTTACTATATATGTACCTCCTTAATCCAAACTCAAATACTCATATTAGCTTAAACTTGATTTAAAGTAGAGTAAAGCAAGTGAATGGTACATCTCTCTATTTCGTTTTAGCTCCGCCCCTAAATTGTCTTATACTCCCAACGAACAATGCAGAAGAGACAGGATTGGTGACATTGGGGCCTCGGACTCAAGAAGGAAGCTTCCACCCTCCAACTAATGGAAGGTGCCATTGCTCAGCAGAAAAAAAGGGAGAAATCGACACCCAACTTCGGAAGTGCACGCTGCTATCAACTCTCGGAAAGAAGCCTCACGTCGTCTCCAGCTTGTAGTTCAGAAAAGTTGCCAACGCATGCTCCGGCTCGGCTGCTCATCAGCGTGTGCACTCTCCACTCACCATCAGATATTTTTCATGAAAAAAGCACTAGCCTGTATTTTACTTTTGGAAGAAAAGAAAGCCCCTTGCTCACAATGGCTCGCACACAGAAATCCGTACATTGTTTGTACGAGGTGAAGTGAACGTCCTGCTTCCCCATCAAGAAGAATCATCACTCTGCAAGGCTGCAGGTGCAACAAACTGCATAAATGATAGTAGTAGTATACCTTAATGCAACTTCTGAATCTCCCCTGTTGTGATCAAGAATTCAAATGGACAAAAACACAGGATTACTGTCTTACTGATAGCTTTGCTTTTAGCTTTGAAGAAGCTTTCCTTGTGATATATAACAGACTGATGAGTCATATATATACATAGCAGATGCTGGCTTGATTACTCTCACTTACTTTCAGTTCTATTGGTGGTTGCAACATACGGTGCAACCGTGCAACTGGAAGCGACGACCAGAGAATTACAGTCATCAAAACTACATTACTACATGCATGTACAGCAGATAACATTGTCCATCGAATCTGTTCGTGCTCAGTTTAGCTCAGATACACGTTTTTACAAGTCAGCTTACAAACAGTGGAATGCCCACACAACAAATGCTATTTACCCATTTTTACTGAGCACATGGTTAGCTTGACCTTAAATGGTGAGTGGCAGCTGATGCTTCTCACCGTTGGGCGTATGTACGCAGTAAGCTTTCTGGGTTCAATTTCCCCCCTTCATAAGTTTCGTGTGTCATATATCAGTACATAATAGAATCCCCGTACTGAAGAAAAATGGTGTGTGTAGCCATCTAGTTTGGCAACTCCTGGGATCATGTGCCTGGAAGAGGTCCACCTGAGCTGGAAAGAATTATGAATGCGCAGACGACAGAGAGCGAGAACACAGAAACCCATGTGTTTTCTGTGTACATCTCCATGGCATCTGTGAAAGAGAAGCGTGCTCGACTTTCAGCCCAATTACGGATTCTATCAGCCTCTGCTGCATATACTGCTCTTCCCTGCAATGTGCTTATGATCAGTCACACATTCACATGAATTAATCATCAGACTGAAAGTATTATGAACTGTGAAGTATGCATAAAGTCGCTTGGTATGCTGATCTCTCATTTGTAAGAATATAATATTCTTTTACTTCATCTGTTTGATTTTCAACCTTGCACATAGGATGATTGGAGCATTGTCCATCACAAAAGACACTGATGTATACAGCACTTTTCTTCAGTTATATTGTGAAAGATTCTGAAGGAACACAAACGTTATAATTAAATTATTACCCACTTCTCAGCATTTTTTTTTCTCAAATGTCATGTTTCCTAAATATCTTGCGAAAATAATACATGTGTTCATTCAGTTTTTCCATTAATAATTGTCAATCTAATGGTGAGAAGCTTCGACGGTACCAAAATTTGCAGGTGATTTTCTTTCCCAAAATCACAGCCAATAAACCAGTGAGATACCAAAAAAAACGTCAATATGTATACTTGTGCCCATTTCAGCCCCAAAATATTACTAGAGTGCAATCATTTGACGGGTGCAGTTGCTTTTTAAAACCCCTATCATTCTCTCCAGTTAAATCTGTTGCTGGATTTCATGTGGACTAGGTGAGATCCAGCAATACATGTGAGAATTAACTATGTCATATTTAACATGCAGTACAAACAATAGCACTGAGACTGTTGGACCGAGCTAAGCCATGGTGGAACCAGGTGTTTGAAGCCGCCATTGAGGGGAGGACCAGCCTAAGGCCTTCCAGAAGAGCTCTGGCCAACTAGCAGTAAAGGTGATGGACTGAGCTGGTCATAATGAACCTGGAAACTGAACCATCAAGACAGACCCTATTTATGGCTCTTACTTATGTAGAGACCTGACAGAACTGGACACTGGTCTCAAGCTTCATTATGATCTGACTCGCCTGGTTGATCCAGTCTTAGAACGAATACTGCTTATTTAGCATAATTTACAAGAAAATCACCACAGGCATAATTTGAATAGTCTATGTCCATTGTTCTTTATATTCAACAATGAGTTTCATATACATTTGGTGCAACGGTAGAAGAGCTTGGTACTCTTTCTCTAGAAATGTATATTTCACTATTTCAGAAGCATAATAGCTCAAAAGTCTTGAGGTTCAATATCATGAAAAGTGCATGCAAGATGCATAATAATGAAAACAACAATCATGTTTGCACGCATGGCTTCTGCAGGAATTCAGCATATTTCATATACTGGCATTGCTGAAATAAAAGGTAAAGCTGAAAAGTACTAGCTGCATAGAGAAGAAACATACCTCTTCATCAAACCATCGGCCTCGGCGAACCCATGCAGTAACCAAGGCAAGCAAGATCCTTGGTGGTGTCAAGTAGTTTATCGCCTTTCCACTTCCTTTCACAACTCGCATCCTCGGAACCAATGTCCTTGCAACTGTTTCTGGAAGCTCACATATTAAATTGAACATCTGTTTATTTCTCAGAGAAGAACCGCTGCAAAAGATAGAAGGATTATAAGTTAACTAAAGCAGTCTGCATAGTTGGGCATGTGGCAACAGAAGAGCTGACCAGATAAATATGGAAGAAGTGGCATGCACCATCAATTGAAGTTAAAAAACATATTATTCTCCGTATATAGTATTACCAATAAAAAATATTAATATGTTAGAACTTTCCAGTGCATTAGTCATTTGTAATAATTATATCTGGAAGTTATCTCACAAGTTATTTATATATTGACAGAAACTATGAAGCCTTACAAGTATAAAGTATGTGCAACATCACAACTTTGAACTGGATTTACAAGGCAGAGTATTTGCACAAGAATGGAACATTAATTCTTTCAGGTTCTGATTAACCGCCACGCACCCAGTTTACCGTGTCATCGGGATTATAGCAGATAGGAAAAGCCAGAGCTAGAAGTGTAGTAGCAAAAGCAACTTAATAATTAATGTGAAGCTGATTCTACAGAAATAGTTGCCACAAATCAAATCCTAGAAAGAAGAGATTGAAACAAAGAAGATTTGGGCAGCGAGGTATCTCAAAATTTTGACTCTTCCCCATTCAACAAAGGAGACATTCTGATTGTTGATTAACTAAAATAAATTCAAAATGAAGATAGCGTGAAATTCTGATTAACCAATATGTGTGGTTCCATAAAGATCCTACTGAAAACTTCTTATGCACTTGAAGTCTTATCTTGTTTTACTATCATCACACAAAGTGTGGTTTGGAGTTTGGACAACATGTGCACCAAGCAATAAATATATTGAAGTTCAGAATGAACTAAACAAGCAAATCATCAATAATTGCATCTAAATAACTTCAGAGGTTACCTCAAAAGGAGGTCCGTAAGGACCATTCCAGGAGAAGCAGTGTGTACACCAACTTTTGATCTTCTGCTTTCCTTCAGAAGTGATGCTTGAAACTGTCTAAGGCCACACTTAGTTGAACCATAACTGCAAGTTTGCAAAATAGTATCAGTTTTAGTTTCACTGCACAAGTAACAACATCAATACAATTATACTCGTTTTTAGCCAATGAAGAAACCACAAGACAATATCCCTGTCCAGTATAAGAGCTACACGAACAGTGGAGCATTAAAAATTTGAAATCATTAGGTACTTACACAGCTGTTAATGGTGTACTTGATCCTCCAGAACCTGCTCCATCCATGTTAAATACGTGACCTCCCTTTTGTTGGTGTTGCATGACATTCATGGCTTCTCTGGTGCACAGTAAAGAGCCAACTAGGTTTGTTGAGACAATCTGCAAACAGAAAAGGACACAATAATGTTGTTTAGGCTAAGCAGAAAGAAAAATAAGATGAAATAACTAAGTCAGGTTGCATGACGAATATAGTTCTATGAACTCTATTAGAATGGAAAAGACTCTGATTTTCCGAAGATAATTAACGTACCTGAGAAATATCTTCATCTGAAAAGTTTACCAGTGGCCTAAAACCTTTGTTTGTGCCAGCGTTATTTATCTATACATAAGAATAAGAAGAATAGCACATGTTAAGTACATTCTGCGATGCCACAGTACAGAACAAAATAAAAAGGTTATAAGTACAAAAACTTGTGCACTCAATCCAAGTATCCAACTGAGTACCCTACCGTGAAATAATGCAGAATAAATGATGGGGATAGATATGTAAAAGTAAATTATTTACCCAAATATCAATTGATCCAAGCTCATCCTTGGCAAAGTTCACCAACTTTTTCACATCTTCTGGTTTACAAACATCACATGATGTACCAACAACCTTGGCATGTAGCAAAATTTCTCTCTGTTTCTTTTTCGCAACTGACAAGCCCTCCTGTATGTTCTCTTCAAGCTCGTTGATGGTCTGAAGGACTGATTCAGGGCTGCCTTCAAAAAATAGGATATTTAAAACTAGGACAACGCATTGCATTTCATAAAAAGAATATCATGGATATGCAACAACAACACACATTGAGCTACATGTCTATGAGTACCACCTGCGTGAAGCAATTACAACACGATCTCCAGAAAGAAGGAACTCCCGAGCAAGTGCTTTCCCTAATCCTCTTGTGCTGCCAAAATCAAACTATAACTTCAATGTTGATTGCAGAACATGGATACTAATAAGAAATCAGCTCACAATTGATGCAATGAGAAGTCATGTTTATATTAACATGTTTATGAGGTTACTTTAATGATTTGTTCATATGACTGCACCTCATAATCTCCTCTATGCACCAACCCGTATAAACTTGGTGATTGTTATGGTTATACTCCACTCATCAAATAAGAAAATAGAGAATAATAGAAGGTGAAATAGTATTTCCTATCTAGGAATAAATTCATTAGTTTTGATTATTACCTTTGACCTGTACTCACAGTATGCATGCTTCCTAGCAAAAGATTCAGATGGCATGTGAAAGGAAGAATGCAAAATGGGTTACCTTCCAGTTATGACAACATTGCGAGGTCCAGCTTTGCAGTGTTCCTCTAGGACACTGTTTGCACCTATCATCGTGCCAATAATTACTCCCCCGAGCCAACTATACCAAATTAGTGTATTCATTTGGCTGTCTCCGCCTAAATAGAAAGGTAGCTAGGTCATTACTGAAACTCTGAAAATGCCCATTGTAGGGAAAAAAACAGAAGTATCCAAAGGCAATGCAATATATCAAATGAATGTAACTAACCTGATAACTGAAATCCAACTCCAAGTACAACACCGCTGCTCATCATAGTGATAACATATCGGCCTACTTGCGTAGCAACCTGAAAAGGAGAAGGAAATAAGTCAATTTGAAAAAAAGAACACCTATTTCAGAAAAGGAGTTGATCCTACAACTCAGTAGTGATAAATTCAGAACCACTCTGTTCAGGTTTGCAACAAATAGAAAATTACTGATGTGCTTAGGTTAGAGAATCAGCCGATACCGGAGATTTTATTTATATCAATACAAAGAATCAGCATGCCTAGGAAGCAATTCAATTGAACTATAAAGCAGGCCTGTGCATGCACTTACAGTCGGACATGTAAAACCATGAGCCTGGCAGCCCATGCCCCCCATACAATGGTAGATGCAAGAACCAGAGAATCTAGGCCCATATAAATGAGGGGCGAAGTAAATTTAATCAAGAGCGAGTTTCAAAGAAGTTTAAAATAGTTTCAAAAGCAACAAAGGCTACACAAAATGACACCTCTGGCTACGAGCCGCATCCTCTGCCCAGGCAAATTGCTTCACAGGCCTGCGATTAATTTTAGCGCAGGCAGAATTTGCTCTCCAGCACATAAACATAAAGGGAACTGACATTACAGAATTTCACAGTAACTGGAGCCTACTGTATTACTAGTAAGAAACAAGCTGATTAGTGTTGATCAGCTCATCGATTTGTGCCACAGCTAGTGTATTGGATCCTAACACCCATTGAAACAACATAGATCGCCTAAACTCACTTGTAGCTGTAGCATCTGATGGGTGCAATTCCCATATGCAGCTAAGCAAGAGCTGATTAAGGTAGTAGCGCTCGCTAACGCATTGAGTGGTTGAGCCTCCCGATACGTGGCAACAATTAAAGGCAGTCGTACTAGTAGATCACACGATCAGATGAAAAAATCGGCCATAAACATATTATCATATTATCATGTAGAGAAACTGCGCTTGCGGGGGAGCTTGAGGGGGTTCAGGAATGGAGCTCACCGAGAAGAAGATCTCCTCGGCCTTCTCGACGGCGCGCTGGTACTCGCCCCCGTACGCCTCCGCGGCCGCCGACCGCGACCCGGCGAGCCCCTGAATCGCCGCCTTCAGCTTGTACAGCGGGCCCTTCCTGCGCCTCCGCGCCTCGGCCGTCGTCGGCGGCGGCGGCGACGACGAAGCCTCCTCCCCGCCGTTATCGGCCTCCTGCTTGAACGCGCGGCACCGGAGCAGCGACGGGCGGTGGTATGGCCGGGCGTGGAGCTCCGGCGAGCGGCGGAGGCGGCCGTGCACGGAGAGGTGGACCACCGCGGCGGCGGCCATGGCGTCGCCGCGAGCGGATAAGGATTTCGCACTCCGGCGTCCTACGCTTTTTTGTGGGGTTGGGTTCCTTGGTTTTAGGAGAGGGCGTGTGCTCACCACTTCACCATCGGTTAAATAATGCGTACGGCTTGGTGAAATACCCTTGGGAAGTTTCGAAATTACGTTCAGGTCCAAATCCATCGGGTTAAACTGAACCATAATTATGATTTGAGATATAAGTCATTCCTAATTTCGTTCCCAAAATTTATCTACCTCTAATTTCAACATTATACTCCCTCCATTTTTTAATAGATGAAGCCGTTGATTTTTTTCTCACATATTTGACCATTCGTCTTATTTAAAAATTTTATGCAAATGTATAAGATATAAATCACACTTAAAGTACTATGAGTGATAAAACAACTCATAACAAAATAAATTATAATTACGTAAATGTTTTGAATAAGACGAATGGTCAAACATGTGAGAAAAAGTCTAACGGTGTTATCTATTTAAAAAATGGAGGTAGTATGTCGTTGTCGTCAAGAAATTATTGGCACGACAGCGTTAATTTTACTATCATGCTGCACGTTTTAATTTTAGTTTGGCAAGAGGATTAGACAAGTGTTCGGACGAGTGACTGGGTGAGGACAAAAAAAGATCTAGGTTGCGGGGAAGGCGCAAGCACAAAGACGAGGTGGCCACACGTTGAAGCAACCTCATCCCCGCCGGCGCCACGCGCCACGTGGCCGCAGCGGGCCGCCTCGTCGGCGTCCTCCTCGTCGTCGCTTTGCTTTAGCTTTTTGGGGTCGCCCTCCTCTCTCTGCCTCCCCCAAACCAACCCCTCGCTGTCCCAGATGGAGCGTGAGCAAAACCGAGGATATTTTCGTTGTCACCGTCCGGAAATATCTCCGCACGGTAACAACAGGTAGTAACTCGATCAACCTCGTCGTCGTCGTCGACGGTAACTACTAACTCGCTGGAAATCGATCTCTCAAGGCGGGCGCGCGCGGCAGCCAAATCGCAGAGGAGTGGAGTACGTGTGTTTCAGGTAAATCAGCCGTGCGAATGCCTCCCGTGCGCGCGATGCGAGCGATCGTGCTTGCTGCTGCGTGCACGGAATGCTTGGCACGCACACGCAACTGAGCTGACCCGGACGGGTCAGTGGCCCCCGCGTGTCGAGTGTTGACGCGTAGGAGGTGTGGTCATTACTGGTGGAACAGTTGAACGTACAGGTGATTTGTCTGGCCGTATGTAAGCTGAGGAATTCTTTATGCGTGCACTCAACCGCTTGCTAGTGTAGTAGCACTCTCTGACTGCTGGATAATGACGACGAGGGGAGAGCCAGGGCCAAGGAGTGTTTGAGAACGAGAGCCGTGTGTCATTCGTGTCGACCGTGGCGTGCGTGCGTGTTAGTACTAAATTCTCAGCAGTTTCTTTTCCTTCCCGTATTGCTACTACAACAAGTTACGTTATGTAGGAGTACAACTTGACTGGCTAGTAGAATTCTCGATGCATGCATCAGTAGAAACTACTCTCTCTATTTATACTAAATAAGTTTAATTTTAGCTTAACAGTGACTTACTAGCTAAAACTACACTTAACGACCGAGGAAGTACTCTACTAGTAGTGTAGTAGTATACTAGTAGTAGTAGTAGTACTAGAAAGAAAAAGAAAGAATCACTGGCTCGCTGCTGCTTATTAGTGCCGTCCTGACAGGTGATTAGAAACAACAGCACACGGTGGGCCCAATTAAAGTCAGCCCAGTGACGACGTTGCTTATTGGACTTTCTCTGAGGCCCACTTGGCCCATACAATCAACAGTTTAGGCTGAGTTTGCGAGAGCGAGTTCCCAACACTCCCCTCTCATTTTCCATACGCACGCTTTGCAAACTATTAAATGGTGTGTTTTTATAAAAAGTTTTTATACGAAAGTTGCTTAAAAAATCATATTGATCCACTTCTTTAAAAAAAAATAGCAAATAATTAATTAATCATGCACTAATAGACCGTTCGTTTTCCGTGCGAACAGTTTGGGTTGGGAACCCTGTGTTCCGAACACAGCCTAAACCTGCCTGTCGTCTACTGCAAGCTTACTCAGAACTTCCAAGGCCAATTTGGCATAGCTCCAGCCTACTAAAGATAGAGTCCATCCAAACGGTTTCAGTTCCATCTAAAATAAGAACGAAGCTAGATGGAGCGCTCTCATAAAATAAACTAGAGAGGTAGAGTTGGATTTAGGCTGCTTCACAACTCCACTCCAGACTCAACTCTTAAAGCTAAATTCAAAAATTGAAACTCTGCCAAACAGACCATCAAGTCTCCAACTCTTCCTACGCTGCGTCGTCCAGCCCCATCTTTTCGCTTATGCTTATACTTATCAGTTAAAATTTGAATTTGCAATCTTAAATTTGGAGTTGATTTTAGGGTTTTTTTCATTGAAGTTTATTTTTCAGCCTATACTTCTGAATCGCTAAGAACACATATATAAAAGTTTTATTTATAAATTATTTTTTATTTGCAAATACTTCTATGCCGTTTCGCTTATTAGCCGACGATACGATTGGGCCGGTCGTTTGTCGCTCACTTGGTCCAAGGGGTTCAAAATCATCACCAAACTTCCAGCGACAGACAGGTAAACCGGTGCAGCCGTGCAGGGGCGAGCGTGCCGCCCCAGCAGAAGCCGCGCGCTGGCACAAGCCACCGCAGACGAGTATACGACAAGGATGGGAGCCCCAGCCGCGACGCCGGCCCGGTCGGCTGCTGCTGCTTCCGCCCTCTCCCATGTCGACGACGGCGAGAACAACGGCAGTCGCGAGAGTCGTCGAGTAGTGTGGACCGCAGCAGCTGCTGGCGTCCGCCGCGGCATGCGCGCCTATACGTACTTGCTGCACCTACTCGTACAAGTACGCAGGATGGCAGTGTCCGCTCCCGCGACATCGACGCAGCGAGAGCCCATGCGGCGCGGAGCCCGACGAGGTCCGGTTTGGTTCACTGGCGCTGGCTTTGTTGTTTTTTTTTTTTGCCTCGGTCGCCGTTCTGCCCGAATTGCCCGCAGGAAGATGCCAAGCTCTCCCTGCCAGGCAACACAGAATGTGAGCATTCACTCCGATCTGTTTGTCATTATCCTCTCTCTCTCTCTCTCTCTCTCTCTCTCTCTCTCTCTCTCTCTCTTCGCTGTTCGGGGGATCGGCAACTTGGCGTAGAATCAGATTCTGCTGTCGATCGACCGCTTCCTACTCGGATTGCAGGAACATTGAACTGGAATTAATTTGGTAGTACTTTTTAATTAACCAGTTTTTTTGAAAAAAAAAATTGTCCGCTTAATTTCTCACCAACACTTTCATCCCAAGTTCAACTCAAATCAGCAAAAAAATACATCAATTTCACAACAAAATAAAAGGTACAGTAACATTAATCATGCTTCAGCTTTGTAAAATTACGATCACACCCGATTGGAAAGGGGAAAAAAAGACACTCGTAGCTTTTTTGTTCACACGTGCTTGGTTAGCCATTTGATCGTCAGCGGTAAAGTAGTTAGATAGTGTCGGTCTGACAAGCCCAACTTCCATATATCCCTGCCTCAGCTAAAAGAGTCGTCAGAGCATAATTCATGAGCTTTCCCTGACGCCTCAGCTAAAAGATTCATCAGTACACCCATGATGCTATGTTTTTCGTTATTTTCCCGAATACATGACTTTTTTTAAGAGGCCCTGTTAGAATCCAATTTTTGGAAATGCTATACATCAGTCAGTGATGATGGACAGAATCACGTGAATTCTGACCTTTGATTTGCTCTATAATTCGTGTCTCGACGGATCTACAGAAGGTGGAAAGTCGACAAATCTACAGAAGGTGGGAAGTGTTCCCACCTTACTTTTTTTGGAAGCGTAAAAGGATAGCACATCAATATATTAGAAAGAAAGAGTTCTTTTTATTACACGACGCAATCGTCCAGACAAGCCTATGCCCAGGGGAAGAAAAAAGAAAAGAAAAACAAAGTCGTAGCTAGATGAAAGAAGGGAAAGAACTACTCCAAACAGCGAGAGGGTGGAGGTGTTCCCACCTTACAGAGATTGATGGTGCGGTGTTAGCACAATGACACCACCTTAGCCATGGGATAATAGGAGATCGGTGGGCCAGTTTGAATGACGAGGAAAGCTTGTCGTTGGAGCGTTAGGAGCTAGTGGAAAGAGGCAATGAATGCAATGGTATGATGTTAAAGACGAAGGACACTTGAGCTAGAGAAGATAGAGGAGGATAGCGATAAGGAGGTTACAAGGAGGGGGACCTTCCAATCTCAACTGTGTGATTGGTAAGTTCAGGAAAGTAGATTGAAATGAGCTCAGATTATACAACATATCGCACAAGAAACAGATCTGCTAAAATCTCATAAGACTATTCCCAGCAATTCACCAATCAAACCATTAAACATAACAAAAAGAAAAAAGCAACACACCGGTGATCCTAAAGCCATTTTTTACCTGACCAAAAACGCAGGGTGACGGAGCGGTGGGCTCTCGAGTCAAGTGTCGCCGGAGCCGGGAGAAACCTCCGCCCTCCCGAAGATCGCCAGAAATGGTCACTGCCACCCTCCGCGACGGAAGATAGACGATGGGAAGGAGAGTTCGTCGTGGATGCGAGATGGGAGATGGAGATGGGAGATCGCCTCCCCCGGCAATGGTGGAGCGGGGAGTTGTGGGGGTGGCGGCGCGGCGCGAGCACGAGTATTCCGTGGGTGGGGTGATGAGGTGGCGCGGCGCTTACGCAAGGGTGGTGCGGGTTTTGGTTTTGGAGTTGGTTCGTCTCATCGATTCACTTTCACAGAGTTTCAGTGAGTCTGCGACGACACCAAGGTTAGCGACGTTTTCAAAGCCACAATGACTCCTAGATACCAATACAAAGAAAAAAAACTATAATAATATTCCTTTATCAAATCTCAACTTAACTATTTCTCACTTTATCTACTTATAATATAATTATTCTCTAATTTCACAAATTCTGATGTAATGATTGCTTTACAAATGAACTTACTGTGAACTTATTGTGAGATAAATGGAAAGAGCTTTAAAAATAAACTTATTGTGAGATAAATGGAAAGAGCTAAAAGTGA